TGATGACAGCTAAGTGTTCTATTATACAATTCATTTCAGTTCTCACACTATCTCCCTGATCATCACGTCTCACCGGTTAAGGACTCAGTCCCATAAGACTCCCCATTCCCCACTTCAGGATGTCAATTGCAAGTCCAGGTTGTCACTGATGCTGCTGACCAGCTAGCTATAAATCAGAGGTTCCCATGATCCCCTTTCTCATGTTCAATTGTTTGCTAATGCAACTCAAAGAACTCAAGAAAACAGTTTATTTACTAGATTATAGGTTCATGATGAAAGGATATACCTCAAGAACAGCCATAGGAAAGAGATCCATAAGGTGAGTTCCAGATGGGCCCTGAGTGTAGGAACTTTTCTGTCCCTGTGAAGGTAAGAGCATGTGGATATGATCACCAAACCAGGAGTTCTCCAAGCTCTGTGTTTTGGGAAATTTTATGGCAGCTTCATCAGGTGGGCATAATCAATCATGAACTCAATCTCATGCCTCCTCCTCTTCCTGCAGGACAGGAGGGAGCTGAAGGCTCCAACCTTCCAGTCATGGCTTGGTTGGTCTTTCTGGGGACCAGCTCCCATCCTGAAGCTATCCAGGGGCCCACCAAAAGTCTCCTCCTTAGAACTAAAGAGATTGCTCTCATCCAGGAAATTCCCAGGGATTTTGGAGGTCTGTCAAGAACCAGGGTCAATGTTCAACTGTTAGAACAAAAAATGCTCCTAGTGCTCTTATCACTTAGGAAATAATAAGGATTTTAGGAGTTCTGTGTGAGGAACTGGGGGCAGAGACCATATATATATATATATATATATATATATATATATATATAATTATTATTATTATTTTACAGTGTCATTAGTGTAAAGGGCCACCTGGAAAGGCACATGACATTTTCTTTAAATTGTCAGCTGAGTCTGAGACAACTGGCAGAGCTGAGGCTCGGATACACATTTCCCCAAGATGGCTGAAAGTGTAATCAGCTTGGTCTTCATTTCAAGCCCAGGTGTTGGCAGGGGCAGGTCTAGATATGTAAATCCAGACAAGCAACAGGAATGCTAGGGCATACTTAAGAATACAAATAAGCTTCTTTGATCCTAAGTTTTGGTGTTACTTCTTGGTATTGGGGGTATAAAATAAATGGACTGGGAGGGGTCACAGACAGGTCATCTTCCTGTCTCTCCAGCAGACAGGATGGTGGCCCATCCAGCTCCCAGCTTTAAATCTATCTCTGTGTCTTCTCTCTTTATTTCTAATATTTTTCAATCCCTGGCCGCCTCCGCTTAGAACAGGTTCGTTCATCTCTCTTTCTGTGTGGGACGCAGAAAAGGGAGATCCCCACCGCATCAGGCCCCCGCAATTAGCATACCATACAAAGGTAATCAGAGTCCATATGGGGTTCCCCCAAAGGAAGAACACCCAATTATTTAGTAGGAAGGGGCAATATGAAGGAAGACTTCCCATAAAAGGACTTTAGGGATGAGTTTATCCTGGGGCCAGTCACTAGGGACAGAGCCCTTTTCAGAAATAGCAGGTAATTAGTTGTATGGGGTTGGCAGGCAAAGAAAGTAGAGAAGATATTGATGAATAAGAGCCTTGGGGGATTCAGATCAGTGGAGAAAGGATGGACTTGTTAATAAGTGGTGCTGGTTTAACTGAAGGGCCACATGAAATCATTTTTCATACTGCATAATACCATTTGTCTCTCTGACTAGGTCATGAGCTCCTCAAGGACGGTGTTAGAAAACTGGTTCCATTGAACTTTTCCCTACAAAAAATGAAACTATAATATAGGCCTCAGTGGAGTGGTAAAAATCTTCCTCCAAGGAATAGATTAAGACATTCGGCTATTGGCATTTACTCCAGCTTCTGGTCCTCTCTGCCAGCTTACAGGAAATGTAGGAGATAAAGGAGTCTGTTCAGTGACAGACACCACAGGGTACAATCAACAAAATCCGGGATGTGGATACTTCAGATTTGTTCTGCGGCTTTGTGAACACTTTCTCTAACAAATAAATGCCCCACCCTACTTCCCCCAAAGGAGGTCAGGCACCTTTAGATTAAAAGAGACTTGAAGGGCAGACATATTAACCAAATGCAATATGTGGGTCTTATTTGTTCCCAGTTTAAAAAAACAAAAACAAAAAAAAACAACTTTAAAAAACTATTTTTTAAACAAATGAAGAAATTCAAACCCTGTGAGGATATTGGATAATTTTAAAGAAGTATTAATTTTATTCAGTGTAATAATGGAAATCTGTTTATGTTAAAAAGAGGAAGCTTTATCTCTTAAAGATAAAGATTGAACTATTTACAGAGGAAATAGTCCAATCTTTGGTATTTACTTTAAAATAATCCTGTAGGAGTGTACAGGGGAAATAGGAGGTATAAATGAAACAAAATGGTTCATTTGTTAATAATTATTAAAGTTAGGTGACAAGTACATGAAGACTTATTAAACTATTAGAGGCCCAGTGCAGTTCAGCCTGCATCCTCTCCAATCCAGAACCCCTTGGGGAATGTCTGACTGCCGGTGAAGGTCCGATCCAGTCAGACATCCCTCTCACAAACCAAGATCACTGGCTCCTAACTGCTCACTTGTCTGCCTGCCTGACTGCACCTAACTGCCCACCCTACTGGCCTGGTTACCCCTAACTGCGCCCCCTGCAGGCATAGTCACACACACACACACACACACACACACACACACACACACACACACACCCCGCCGGCCTGGTCGCTCCTCACTGCCCCATCCTGCCAGTCTGGTTGCCAGTCTGGTTGTTCCCAACTGCCCCCCCCCCCCCCAGCGGGCCTGGTAGCCCCATGCAGCCTGCTGCTCAGTCATTTGGTCACCCCTCACTAACCCCCTGCCAGCCTGGTCGCCCCACACAGCCTGTTCAGTTATCCATTTGGCTATTTTGGATGAGATGGTCACTTAGCCTTTTATAGATATAGATTCTTGTTACTTTAAGGTAAATTTGAAAATTCCCAGAGCCAGTGAAGGCTTTTTCAGCAGGAGAACATCAAGATGAAATTAGCATCTGAGGAAGTGTACCCCTGGGAATAAGAAGGCTAGATAGGGTGCTGTCGGGAGGCTCATAATTCCAGGACTGAACTGTGCCATTGGGAGTAGAGGGGAGGGTCTGGACACAGGGAGTATGAAAGGAGACCCTCAGAACTGGAGAAAGCTAAAGAAATGGGTATCAAGGATGACTCTCAGGTTTCAGGCTTAGATGGCTGCCTGAAATGGCACAGGAATTCAGAAGAGATTAAAGTTAGGGGTGAAGGGAGTGATAAAGTGATTGCTGACAGTTTGTGTTTGAGGTGCCTGTGGAACATCCAGAGCTTAGGAAAGAGGCCCGCACTGGAGATGGGTTTTGGCCATTACCAGATGCAGCACAATTCCCATGGAAACATGAAAAGTGTAGGCACAAGAAAATACTCCCGTCATGTGTAAGCATTACCAAATTAACAAATTACTTTTGGACTTTTTAACATGAAAACATCAAAGTGGCTTAACCCAGGAGAAGAATAGAAGAGAACCAAATAGTAGTATACAATATCCATGCTACTCTGTTTCTCTCAATTTCCATGTTGAACATGTGATAAATTATCAAGGTTTAACTGCAGGATTTCCTTATTTTATTTTATTTTATTTTCCCTAATAAATGAGTTTTCAAGAGAACACTATGGCTTTAATACATGTTGGGGGGGAGGACCTCATTTGAAAGATGAAATTTTATCTTTCCTTTTTTACCTTGCCTTTCTTCTATTTTACTCCTTCCATGTTGTCTACAATATTGTAAAAACTGAAGGAAAATGCCCAAACCATCTAGGTCTAGGGCTGTACTTCAATTTCCTGTCTTTAAAACAGCCATGACAGTATTAAGTCCTTGAGTTGACATGTGTATCCTGAAGGAGCCACAGAGCCGCTGATACAAAAAAGCAGTTTGTGTCTGGGATTGATTTATGCCTTTGGAGCAGGACAAGAAGAAAACCCAGCCCAGCCTGTATGGTATCTGTTGCTGGGGGAAACTCAAGCCATCTGCCAGACTCTAATAAAGCATGACAACAACATTTGGTTTGAAGCACAGAATGATTTTTCCAAAGTGAAAATAAAGCTTGTCTACAATTGGGGCATATATATATATATATATATATACACACACACACACACACACACTAGAGTCCCGGTGCATGAAATTTGTGCACAGGGGCGGGAGTGGCACTCCCTCTATCCAACCTGCACCCTCTTCAATCTGGGAATCTCTGGCTCCTAACCTCTCACCTGCCTGCCTTCCCTAACTACTCTGCCTGCTTGCCTAATATCCCTAACTGCCCTCCACTGCCAGTCTAGTCACCCCTAACTGCCCTCCCCTGCTGACCTGGTCGCCCCTATTAACTTTTTTTTAAAATCGTATTCCTTTCACACACAATTGTATTTGACTTCCTCATTAGCTTCTCCCTCTCACACATTTTTTTCTCCCTCCTTTATGTAACACTTTTTTTCTACTGACCCATCATTTATAAACTTTTCTCTCCTCCTTATTTCCTACTTCTGTTCCATTATCCTTCTTCTCATCTCTCTCCTACCCTCCCTCCCTCCCCACATTTCTTCTTCCTTTTATCTTTACTCAAAATCTTCTGTTGACAACCCAGTTCTAACTCCTCAGCCTGCCCCCCCTGCAGGCATAGTCACCCCCACCTACCCTCCCCCCAGCTCCATAATTTGGGTTTACCCCAAACCACTTAAATCAGAAGTTGAGAGGTTGGACCCAGGCATGAGTTCTTTAAAAAAGAAATTCACATAAGAACTTCAATCAAGGTTGAGACCCCTGTGGTTACAATGAGAGTGAGGAAAAGACAGCTGAAGCGTTTGGACTATCTATGATCAGAAGTAAATGTGAACTATTAAAGTTTTCAGGGCTTCAGGGGGCAGCGATGATGCGTGTGCCTGTGTGTGTCTGTGCATGTGGGATGTACATCACCTCTCTCTGCCTGCTCACAGGTCAACGCCGTGCGGGTGCATGTGAACAGCTCTTCCGAGAACCTCGACTACCCAGTCCTGGTCGTGGTGCGTCAGCAGAAAGAGGTGCTGTCCTGGCAGGTCCCGCTGCCCTTCCAAGGATTGTAAGTGGGTCTTTTCCCAAACAACTTCACGACATTGCTTCCTTTCAGTGGCCCAGATCTCAATTGGTCTTTGCCCTGGTGAAAGGAGAAATCTGACATTTGGGATGTTGACATGTGATTCATGCTCAGTGCAAACGCTAATTGTGGTACATACCCTGCATGTTCAGCTCTGCTCAATATCCATCCCCTTTGAAGTTCACATGAGAACCCTGCCCAGGTTTCTAGCATCTTGAAGAGCTTTTACCATTGTAATTCTATTCAGAATTTTTAAAAAATGTTCTGTAGCTCTTGATTAGTTAATGGGTCATCCATTCAGGACAGGGCCAGGCCCAGAAGTCAACCTAAATGAGTGACACTCCTTCCATTCTTCAAAATGCCCACTGAGTCTGCAATCTTCATTCCATAGTATGCATTGAGCATGACTAGGTGATAGGTGCTGGAGATACAGCAGTGGGGAAAAGATCCTAACAAAGTGTCTGCCCTCAGGAAATTTGTATTTTTTCAGAGAAATTACACAAGGCATTATAGGACTATATAGAGTATGAGTTAAATTGATTTTAAAGGTGGAGGAATTTGAGAATTGAAATATTGATTTGGGCTCTGGGACTTTATGTTCCATTTAGCAAAAGCTTGAAGAATGAAAAAATGGAGTCTCCTGATTGTTTTATCAGGACAGTTTCTCTTTTACAATGTGATAGTTTTCCTCTTTGAATTAGGAGGATGGATTAGTGTAATGTAGACTCTGCCTAAGTGAACAGGTCAGCACTAAACAGACTTCACTTCCCTGTTACTATGTCACGGAGCCCTACACCAAAAACACTGCTTCTAAAATCACTATCAGTAGGTCCAGTCTGACATTTAAAATATAAGTGCTTGAAAACAAATCTGGAGGGAAGTGAATCACAATAAGCTTCTTTCCCAGTTTGTTCATTGAGTCTCTCTCTTCCTCTCTCTCTGGCTGATCTTTCCCGCCATTGGCTGCTACAGATACCAGAGGACCTACAACTATCAGGAAGTGAGCCGCACCTTATGTCCCTCAGAAGCAACCAATGAAACAGGACCACTGGAGCACCTGATATTTGTAGATATAGCATCCATGGCACCCCTAGGTGCCCAGTACAAACTGTTGGTTACCAAGATCAAGCACTTCCAGCTACAGTAAGCAGGACTCCCTGGGGGCTTTCTCTGTTCCCTCATCTGTTCTTCTGTGCATGTGCATGGTCAACCCAGCTTCCTTCCTTACAGATCAGCACTTCAGGAGGACATTTTTACTGGGCATATTGTCTTAGCACCTTCTGGCCTCTCCTACTCACAGATGGGCAGCAGAGCCTTGTATGTTCTGTGCAGTAGGGAGGCAGTAAGAGACTGGTGCAGAGAGGAAGGCTGGTTGACCTCATAGATGTCTGTTCTCAGGGTCTGGGTGAACAGCAGACCCTGAGAACAGACATCTATGAGGTCAACACCCTTCCTCTCTGCAAACAAAAAACAAAAACAAAAAAAACAGACATGGATATAGAGTATGAGTTAAATTGATTTTAAAGGTGGAGGAGTTTGAGAATTAAAATATTGATTTGGGCTCTGGGACTTTATGTTCCATTTAGCAAAAGCTTGAAGAATGAAAAAATGGAGTCTCCCGATTGTTTTATCAGGACAGTTTCTCTTTTACAATGTGATAGGTTTCCTCTTTGAATTAGGAGGATGGATTAGTGTAATGTAGACTCTGCCTGAGTGAACAGCTCAGCAGTCCAAGCAGGTGTCACAGGCGGCCGGGTATTTTGTATTACTTTCCTGAAGGAAGTTTTGTTTTTGTCTTAAGAAAGACCTTAAATAATTTTCTTCTATACTTATTGCTATTCCAGTTTTCTCCTCCCAGGTTAGCAATGTGCATAGTTAGAAAATATTGTTATGTGGCTTAGTTCTTTGTGCAAAAACTAACGACTGTTTCCTCCTTCTCCTAGCACTTTCATTCTTTGTGACAAAATCAGTTGTGATACAACAGCTCAAATTGTTTATATTGGAGGTGGATTATAACAAACTCAGTTAATGGCATTGCCCCCAAGGGATTTGTTCTAGCCCCAAGGTTACCCTTGTAAAACATTATACAAATCTGTGTGAAAATTTAAACAGAAAGGCTAAGGCTGTTCCTTAATGAGACCAGAAACTTCAGGGACTTCTCTGCACTACCTTACTCTGAACTCAAGGCTTTGTAAGGGCTCAATCCACCTTCTCCTCTCTCAGTGTTTTATATATATACTAGAGGCCTAGTGCACAAAATGTGTGCACTGGGGGGGGTGGGGGTGGGGAGGGGTTCCATCAGCCTGGCCTGTGCCTGCTCACCCTCTTGCAGTCCGGGAGCCCTCAGGGGATGTCTGACTGACAGCTTAGTGTGGCTGCAGGGGCAGGAGAAGCTCCCGCCACCACTGCCATGCTCGCCAGCCATGAGCCCAGCTTCTGGCTGAGTAGCGCTCCCCTGGTGGGAGCACACTGACCACCAGGGGGTAGCTCCTGCATTGAGCATCTGCCCCCTGGTGGTCAGTTCACATCATAGCAACTGGTCATTCTGGCATTATGTTGATTTGCATATTAGCCTCTTATTATATAAGCATTGGCAAGCTATGGCTCACAGGCTGGCCACTGGTTTTGTAAATAAAGTTTTATTAGAACACAGCACTGCCCATTCATTTACATATTGTCTATGGCTGCTATCATGGCAAGGCTGAGTTGTGAGTAGTTGGGCGAAAGACATTATGGCCTGCAAGCCTAGACTATTTGCTCTCTGGTCCTTAAGAAAAACCTTGCCAACTCCTGATATAAAAGAGCAGACACATGATTAATAAATTTGAATTAAACAATTCATTTAGAAAACTGTGTTCCAAAATGATAGAATGCCTAACCTTTTCAACTACATGTGCAACATTTACCAAATTTTCCAGGTTCTAATACATATCTTGATAAATTTCAAAGGACTGAAATCCTTTATATGGAATTGAAATAGAAGTAAACCACAAAAATGGCAGAGAAACACACAAATGTTTGGAAATTAAGTAGTCTATGTCTAAATAACTCATGAGTCAAAGAAAAAATCATAATGAAAATTAGAAAATATTTTTAACAAATAATAATGAAAATATGACAGATTTAAACTTCTGCGATGCAACTAATCACTGCTTGAGGAAACTGTCTAGCTTCAAAAGTATATGTTAGAAAAAAAGAATGGCTGAAAACCAGGGTGTTAATATCCATTTCACAAAATTGAAAATTAAACTCAAAGAAAATAAAAGGAAGTAATAAAATAAAAGCACACAAAAAAAGAAATAGAAAACAAATCCACAATGGCCAAAATGAGCCAAACCACAAGTTAATTATTTGAAATGACTGGTATTTTTATATTATTTTTAAAAATAAAAGTGACAAGCAAGCCCATTGAGAGGAAAAATGGGCAAAAGATTTTAACAGATACTTCACCAAAGAAGATATTCAAATGATCCCAAAACACAACCTCACTAGCTATCAGCAATACAAATTAAAATGATAAAAAGATTTCACTACAACTAAAAAATTGCTATAATTTGAAAGGTTTGACAATGCAGCTCCACTCCTAGTAATAAGCCTAACTCCTAGATATATGATCGTGGTATTCATTTAATAGAATACTACACAACAATAAAAATGAACAAACTATTGGTATATTTAACAGGGGGAAATCTCACAAACACAATGTCGAGCTAAAGAAGCCAGACAAAAGGGATCCATACAGTGTGATTCCTTTAATATAAAGTGTAAAAACAGACAAAACTATTTTGTAATTTAGAAGTCAGGGGAGTAGTATCTTTAGCAAGGAAAGAGGAAGTGCATGGTATGTTTTCCTGGTGAGAGTTCATTCAGATACATGCTTATGATTTGTGCACTTTTCTATGTAAGTTATACTTCAATAATTTTTTTTTAAAAATCCAGAATATTTAAACATAGTATCTACTAGTTTTTTGGCAGCTTGTTTTCTGATTAGAATATTCTGTTCTATTATAAAGTGCTCCTTAAATTTTTGAAGTCAATTTATAAAGAAGTCATGCCAAAATCGGTTTTGCTCAGTGGACAGATCATCAGTCTGTGGACTGAAGGGTCCCAGGTTCGATTCCGGTCAGGGCATATCCCCGGTGGAGGGTGTACAGGAGGCAGCTGCTCGATGTTTCTCTCTCATTGATGCTTCTGGCTTTCTATCCCTCTCCCTTCCTCTCTGTAAAAAATCATAAAATATATTTTTTTTTAAAAAGAAGAAAAAGAAGTCTGAAGCCAACAGAGGCACTAATAGAAGTCAAATGTTTATCTTGGTCTTCTCTACACCCCATGATAGTGTGTATGCATAGAGACAGATGGACACATGGATGAATGAATGTTTAGAAGGATGGAGAAATAGTCATGGCATTTTTCCAAGTCCTCCATTAATTTTGGCATAGGAAAAGATGACATGGTAATTCAAGAGCAAAGAACCACCCTGCCTCCCTCACCCCACCCCAAAAAAAGGCAGGAGATTTTCTGGTGGATAAGGTCCACCCAGATCAATTAAATCAGAGTCTACAGCAGGGGGCTGTGCACATTAGTACATAGTTTCTTAGTTTCCAAGGTGATTCTAATTTGCAGCTGGAAGTGAGAATTAGTATTCTAATTCTACCTTTAAACCGTTTCTAATTATTGTGCTTATGTTTTATTGTTTTAATAATTAAATCCATTTATGATATTAAACAACATGAGAATTCATGGTGACACATTTGATGGAGATGCGAGCACATCACTTGGACAGAGTTCGGTTCCAGCCTTCAGCCTGGCCTTTACTAACTGATTTCTGTGTCTGACCTGTCACTGTCACCTGGTGGCAGTGTACTGAAATTCTGGGCTGGTTTTCTTTGAGATTTATCAGACCCCTTGGAGAACTGAATTCTGTGCAACTGAAGTCATAAGGTGGCAACTCTGTGCAAGTGCTAATAAATGATATGCACGCTGGCAAAACTGCACATCTGTTCCCTCACATTGTTTTCTGTTTCCACCTCTTGTATCGGGACTTGACATCAGGAATCAGATGTTCAAAGCCTTTCGAAATACACACAGTTACTAGGGCTTTTATGAGAATAAGATAAGCCTGGGAAGAGATGGTAACTGAGATATAGGAGTCTCTTCTCCCTGGCTCTGGATTAACCCACACAAACCCTGCTGGTGACCCAGAAAACCAGGAGATAATGACAAAGGGCAAGAGCTGAGGGTTGTGGTGAGACCTGGGCTGTAGGTACCGAGAGAAATACTAAAGAATTAACTCAAAATGTCTAACATTGCAGTTTCTGCTATATGTTTTGACTGGCAGAGTAGAAGGTATGTAAAACACATTCTAGATTTTTTTTTTCTAGAATCATAATTTTTAAGAATGGAAGGACTTTGGAGAATCTAATATGTTCACTTCATTTTTACAGATGAGCAAAATGATGCCCAGAAAGGTTAAGTGACTTGCCCAAACTAGCCGAGCTAGGAAAGACAAAATCAATACTAGATTTTAGTTCTGAGCTCTTCCCGCTATAGCATTCTATTTCTACTTTCTGTTTAAAACTATCCTCACACTTTATGTTGCCCTAAATATGCTTCTCAAGCCCACGAAATACTCGTTTATTGAAATCCAGCTTTAAAATAAAATTCTGCCTTAAACTATTACTTCCTGCCATCTAACTCTCCCCCAGCCACCTCCACACACACATATACAGAGCTTTGCCACCACTCATTTTCCCAATGCGAGTGCTCTGGCGAGCTGCTGAATGTAAAGTTACAGATGTGGAACAGGAAGCTGTAGGAGCAGGCAGGCACCAGATCATGCTGTGGGAGGAGCCTAGAAGGGGTATTGAGAAATTTAGGCAGTTGTCTAAATTGTGATAGTTGTGTGGAGAATGGATTTGAAGAGAACAGACTGGATGCAAAAAAAATAGGACCCTGATGCAGTGGTCAATATAAATCAATTATAAGGAGATGAGCTGAAGAATTTGGAGGTAACATTGACAATACTTGATTGGATATGAAGGGGAAGGGGACTGGGAGAGTCAAAGATGACTTTCTAACTTGTAGATGGTGGCACCACTAAGAGAAAATGAGGATTTTGACGAGGGAAGAAAGAGATGATAAGTTCACTTTGATGCATGTTAAACTTGGAAGTAGAGTGTTGGTATATACCAGTGGTCGGCAAACTCATTAGTCAACAGAGCCAAATATCAACAGTACAAAGATTGAAATATCTTTTGAGAGCCAAATTTTTAAAACTTAAACTTCTTCTAAGGCCACTTCTTCAAAATAGACTTGCCCAGGTCATGGTATTTTGTGGAAGAGCCACACTCAAGGGGCCAAAGAGCTGTATGTGGCTCAAGAGATGCAGTTAGCCAACCACTGGTATATACCATCATGATGCTCAGAAGAGAGGTCTGAGTTACAGAGAGAAGACTGAGAAGAAGCGCTTCAGAAAGCCCAGTCCACATGATGCCTAAGGAGGAGTTGCCGGAGATAGGACTGGACAAACAGGCAGTAACCACTCCTTGGTGTTTGAGATCCTGTGAAAAGCACTATGGAGTTTATACTTCAGCTTCCAGATTATGGAAACCACTAAAAGATTTTAAACAGCAGAATAACATGAACACATTGGATTTTAGAAATGATCTTAGAGTCAATGTGGAAGGTGAACTCACGAGAGGAGAGGGTAAGAGCAAGTAGGACAATGAAAAGTTATTTGAATAGAGAAGAATAAAAAATGATAAGAACCTGAACATATTATGGCAGCAACATCTTAAAGGGGAAAAGGGGTCAAGTAAAATGCCTGGGAATAATTCACAAATTCAACAAGTGTATGTTGCAGAATAAAAAGTACAGTCGACATGAGTACTTGAAGCCTTCAACCCTCAAGATCTACATAGGGCTCCTAGGTCTTTGCTTTGAAAGAGAATTTTGACTGAGATAGCCAAGCCACCATGCTGTGAGAAGTATTGTACATTTTGGTGTTGTTATATAAATTAACCCATTTATTATAGGCTCACAATGTTTCAAACTGTGGAGCTTCTGTTGGTCTTTCAATTCCTTCGTCTTCTGATGGTGACTTTGCTGTGACGGCAGAAGTGGGTTGTGGGTCCAGGCACCACCAGCGACTGTTTTCATGCAGGAACCACAGTGCCAGATCCCCACAGCTTGCCTCTTCATCTTGATTTTGCCACAGAAGTAGCAAGTGTACTTGGCCTGCTGGCTGGTTTCAATTTTCTTCACCATTTTCCTGAGGGAGGCGCCATATTTATTGTCGATTCTGACCTTCTTGGTGCGTTTAGCCATGTTGCCGTGAACTTGAGAAGTAGATTTTTTGAGAAAATGGATGAGTGAAGAGGTTTTTAGACCATTTTGCTCTGTGTCATGTAATCAACTTTGATATTTTGGGATATATTACAGTAATGATTTACATTACTTTTCAAAATTTTTGTTGTTTGTTGAATGCCATGTCCAGCAAAAACAGTGCTTTAGGTGGGAGCAGGTGCATCAGCAATAGAATCTGGACGGCTTGGTGATCAATCTAATGGGAAGTAACCAAAAGGGAAGAATTCAAGATGACTCTAACAATGATGTTCAAAGTCTGGTGAGGCTTGCTGACAAACACATAGTGGGCCAGGATCAGGGAAATGACAGAACATTCCATTTTGATCATGTGGAGCCCAGCAGGCAGTTAGTGACTGGAGTTCAGAAGATAGCCCTGGACATGGCTGGACACGGAGACTTGAGATATACTAGCATTTTAGTGGCTTTTGTGGCAACTGAACATATATGTGGTTGTGTTTTTTTGTTTTGTTTTTGTTTTTGTTTTTATTTAAGACCTTTATTAACAGGTGCTTGCAGTTTGTTGACTTTTTGAAAAAATCAAGCTGTAAACTTTTATTACAAATTAAAAATGAGGTTCTTAAAAATCTCAACTTGACCAGATACGAAACAATTTAAAAACCTTTAAAGGTGTATTGAGAAAAACCAGACTTTTTTTTCTCTTAAAAAACACGTTTGTCATTACCAAAAAGAGCCGTCTTTAGATAAAAATAATATAAAACCCCATGCCGCGTAGATAATGAGGATAGTTCTAGTTATCTGGTCAACGGGCAAACAGCAAGCACTTAAGGTCTTCAGCTCCAATCTTTTGTTCATTTCTTATTGCTGGAATTTCGTATTTCTTTTTGTTGGATGACTAAACTGGATGATGGTAAAGATGGTAAGCTGGCACTTTTTACTCAGCCCCGCCCTGCTCAGCCTAAGGAGCGGACGAATTCTCAGCTGGTGCATCGGCTGCTTTTGTCTCTTTGCCATCCTGTGGTTTAGGGTTGTCTGGGTGTCTGCGTAGGTAATTGAAGTTGTGGCGGTACCGACGTTGAGGTCGCTGCTGACCTTGGGTCTCATCTCCTTGATTTTCCTTATCTTCTTCGTTGCCTTCCTCTCCAGGCTGTCGTTGGCGAGGAGGGCCCCTGCGGAATCGTGGCTTATAGCCTCGATACATATTCTGTCTCACTGGTCTGCCTTGTTCTCCTGCACCCTGGTTGTCAGCACCCTCCATCACTGCTCCCTGCACAGGAGGGGTGGAATACTGTGGCGACGCCCACCGGGCCTCCGCATGTAGTAAGGTGGGAAAAGAATGAGGGATCAGAGAGCGCTGTGGGCCCTGGCCTTCGGGAGCACTCTCTGATCCCTCATTCTCTTCCCCACTCTCACTGTTCTGGTAATTCTGCTGGTAATTGCGTGGACGACCCCTGCGACGTGGATAGCGTCTATCATGGTTACGGTCTGCTGCGTATTGACTGCCTTGTACGGAACTCCACCGGGGCCTGTAACATTTGCTGCCTCCGCACCCTTTTCTCCTTCAACGACATCAAACTCCACCGTCCCTCCATCTCCTGCACTGCGAAGGCACTTCCTGGGGGTATTCTTCTTTATGGCAGTCTGGTGTACAAATACATCTTCCTTGGTGCCATTCCTATTGATGAGACCATATCCGTTCCTTACGTTGAACCATTTTACTGTTCCCAAAACCTTCATTGCGATGACCTTCCTGTCCCCGCCGGCGGGCGCCGCCTATCGATGTGAGGCCGCCAGTGCCGCCGCTCCCTGCGCGGGGCTTGGTGTCGGTGGCGCTGAGGGTGGGGGCGGTGGGTGGCTGCTGGGTCTCTGCCCATGGTTCTGGTGATGGTGACTGGGGCCGGCTGTGGCAGCTGCGGCTCCTCCCGGGGTGTGATAGTAACTATGCCGGCGGCTGGTGGAGCTGCTCAAGGCTCTCTGGAGTCTGCTCTCCTGTTTTGTTTGTTTGTTTGTTTGTTTGTTTTGTTGTTTTGTTTTGTTTTTTATGTCAGTTGAATATCCTATATAATAAAACCAAATATGCAAATCTACTGAATGGAGGAATGACCGGTCACTATGACATGCACTGAACCACCAGGGGGCAGACGCTCAATGCAGGAGCTGTCCCCTGGTGGTCAATGCACTCCCACAGCGGGAGCGCTGCTCAGCCAGAAGCCTGGTGAGTGCAGCTGTGGTGGTGGGCGCCTCTCCCGCCTCTGCAGCAGTGCTAAGGACCCCTCCGGGGAATGTCCACTGAGGGGTCCCGGACTGCGAGAGGGTGCAGGCCAGGCTGAGGGACTCTTCCCCCCCACCCCCCAGTGCACAAATATCATGCACCAGGCCTCTAGTATATATATTTGTGTGTGTGTGTGTGTGTGTGTGTGTGTGTGTATGTTTGTATGTATGTATGTGTGTGTGTGTATATATATATATATATGAAAATGTATGTGGCTAAGGAAAATGAGGAGATCAAAAACAGGCTTGTGGATAACACTCTCATTTAAAGAATTGCCTGAGAAACAGGAACTATCAAAAGAAGCTGAGTAGGCACTGTGAAATGTATGGAAGAAAACCCACAAAGCCCAAGGTGGGCAAGTTTCAAGACTAGGAGAGCTTGTCAGTGTCAAATGTCACAAGTAAAGTCACTGGATTCAGCCATGAGGAGGTGACTGTTACCTTTAGCTAAGGCAACTTCAGGGGAATGGTAAGAAAGGGGTCTTGATATGTTTTAAAGCAGAAAAGGATCCTGATAGCAGTGAGAAGAGGAAAGAAGAATGAAAGATGCAAGCAAAACATTCTTTTAAGAAGCTGGTTTGTGAAGGAGAGGGAGGATATAGAATAACATCAAAGAAGGGAAATACAAGGAAAAGGAAAGAAATTTGTTGGGTTGTTTTTGTTTGTTATTGATTTTGAAAATGGTTGAGACTAGAATATATTTATAAAACAAAGGGTAGAAAGGCAAATGAAAGTAGACTTTGTAGAAGCAAAGTCCCAGAGAAGGGAAGAAAGTATAGGATTTAACTTACACTAGAGCGATGGGGTGGAGGTTACAGTGGACTGGAGCATCGGTAGGGGAGGGTTGGGTAAGCAAAGGGAGCTCATGACAGATGGCAGTAAGCAGATAACAGGAAGTGACATTCTCTCAAGTCCATAGTCCATGTGAATAATAGGGTATAATTTCCTTCAACAACTAAGTAGGGGTTTAGAAATGCCTTACAGGGGTTTGCTGTCATAAAGTAGATAGTATGCCCTGAATTTCACAGTCCTCTCTAATACTTTCCTCAAAAACCACTGAGCTTTTGTCCTTACTTCTCTCTCACTTACCCTTTCTTTCCACCTCCCCCCCCCCCTTTCCCTGTTCTTCTGTTTGATTACTCTCCTGTTTATATTTCTCTTATCTTATCTTAGCCTCCCTCTTCTGTTTTATCTGCATGCCCATCTCTCCATTTCATCTGTCCCTTTTCTCTTTCCCTCTTCCTCGAACTAGCCAAAACAAGAGAACTAAGTCAGTTTTCAGTTTTTCTTATACTTACTGAAAAATCATTTATTTCCTGGGCTTAAAACAAATAAAATGAAGTTTTTATACTTCTCTTTCTAAAATTAAAGGTGCATTCGAGTTGCAACTGACTTTGTTCTGTTGGTTAAAGACCTTTGATAAATGAACCTCCTGACCCTCTGTCAGACCTATGGGGAAGGAAGCAGAACTTTCCACATGTAACAGACGCGATGTTTATTTTGCACACACTGTTGACTCCATGAGAAAGACAGCACTTAAGTGTGACAAACTTAAAGAAAATAATTATGTGTTGAATGTTTGTATGTGTTGTACTAGTAAAGAAAAAATAAATAACAAGAAAAAAAACCCTCAGAAAATGTATATTTATATCCATACATTCCATTACAACTGGAATTCAAGTGATAGGAAGGAGTAAAAACACATATTTCTGGCCAAAGGAAACTGGAAATGTCATGATGTGTGTTGCTAGCCAAGAAAATCAGTGACCTTTTTGTTCCCCGGACCTGGCAATGAACAGAATTGTTGCCCTGGTAACAGCAGATGGCACTCCCCACACTAAAAGGGCGCCGCCTAGCACACACAGCACTGTGAGTTCTCACTCCAGCCGGCCCTGGCATCTCAGGAGCACATTCACAACTGGACTTGCCACTGAGTTTGTGGCTCTTTAGGTGACTTAAGGCCACAAGCTCTCAACTATACTTCAGCAGAATTAATCCTCAACACTGAAGATTATTTCTCTTGAGTGAATATATAAAAATTGCATCCATTGCTAAATTCTGAGCCCAGTCTGCCATCAGCCTAAATTGTTGGTCATTACTTTTAGAAACAGTGCTCAAATTGTATGACTTTTATTTTTTTTTATTATTTTTTTTTAATCAATCTTTATTGTTCATATTGTTACAAAGGTTCCTCATTTCTTCCCCCCTCCACCAGGTTCCCACCCCACCCTCCGCCCTCTCCCCATCCCCCATTGTCCTCATTTATAGGTCCAGTTTATGTTCAGTCTCTTCCTCCCTGCCTTTCCCCGATAGTAAATCCCTTTTCAGATAGTAAATCAGTTACTTAGCATTTTCTCATATCAATAATACCACCACATGCCCAATGATACATTTCACACAAAAGACATTTCCAAATAGGTCAACCAGCCTCATCCAGGCCCCACCCAAGGCACTCACAGATCAACACCCCAGCCCCTATACTAACTCAACACATCCAGATCTAAGCCTTCATCACTTGATTCAGCAGACCCTCAAGTTCCCACAAAAGTTTCCAGCCATGTCTGAGAGGCAGCCGTGGGGTAGGGGCAGGCGAGAAGCGAGCTGTTCCGGGCCTGGCTGCTCCGGGCTTGGCCTCTGTTGCTTTGGTTCCACAACCAGCTGCTCCGGATCTGGTCACCGCCGCTCCTGACCTAGTTGCTCTGGACCTGGCTGCTGCTGCTCCGGGCCTGGCCGCACCGGACATGGCTGCTCTGGGCCCAGCTGCTCCGGGCCTGGCCGCTCCCAGCCTGGCAGCCGCTGCTCCAGGCCTGGCCACTCCCAGCCTGGCAGCCGCTGCTCCGGGCCTGGCCGCACCAGATCCGGCTGCTCCGGGCCTGGAAATTGTATGACTTTTAAACAACACCTCCAATTATAAATTTCTTACTTAAATGTTTTAGCATGACCTTTCTAAAGGAATCTTTAACACAATTGTTTGAAACTACTTAATTTTTATGAAAGGAAAATTAGGAGTGGAGAGAAAGACGCTTTAGAGAGCACCAGGCTATGAATCTGGGGAGGGACCTCAGAAGAAGTTCAGGTTAAAATTCCCAGAAGTTCAGGTTCAGATTCCCAGAAATGCAAGCCATTCTGGAGGGCTGGGGGCATGCCATTCCCCCAGTGTGGACACTGAGAGTGTGGTGTGGGTTTGTATGAGGGATCTTCATGGCTTAAGATGAGGCAAAACCCAGAACAAATAAAAGGCTAAAACAGCCTCCTGCAAAACTATACCGAGGACAGAACTTGCCTTTGTGTTTTCCAGCCTCTTGGACTGTTTCACATACGTTCATTCCAGACAGCACTCTGTGCCACAAGTGTGTGCTACCTGCATGCTCCTCAGCCTCTCCTTTCCTCTGCGCTGGACCATTGCTGTCCTTCACAGAAGAATGAAAGAACCTAGTCCAATAATTCACAGTAAATTATTACCTGGAGAGAAAATAACTCCATTGTATCACTTTGGTGCCTTTTGCTATTTTCTGTCGTCTACAATTTTGCCTTTGGAATACTCTTAAGATTATATCATCAACTAGAGGCCCAGTTCACAAAAATTCATGCACCCGGGGTCTCTCAGCCTGGGAGCCCTCAGGGGATATCTGACTGACAGCTTAAGCCTGCTCCCTGTGGGGAGCAGGCCTAAGCCGCAGTCTGGCCTCCCTCTGTGGGAGGCGAGCAGCTGGCCCCACACCCCCATCACCCATCCACCATTGCTGGTCATCACTGCCTTTCCCCACTCCCCCAGTCGCCATGCCCACCCTATGCCTGCTGCCATGTGCCTTGGCTGGCCTGGCACCGCCTGCTCACCAGCCCCTCCCTGAGCCGACCGGTTGTCCTGCCGTTCAGTTGATTTTCATATTATGCTTTTATTATATAGGATAGTATAAGAGGTGCCTAACCCAAAGAGGACAAATCTGGAGGAGAATTTCAGCTGGTGTGGCAAACAATTGCGGAAGTATTTGTGGGCAGGAAGAGTATACTCCTATTCCTAGGGACCGTCCAATGGTGATTATCTATTCACCACATTTTTTACAAAAATGATCATTTTCCATGGTTACATCAAAATTATTTTGAGGTGTTAGCTTCATTGTTGAAAAGAACCTCAAATCTTTTCCTCTCTGTCAGCTCACTTCTAATGCCTAAACCCTGTGCTTGATTATAAAATCTTAAGAGAATCCAAAGGCAAAAGTAAACAAAGTACATACTTGTATAGGGATGACTTCATGGTTATTTAAAGACATAAACTTGCCGAGACCGGTTTGGCTCAATGGATAGAGCATCGGCTTGGGGACTGAAGGGTCCCGGGTTCGATTCCGGTCAAGGGCATGTACCTTGGTTGCGGGCATATCCCCAGTAGGGGGTGTGCAAGAGGCAGCTGATTGATGACTCTCTCTCATCAATGTTTCTAACTCTCTATCTCTCTCCTTTCCTCTCTGTACAAAATCAATAAAATATATTTTAAAAAAAAAAGACATAAACTTGATTCCCTCTCCAATTTGGTTTTTTCTGAGAGTTGAAGTTAGCAAATTTCCATGCAGTTTACTTTGTAAGTTTGATGAGAACAAACTTCCCTTCACAATAGATAAGGCTTTCCTTGCATCTAGTTTAAAATGGTTTTCTTTTAAATAAATAACTTTTGCTTACTAATTTATTATGTCTTCTCTCATTTTCCTTCTCCCACTTACATTTCTCAGGACAAATGTTGCCTTTCACTTCACTGCCAGCCCCTCTCAACCTCAGGTACGTGAAGGGTGTCGAGGTTATGATTCTATTAGTGTTACTCACAGTGTTACTGTGTTAACGGGTGGATTCAGCATGTGGTATTGTTCTGCATATTTCACAGCTTAAGATGTATTTGTAATTTGGAAATGTTATCCATGTCACTAGAACTTTGGACACAACATTTAATCTTATCACCTGAATTGATTATGTGAAATATGAGGAATATTTGCAGATATTCCTTGGCTCAACTTTCATTTAGCAGGTGTACTATGTGCCTACTATATGTACTAAGCAACCTTAGACTGTACTTGGTGGTGGGAAGAGCAGGATGAAGAAGGGAAAGATGCTACTTCTGCCCTCATGGACCTTTTATAATCAGGATGGGGGTCGGGGAGCAGAGAAGTAGAAGGCCAACACTAAATGGATACACAAATACTTAATTCACCTGGAGATACAATAAAATAAAACAGATTTTAATTTCTAGTGTTGTGGATGGAATAAATTAGTTTCTCCTATGTAAAGAGAGAACAGGGATGCTGAAAAAATATAATAAAAATTAGATATTTATGTTGTGCTCTCCATTAAACTGTAATCATATATAGAATAAATACATGAAAATTTGGTGACACTTCTTGTTACCTTTCTTTTTTTTTTCATGGATTCTGAAAAAGTAAAGTTTAAGCAATACTTTAATACAAATTTATTGAATGTGCTGGTATTTCCTGTACATCTTCTGCAGGCTATAATACAGTTTGGTCATAAATGGTTACTTAATTTTTGTCTTGTATATACTAAAACCGGGATTAACACAGTAAATGGACTCTATTGTAAATCTATTACAACCACTGTGTGAAGATAAATATTTAGCAACTAATTTTTAGAGGGGGAGGGGAAACCCTGATTTGTAGAATTTGCCCATTTCTGTGGCATAAATACCTTCATCGTGGTCAACTTCAGGATGCCAATGTGATGTCATTGAACACAGAGTTGGGAAGAGATGTATACAATCAGCTCCACAAATCCATATGAGCTGACTCCCACGCATTTCTTGATAAATTTTGCAGCCTCCACAGTGCCTACGTACTGCCACCCAGTGATGGAAGAGGTCTACAGGCTTGCAAACCACTGCCTTCAACATTTATTGGCTAATTAATTCATGAAATATTTGAAAGCACTAGTTGATAGGTGCTATGGGAGATAGCTAGAAAGGGAAGAAAACCTTGCAGAATGAGTATAGTCTAATAGTCCTGTTCAGAGTTATAGTAAATATGATATAGTGAATGCTGTAATACACTTCGTTTGTGGGCTGAAATTCAGTGATGATTAGATATTACAGCTTCCTTTTCTTTTATAGGAGTGTGTAAGTACTAAAGCCTAAGTAGTTTGACTGTAAACCCAAACTAGAATAAAATGTACTTAGAACATTTTATTAATGTTATATATATAATTATTGCTGACAGTAATTGTAGCGATGCTCTTGAGTTACAAGGTTGGTTTCCCTAGCGTTTTCCTTTTGGTAACGCTAGAGGATTCACCTTGGGAAGAGCCCTGTATTATATGAATTTGAGCCAAGCTCCAAAATGAAAGTGCAAAATGAGGTGGGTTCTTAGGAATGTTGCCGCCTATTACAAGGTGTGGACAGATTTCCAAATAGCAGTGTTAATGACAGTCCATCTTGAGAAGGCCTTGGATTATTGAAAAACATTCTATTCTTATTGCTCTGGTTCTCAAAATAAGGTTAGTAAAGAGGATGTTGGAATGCAAAATTAAAATTTTGACATGTTTTGCCTTTCCTTTAAAGTGATAGATTTATTAGAGCCCTAAAATATGGGCTTGTTTTGGTTGGCTCCCTCAAAACCTTAATCACTTAATTTTTTGTCAAGTTTCTCAACCAGTTGCCATATTTATACATATTGGGCAGAAGTCCCCTTTCTTCATTATTAGTAACATTTTTAAAATAAGGTGACCAGACGTCCCGCTTTTGGCGGGACAGTCCCTATTTTTAACAATTTGTTCCGCGTCCCGCGCGTTTTAAAACAGTCCCGCGGGACGCGGGACAAATTGTTAAAAATCGGGACTGTACCGCCAAAAGCGGGACGTCTGGTCACCTTACTTTAAAAGTTAGAGTTAATAGTTTTTTTCAGGGGATTTATAATCTAACTAGAGGTCCAGTACAAGAAATTCATGCATGGGGGGAGGGGGGATGGGGAAGGGAGAATGTCCCTCAGCCCAGCCAGCACCCTCTCCAATCTGGGACATCCCTCTCGCAATCTAGAACTGCTGGCTTCCAACTAACCGTCTGCCTGCCTGCCTGTTTGCCCCTAACTACTTCTGCCTGCCAGCCAGCCTGATCACCCCCTAATCACTCCCTGGACAGCCTGATTGATGCCTAACTGCCCTCCCCTGCCAGCCTGGTCACCCCTAACTGTCCTTCCTTGCAGGCTTAGTGCCTCCCAAGTACCCTCTCCTGCTGGCCATCTGTGGTGGCCATCTTGTGTTCACATGAGGTTGGCCATCTTGTGTGTTGGAATGATGGTCAATTTGCATATTACCTCTTTATTATATAGGGTTATTATATAGGATTAGGTAAACAGCATAACCTCCTTCTATTATGTTTCCTGGTTCTGATGATATGTGAGAAATTCTTTTACATATATATTAGCCTGCCCCAAACTGAGAATATATATTTCAGGGGCTAGATGTAAAGTTTTGTCTTTGAATCTAAATGTCCTCCCACTTTATTCCAGCCAGAAAATAAATTCTTTAGCAAAAAACTAGGAGAAGGGTAGGTTTAATGCTAATTATTGCCTATAGAAAGCTGGTTAAGATTCTTGAAGAACAGGCTTACCTGCTTTACAAAGCAGAGCCTCATATTTCAAAATAAACATATGGAAGTAAATATTGTCTCATATTACATCCCATATATCCCTAATTCAAAGGTTAAGGGATCTTCTGTTTTAAAATGTTTTTATTTATTTGAGAGGAAGGGAGAGGGATAGAGAGATAGTAGCATCTGTGAGAGAGAAACATCGATCCGCTGTTTCCTGCATACCTCCTACTGGAGATGGAGCCACAACCCAAACATGTGCCCTGAGAAGCAATATCGTATGAATGGCTACTTTTTTTCCTTTTTCTTAACTCACTGATATAGTCCTAATCTCTGGCACAGAGCCCCAAAAATAAGTTGCTCAATATTTGTAAGATGAATGGCTGACTGAATTCATGGAGGTTTATTGAGATGTGCATCTGAATTTTGTGCCTAATAGAGAAAATGATCCTACTCATGTGAAAATAGTTTGAATTCATGACTATAAACATTTCTTAAGGTTAACAAATCATGTTTCTCTTTTTTCTTATTCTCAGTATTTTCTATACAAATTTCCTGAAGATGTGGACTCAGTTGTCATTAAAGTTGTATCTAACGTGGCTTATCCATGTTCTGTTGTCTCTGTCCAGAACATCATGGTGAGTCTTAATAACTTGTCAACCTTCCAGTGTGGAGCATTATATTGTCTCAGGATAAGTGAGAGAGAAGGTGGAGGACATGTCTGTGTATCTTCTGCAAAACTGCTAAAGACTAAGAACAGCATCTTGTGCAGTCAGTGTATGCAGACATTGGTTTGGGGCAATAAAAATAGTTAACTCCTCACCAAATTTTTTTTTAAAAAAGAAGAAAGGAGGCAGGGAGAGAGGGATGATCATGACAAAGTACAAGGAAGATGAAGTTGTGGACCACAGGAGATAAAATAGAAACCTACCACTTGTAAGTTTTTAAAATGACAAAAACTGTATGATTCCACTCACATATGGAATAGAAAACAAAAAATTAACAAGCAAACTAATAAAACAAAAACAAATTCATAGGTACAGTCAACGGAAAGGGAAAGAAGGTGGAGAAAAGAATGAATTGGGTAAAGGGGGTGAAATATATGCAAAGGAAAGAACTAGACTTTTGATGGGTGAGCATGCAATAGAGTACACAGATAGAGTTAATATGTTGTACCCCTAAGATTTATGCAATGTTATTAACCACTTTTATCTCAATAACTGTAATTTAAAAATTTTATAGTAACATTATGTCATTTCTATCTCTTCAGGTTTTAATTTAAAAAGTGAAAAGATATTAGAAACCTTAGGACAACTTTTCAGTTCTCTTTCACATAAAGAGACTTAGGAAACTGTCTCATGCCTGATCTGGGAAGAACTTTTATGGCTTAGTAAGGAACTCTCACTCTGTGTGTGCAGTATGTGCAGCATAACATGATATGATGTTAGTGATGATTTCCTTCTTACCCCTCATGTACATTATAGTGCCCAGTGTATGATCTTGACCACAATGTGGAATTTAATGGTGTCTATCAGTCCATGACCAAGAAAGCTGCAATCACATTACAGGTGAGACATCACTTCTGTGGTCACTATTATTGATGATAGTGTGTCAGTTTACCTACTGGAGCAGCATTCAAAGGGAATGCCATTCACTGTGCCTTGGAACTCTTCCCTTTCCAATTGGTTTTATTTGTTTGTTTGTTTGTTTGTTTTTTATTTTTATATATTTTATTGATTTTTTGCAGAGAGGAAGGGAAAGAGAGTTAGAAACATCGATCAGCTGCCTCTTGCACACCCTCCACTGGGGATGTGCCTGAACCAAGGTACATGCCCTTGACTTGAATCGAACCTGGGACCTTTCAGTCCGCAGGCGGACACTCTATTCACTTAGCCAAACCAGTTAGGGCTCCAGTTGGTTTTAGAAAGAAAGATTGAGCCTGGCCGGTGTGGCTCAGTGGTTGAACATTGACCTATGAACAGAAGGTCATGATTGATTCCCGGTCAGGGCACATGCCCAGGTTGCAGGCTTGATCCCCAGTGTGGTGTGTGCAGGAGGCAGCCAATCAGTGATTCTCTCTCGTCACTGATATTTCTATCTTTCCCTCCCTCTCCCTCTGAAATCAATAAAAATACATTTTAAAAAGGAAGGAAGGAAGGAAGGAAGGAAGGAAGGAAGGAAGGAAGGAAGGAAGGGAGGGAGGGAGGGAGGGAAGAAGGGAGGGAGGGAGGGAAAGAAGAAAGAAGAAAGAAGAGAAAGAAAGAAAGGAAAGAGAGAGAGAGAGAGAGAGAGAGAGAGAGAGAGGAGAGGGAGTGATGGAGTAGGGAGGAGAGAAGATGCAAGACACGACTAACCTCCAGCCCGCCCGAAAAGACAGACCGCACATCACGCCACCAATTTCGTGCGTTTTGATTTTTTTTTTATTTCTTGGCTGTTCTTTCGTTCATCCTGCCTCCTCCTCGCTCCCTCCCCTCCCACCCCCCCTCCCTCCCGCCATCAGCCCCCATCCCCCCCCGATCCGTCGCTCCTCCTTACGTCTTCCTTCCGTCTCCGTCCTCATTCAGTCCTACTCCTCCCCCCCTCATCTTTTTCTCTTCTTGTCCCTTCTACTGCCAGGCTCCCTGGGGAATCTTGGGAACCCAAAATGCAACGGGACATATTAATATATTTGACAGGCTGCCTAAAAGAAAGGTAAAGGCAAAATATTTCAATATACTCAATGGGTGATGCAAAATTATGGTAAAGTTATCTCATCTACTGAAAGCGATTAAATATAAAAGAAGAAGAATTTGTATTAATAATAGTAAGCAAAAGAGGACTTTAGCTGGACAGAATGGACAGTCTTAAGGAATATGGGGTGATAGAGGGATAAAGGAAGACAAATATTTGGTGACAGAAGATGATCTGACTTTGGGTGGTAGACATATGCCAGGAACCAATTTCAGCATGTAATAATTACAAGAGCTTCACCAAAAGATTGGTGAAGCTTGGGTGGCTCAACAAGGGTGAGTCACATATGTAATTACCTGTTGGAATGCTAAATGGCACTTCCCCCAAACCTGAACAGGATAATCATTTGCTGCCAGACGGCTCAGGGCATTTTATTGCCTTCTGTTGGCCAAACACCTGAAGAGCTGTAGACTATTCCCCAAACTGACAATGCTTCTGTATATCCTTTGAGACCCTACCCTTTGAAGTGTATATCTCCACTTGCCTGAGGACAAATTGTATTAATAAAAGCAGGGTCCTGAGTTGAGGAAGAAGTCTTCTAGCTCCTTTAGCTGAAGATCCTCTGACCCCCCAATGACTTTTAAAATTATCTTTCGTCCTTGGACTCCTTCTTGAATCTACATGTAGCCCCTTTTTCCAGAATGCTGAACCCTTTGTAAGGCTGGGAAAAGAATCCCGACAGACATATAATGCAATATACAGATCATGTATCATAGAAATGTACACTTGAAGCCTATGTGGTTCTATTAACCAATGTCACCCCAAGAAATGTAATTTTAAAAACATTTAAAGGAATATGGACCATATTTGTGCAGCAGTTTGCCTTTTTGACATTTGTAATTAAATTTTTATTTCAATGCTAATTGCATGTTTGGCAATAAATTGTTTCTTTTCTTTTGGGCCCATGATTCTGTCTTTGGCCATTCTCTCAGAGATACCAGAAATTTTGGGATGTTAAGAGAAAATAGAGTTGTAGAAATAGAATAGACCTTAAAATATCATCTTCCCAATCATGCTTCATTTATGGATAAGAAAACTGGGACACAAACAGAACTTAGAGAAAGTCAAAGCTAGGACTAACTTGGGTTTCCTGGCTTATCTTTGCCTCCCTAAATTAAACTATTTATTTAACTGCTGACTGTATGACTTTTAGGAAAGTCATTTATCATTAGACTAGAAGCCTGAGATTCAGGCACTGGGGGGAGGGGGATGGTCCCTCAGCCTGGCCTGCACCCTCTCACAGTCTGGGACCCATCGGGGGATTACTGCCTGCCAGCTTAAGCCCAATGCCCTCGGGGATGAGGCCTAAACTGGCAGTATGACATCTCTCTCGAAGTCAGAGGCTCTCGTAGACCGTGACCCCCTCGCTGCTTACCACCTACCTACAGTGGAGTCAGGAGAGGCTCCCGCCACCACTGCTGCATGAACCAGGCTTCTAGCTGAGCAGCAATCCCCTGTGGGAGCACACTGACCACCAGGGGGCAGCTCCTGTGTTTAGTATCTGCCCCCTGGCTGTCAGTGCGCATCATAGCAACTGGTCATTCTGCTGTTCGGTCTATTTGCATATTACGCTTTTATTACATAGGATTTTAAAATAATAAAAATCTAATATAGTTAATTTTAAAATAAAGCTTATTAATTTTTTTAAAATATTAAGTATGAATTATTAAGCATAGGTTATTGACATTATTTATGTGGTGCCTGTCTTTCTTATCATAAGAACTTATCGTAAGATTGTTATGTCTTATGCAGAAGAAGGATTTTCCAGGTGAGCAGTTCTTCGTGGTGTTTGTGATAAAGCCTGAAGATTATGCTTGCGGAGGATCTTTCTTCATCCAGGGTAAGAGATAGTGAGAGAACCTGGCTACTTGTAAAAACCTGACCCAGGGGAATGGAAGGGAAGTCAAAAGCTTACTTTGGCCCTTTATGACCATTTCTAGTTTCTAGTAAGTGAGGGCCATCAGCCATGACTTGATAAGGTAGCTGAGAGATACTTGAGAATAAAATAAAGGTAAGAAAATGATAAATCTAAAAGTATTGGTGATACTACAAAAGGTCACTTAGTGCATTGTATGATTTCAAGATCTTGTGCTCTCTCAGACCACATGAAATTGGCTCTTCACTCAACAAATATTTGTTACCAGAAAGTAATGATTTGTATATAGCAGACCAAGGTCCATTTCCTAAGATTGGTTTGTAAGCCAAGAATAATGGAGCCTTATTTAGTAGTGATCATTTCCATAAGGATGTGCAAGGAAAACTGAGTTCTCAATTTTGGTTGCGAAAATTAAACCTTGCAAGATAGCAAAGCGGGACAATGACAATGACAGAGGTTGTGTGAGCTCTCAGGCAAATGCAAACGGTTATCCAGTTACTCAGTAACTACCTTGGGAATGGGATAGGTTGTTGGAAAACACAGGTCCCCAGCAGCTGATATGATATGTGATCAACAGAGATGTTTATTATTGAGTGAAACATGGTTCCCTTGGTATTTAGGTGAAATTTGTTCCTGTATTTTTTAGTCTCTTAATTACATCGCTTTATAGAGTTTTGCTAATGTCTAATGTTCTTTGTTAAACTACATGCTCTTTGGTAACTGTGTAAGAAAAAACAAGTTCTCACTGGCTAGAAAATACAAGCCAAAATACACAGTGGCTTCCTATTTTCGTAGCTGTTCTCTTCATATGTCTGTGGCATGTTGAGCCATCTGGATATCAAGTAAAGGGTCAAGCCTTCTTCACTGAGCAGGGAGGCTGAAGTCTCGTTTGCCTCAATTAGTGCTATCATCTGCATCCAATTTGAATGTTTAACCAGAAGGTATTTTAGATGATGTGAAGGTTTGGGAGTTAGGTTTTCCTCTAGTTCTTGCTAAAAGAAAATTCAGCAACCAGAGTTAATTTTGGACCATTTTTGAACTGTTCAGATGAGAGGTGAAGATCCTAATATCTGATCCATTTTTCCTTGTTCTTTTTTTACCAGAAAAGAAGAACCAGACCTGGAATCTACAACGAACAAAGAACCTTAAAGTGACCATTGTTCCTTCTATTAAAGGTCAGAATTGGCTCAAAGGTTCAGTGGACAGATTCCTATGTCAGGCAGTCGATCATATAATTCAATGCTAACATCATCCTTCCAGAGAAAGAATATAAGAAAACTAATGTTTACCTTAGAGATAAAAGAGAGAATTAGAGCATCTTGTTAAATTCCTTCTGAAAAGAAAGGGAACTCATTATGAAGCTGTACATAGGCAGCCGTTTGTGGATAATGTCTGGGTGACCTTCAGTAACTTTGCTGCTTTAAATAGAGGCATCTCAAGACTTAAGAATGAGTATGATGAAGACAGCCCTTTGAATCTCTTCTGTCCCAAGCATGGTCCTCTTTTCTCCTGACTAAAGTTGTTTCTCTTTCACCAGAATCCGTTTTTGTGAAATCCATTCTTCTCAGCTTCCTCATCTTCTTCTCCTTCTACTTGGGATGCCTGTTGATTGCATTTGTTCATTATATCCGGTACGTCAAGAATTTCAAAAATGTTAACCCCATTGCCTGTCTCTGCTTAGTAACTGGAGCATTAGGCTTTAGAACCAAATTGACTCAGCCACTAATTGTGCGACCTTGGGCAAGTTACTTAATTTCTCTGTATTTTAGTTTCCTCATCTGTAAAATGTGATAATAATTTACTTCTTAGAATAATATAACTGCAGTATTTATGTCAATGTTTTGAATGGACTAAGTGCTGGTAAAGTGTTAGTTATTTTAGCAGGAGTAATTTTATCAGGAATTAGTTATTAATAGCAGGAATAATATACTTCAATACTACATTTTTACTGTTGTACCATCAATTTTCCAATAAAATGTCCCTTAAGAGAGAGAAAAAAGGGAGCTAATTAGACTGTGATTTAACTAAGGAAATGCCCTTTCTGAGAGTTTGGAACTCCCAGTAAAATGAGCTCATCTCTCCTTGCCTCCTCAGGAGGCCTGAACCTTGAGAATTCCATAGTTGTGGTCTCTGTGAAACAACTAAGAAAGCATGGCAGGAAGTTTATATTAAACAAGTGTTCTTTCTCCTCTTGAATGTGTAAGAAAACAAAGCCAGCGTAGAGTTTTCAGATTACTGAGCAAGCTCCCATTTATAGAAAAACCTCATGGCTCCGACAATGATACAATCATCTCAGTGATGCAGGCCTATCTCTGACTCAAAAATAACTGCTTTTGTGATCTTTATGAAGCTTTTCAGTTAATAAACTGATATAAAAAACCCTGGGATTGCCGGGACCGGTTTGGCTCAGTGGATAGAGCGTCGGCCTGCGGACTGAAAGGTCCCAGGTTCGATTCCGGTCAAGGGCATGTACCTTGGTTGCGGGCACATCCCCAGTAGGGGGTTGTGCAAGAGGCAGCTGATCGATGATTCTCTCTCATCGATGTTTCTAACTCTCTGTCCCTCTCAAATCCTTTCTGTGTAAAATCAATAAAAAATATTAAAAACAAACAAACAAAAAAAAACCCTGGGATTATCACTAGTCATATCTGAAACAATCTCAGCACCAAAACAATTAAGGAGAATAATTAACTATAAGTCTTTGCAAAAAATAGAAATTCATGAATCCATATTGATAAAGAAAGGAAGAGAGGAAGGAACAACCTTGAAAATATACATTTAATGATGTCAACACAGTTGCTAAAACTTGTACACATCAGGGAAAGAAGTTATTAACAAATACTGACATTAACAAATGTTAAGGAGGGCATTTGTCTACAGCACAATGCCAAAAGCTGACAGAAATATGGAGTGCTGGAATTGGAAAATCATTGTTTTGCATAGATCAGCTTAAGAATCATCAATGGATACTAAAACTAGGAGAAAAAAAATCTAATGAGGATCAAGAGATTTTCATGGCTTTTAAGCTTATCCCCACAAAGGGCTTAGTAGTTGTAAGGGGGAAACTTAGTAACTACACAGTGAAGAAATCAGACAGTTGACTGGGTGATCAAAATTAATATGACTGAGGAAAAGATAAATATCATGTGCCCCCACATGTGACACTCTGAGAGGGGTACATCACATATATAGTGTTCCAGCCAGAAAGGCATATTTTGAATATAACCACAAGGAAAAATTAAACTAAAAATAACAGTCGTTTTATTAAAATTTGTCATAAAAGACAAAGAAAGGCTATGAAAATGTTCCAGGTTGAAGGAAATTAAGGAGATATGACAACTAAAGACAATACTTGATCTCAGACTGAATCTATTACTAGAAGAAAAATAAGCTATAAATGGCATTATTGGATCAACTGATAAAATTTTAATATAGACAAATTAGATAAGATTATAATATTAATGTTAAATTTGCTGAATTTGACAACTATACTGTGATTATGTAAGAGAATATCTTTATTCTATTTAAGCCTAAAAGTTCATGACATTAACGTACTTTCAAATGGTTCAGGAAAAAATGAATATATATATACCAATTGTACATATACAGACAGACTGATAAAGCAAATGGAGTAATATACTAACAATAAGTGAATCTGTGTAAATGGTATGTGACTGTTGTATCCTTATAATAAGGTCTCCATAAATTTGAAGTTATTTTCAAATAAAAAGTTAAAAACAAAGACTCCAGTCTACAGGTAGATATTATATCTAAAAGTACATACATTAATTATAAGCTCAATTAATTTATCAGATTACAATCACTAACATTTAACAAGTACCTGCTCTGTGCCAAACTCTCTAAGCAGATGATCTTGTCTAATGATTTACAGCAATGGGTACTAGTATTATCACCATTTGATGGTGAAGGAAATTGAGGCATAGAGAGATGAAGCAATTTGACCAAGAATTCACAGCCAGTAAATGAAAGAGCTGGGGTTTGAAACCAGAGAGTCGGCCTCTCTAGAGCCTTAGCTCTTAAGCTGCTGGTCAAGATGGGTCTAGAGTGGTCAGGGCATTGAGGAAGGGCAGCCTCCGCATTGATTCATTTCAAAAAAGGTCCAAAAAGCTTCCAGTTTTGACTCAGATGAGCTTCAGTGTCATGGAATAAGAGGATCACCTCTCCTGCTTCTCTTAGGAAGACTGTCTCTACTCTTGATGTTTTAGATTTGAGGAGATAAGATTTTACCTCTTTAGTTAGTTAACATGCACAGTCAACACACAAACAGACAAAAAATTAAGTTAATAGCTGGATATCAATCTCTCTACAGTTGTTATTCAACCTACTGAAGTAAGCACAGTTTTTCAAAGTTGTGCTATAAGGCTCTGTTGAAACCGCGAGCTGCCAGATTACTTTGCTACAGACAATTGCATGAGCAGAGATTTTTTTTCCAAATATAGACAAAATGAAAATAGAAATCTGAAGACATAAGAATTAGCTGGCATTCTAAATAGGGAAATAGACTGAGGGGAAATGCTAATACACCTCTTCCTTCATTGAACTAAGCAGAAATAACAAAGTTTTCTACAAAACCAAATGAAACTAGTTCTGGAGCATAAAGCCATTTTCTCAGTGAGTCCCCTGCCCCCTATTATTAACACATGAGGGGCTTTCAGTACCTGCTATGAGATTAGGATTGAAACACTGGTTAGAGATGTCCTGGCCCTCAAAGTGTTTTTATGCTATATTCTCTTGAACTCGTAACTAAACACCATTTTCCTCCCTTTCTCAAATTCAATCTATTCAGTATTTTTGGAGCCCCCACAATGAATGTGCAGGTCCTGTCCCAACCACTGCATACATATTCTCTTGTTTGTTCCCCTCAACCACCCTGCCAGACATTGAGTTCAAACTGCTCAGTTCTGGGGGCTTATCCTTCTCTTGACACTTGTATTAGTATCTATTGCCATAATAATGCTGCATAAAAACCAACCATAAAAACTTCAGTGGCATACATCAATAAATATTTAAGTTTGCTCACAAATCTGTGGGTCTGCTGGACTGGGCTGAGATCTCAGCTGGATGTGGTCACAGAAGGCAGCCAGCTGGCAGGTCACCTAGGAGCTGGCTCTGCTAGACTGCCCTCAGCAGTGCTGGGTCTCCCACCCTCCCGCAGACTAGCTCTGGCTTATTGTATCTCCGGTAGAGAAAACAGAAGAGTGTGAGGCCTCCTTAAGACAAAGCTGAGAAATGGTATTACTTCCCCCTCATTTTGTGGGTCAAAACAAGGCATGAGGCCAGTCCAGATTTAAGAAGTGAAGATGCAGACTCCACTTTTGATTGAAGAAGCTGGATACAAGATGAGGTGTAGTCATTTTCAATGTCTAGCATAGTTCTCATCTACTATTTTTGCCTTTTCTCACTGGATACTGCCTGCCTCAGCCCGGCTTTGTAAATCATTGAACTCCTCTAATGAAAAATTTTATCAGCTCCAAAACCTAAGGCAAGCATAGGTAAAGCCTGTTAATACAAACGCACAATCCAAACACATCACTTTAATGAGGCCAAATACATAATTGCTTGCCCATTAATATCACTAAAATTATTTTTAAAGGGGACTTCATTAGAGCCTCATTTGAACAGCTAGAACAGTTGGGCCAAAATTGTAACTGTTCTCCTTAATGATATGCCTTTTTCACTCAACAAATATTTAGTTATCATTTCCTATGTGGCAGGTCCTGTACTAGAAGTAAAAGATACAGTGGTGAACAAGACAATCTAGAGACCTGCTCTAATAGAACTTACATGGTACAGAGAAAAACATATAAGCAAGGAAGCAAATAATAAAATAATTTCAGCTTGAGAGAGAAGAATAGACTCCGGTGTGATGGAGAATGATTTGATTGAGAAAGCTACTTTAGATTTAATTTATTCAGCAAGGAAGACCTCTCAGAACCAAAACTTGAATAGCAGAAAGGAGCCAGCAATATGAGGATCTGGGGAGAGAGTGATCCAGGCAGAGAACAAGAGCAAAAGCCCTGAGGCAGGGATGAATATGCTGCATCTAGAGAAAAAAGAGATATGAAGAGAAGTTCCTCCACCAAATATCCCAGGTCAGGAGTGTGCCACTTCTGGAGTCCCAGTCTGGAAGAAAAGAGCATATACCAAAGTACAGGTGCAATTTTCCTCCTCTTCCACTCCAGCCTCATTCAAAAGGGAGGCTCACTTTGGGGAAGAGGGTAATTCACATTTGAATTTTTGGTAGACATTCTCAAATGGTATACATAATTTTAAAATAATAGCTATTGAGATATAATTCACAGAACAAAAAATTCACCCTTTTATAGTATACAATTCAGTGGTGTTTAGAATATTCACAGTTGCACAACCACCACCACTATCTAATTTTCATCACTTCCAAAAAGAAGCCCTGAGTTTACTGAGATTACAAGATACTAGATCAGTATACAAAAATCAATTGGATTTCTACACACTAGCAATTTACAATTCAAACATGAAATGAAGGAAACAATTCCATTTACAATAGCATTTAAAATAATAAAATATTTAACACATTTAACTAATTAAAACTACAAAACACCTTTGAAAGAAATTAAAGAGGACTTAAATGGAAAGATGTACCATGCTCATGGGTTGGAAGACTTACTATTGTTAAAATGGGATAGTAGATAGAATAATGGCCCCAAAAGATGTTCATATCCCAATATACAGAACCTGTGAATATGTCACTTTACAGGACAATAGAGATTTTTCAGGTGTGATAAATTATGAAGATTATCCCATATTATCCATATGGGTATAATGTAATCACAGGGGTCCTTATATAAAAGGGAGACAAGAGGGTCAAAGGCAGAGGAGGAGATGTGATAATGGAAGCAACAGTTGGAGTGATACACTCTGAAGACAGAGGAAGGGGCCATGAGTCAAAAAGTTGAAACAACCAAAATGTCCACCCAAGTGTAAACAAAGAAATGTGATATATCCATTCAATGGAATATTAGCCATAAAATGACTGAAGTATGGATTTATATGTCCTATAGATGAGCCTTGAAGACATTAAGTGAAAAAAGCCAGTCAAGAAAGACTACATATAGTATATTTCATTTCTGCGAAATGTACAGAATAGGCAGACTTATAGAGACAGACAGTAGATTAGTGGTTGCCAGGAGCTGGGAGGAAGGGGAATAGAGAGTGTCTGCTAATAGATTTGAGATTTCTTTGGGGGATGATGAAAATGGTCTCAAATTAGGTAATAGTGATAGTTGCACAACTTTGTGAACATACTAAAACTCATTGAATTGTGCATATTAAAGGGTGTGTGAATTTTATGGTATGTGAATTATCTGAAAATAAATTAATGAATTTACATGTGTGTATGTGTGTGTGCATGCGCACAGGCCTAGGAATAGAACTGCTGAATTATTTGGTAACTCTATGTTTAACTTTTTGAGGAACTTCCAAACTTTTCCTAAATGGCTATATCATTTTACAATCCTATTAGCAATGTATCAGAGTCCCAAGTTCTCCACATCCAAAGGCCCGTTTTTAAGAGATTCAAGCAGACAAATCTGCAGTTAAGTCAATAGAGGACACATATAAAATGCTGAGGTTTTTGCTGCCTTCGGAGCATGTGTATGTGCTTTTCTTGCAGGTTTCAGAGAAAATCCATTGATGGAAGCTTTGGTTCCAATGATGGTAAGAAAAATCACTGGTTTCAAATCAAATTGATGTCACGCATATGGTAACACTCCCATTTGGTACTTCTTTTGTCTCTATGCCCTTTGTCATTTCCAAACCCTTCCTTGGTTCCTACCCCACAAAATACTCTAATCCACAGCCTTTCTACAGAAAACGGAGCTCAGTGAGACCAACAATCACTGAGATGTGGAAATCATATTGAAAGCTTTTGCTGGGAGCATCCCGTGTAATTATCCACCAGCCCATTTGTCAGCCATTCATTCTTTTTAAAAGTAAAATCTTTTCGAGGTTATAAACTGCTTAGACTTATCCCCAACTTGATTTATAAATGATATTAAAAATGTTTTGTTAACTCTAATTCAGAGTTTACTTTTCCCAAATTGAGATAGAGGTGTTGTTGCTATTTTTTTATTCAAGTAACTAGAAAATTGAAATATTTGAGACTAGCAAATATCATAAGAATGATAACTCTGAGAAACCCAGAGTAATTGATTATTCAACCATTGTAATATGCCCTTTCCTCCACTCTGAGAATTTGAACAAAGAAATTTAATTGCCTGATATTTTTTATCTAAACTTTAAAAAAAAAATCAAATGGCTTCATTTTTTAAAATTGAGATATATAACACTGTATAAGTTTCAGGTATACAACATAATGAGTCAATATTTGTGTTTTATGTAAAAGGATCACAATGAGTTCAGTTAGCACTCATTACCACACATGCACATTTTATTCTTGTGATGAGAACTTTAAAGATCTCCTCTCTCAGAAGCTTTAAATATACAACACAGTATTACTACAGTCACCATACTGTACAATAATAACATCCTCAGGACCTACTCATTTTATAACTGGAAGTTTGTACTTTTGTATATGTCCTCATTTTTGAAAAGCCTAAATCAGCATGAGTTTCACAGTACTCATACGCCATTTGGTAAAGAGTGATCATTTTGGAAAAGGAATGATAAGTGAGACTTGATTTTTAAGTCACAAGCAGCGGACGTTTAGTTTGTGTTTTCAACACTTAAATGAACCCACAGAATCTTAGAAAGACACAAGTTGAGCCCTTCCCACACACACCACCAGCAGGCATTTCCCCCCTGCTGCTTCTCCTGCCTTCCTTTGATTTTTGTCTTCCTTCCTGTCAGCATGTCTATTTTTCCAGCCACCCAGGCAATTTTTTTAAATAGCATTCAACAGCCACTACAAGAGTCTGTGAAAAGACACATGCTTTACTGTCATTAACATGTTAAATACTACTTTTTTTTTAATTCATAAAATTTTTAGGTAAATTTGCCTTCTCTCTGGATTTCCCCTTTTTCTCTTCAGTGCTCCCCAGGTTTTGCTCTTATTAATGCCTGCTTGAACTTAGAAAGCCTGATTGGTTGGATCCCATTTGGTGCTCTGTGAATGAATACTCTGTTGTTTTTACTGTATGAGTGAAGTCGTTTATTATTATAATGATAGTTAAAGGAACACCATGTTCAGAAGACTCTCCTGAACAGTGAAACATAGGTGAGCAGAGCTGGGACTTGGGCCAGATGATTGTCAAAATCAGAAGGCCCTGCAAATTAGCTAAGAGCTAGAGGTGCCCTTCAGATGGCAGAAGAACTTAATGAGTGATCAAAAGAAAAGGGAAGGGGGGAGGGCAATGGTAAGATATGTACACATATAATACCTTAGTAAAAATAAAAAATAAAAAATAAATTAAAAAGATAAATAAAATTAAAAAAAAAAGAAAAGGGAAGGAAAGGAAAGGAAAGAAAGGAAAGGAAAGAATAAAGGTGCATCAATTAGGTTTCATGTGGCTGCAAGTAACAAGAAATTCTATCTCAAACATGCCTAAACCATAGGAAGCTCATCTCCCTGGAAGTTGAGCAGAAAGTTGGGCTTTAGGACTGACTGAGTCAGGTGGCTCTGGTCCTTTCTCTGCCATTTCCTTGGCTCTCCTTTGCTCTCAGTGCTGGTGATGAGATGGGTTAGGTTTATACCCTCACTTGACAGTGTCCAGAAGGAGGGACTTTTTCCAGAAGCACCCAGCAAAGTATTCTCACTTTATTGGCCTACAGAGACTTGTATACTTATTGGTAAACAGTCCCTGCAAAGGAACATATTTACCCACAGATTCATTAAGCCTACTTATAGAATTAGGATGAGATCATCTTTTGCTAAGACCAGGGTTTCTCAAACTTAACATTAATTGACAGTATAGGCCAGATAGGTCTTTGTTTGTTGGGGGCTGTCCCATGTATTGCAGGAAGTTCAACATTTAACTGCATCCTTCACCTCTACCTACTATGATAGAATGCAGCAGTACACTTCCTGCCTGTGACAACTCTAATGTCTCCAGACATTGCCAAATGTCATCTTGGGGACAAAACACATTTTCTCCATCCCTGAGAATCACTGACTTAAACACAGGGACTACCAGGCACAGGTGAGGATACCTGAACAAAATCCCAGCTTAGTTAGGAAGTATGGAATAAGAAAGTTCACCACAAAGGACTTTGAAATAGGATGGAAATAAAGAATCTTTGTAGCTGAGACCGGTTTGGCTCAATGGATAGAGCGTTGGCTTGGGGACTGAAGGGACCCGGGTTCGATTCCGGTCAAGGGCATGTACCTTGGTTGTGGGCATATCCCCAGTAGGGGGTGTGCAAGAGGCAGCTGATAGATGACTCTCTCTCATTGATGTTTCTAACTCTGTCTCTCTCTCCCTTCCTCTCTGTACAAAATCAATAAAATATATTTTTAAAAAAAGAATCTTTGTAGCAGAGAGACTACAGGGAAAGATCAAAGATAATACAACTCATGTCACAGGACCACTAGTGAGAGGTGACTTACGTGATTTAAAACAAGAGCAGAGAAGACAAGATCTACCCTGGAGAAAAAAGAAAAAAAAAAACAGTTAGTGGCTTTTTTAAACATATCAAACATTGATAAGCCAGCCTCAGAGAGGGACTTTAATCTGGAAGCTAAAGTGAGACATTCAGGGAGGAATCTTTGGAGAGGACCAGGATTCGGAATGTCTGTCTCTCCCTAGGGCCAAGATTAGTGTGACTGTGGAGCTCCGGGAAGTTCCGTGGAGCTCAGAGCTCCGGGAAATGCGTGGGGGCTGGTGGCAGCTCTGTTTTAGTTCGGTAACCACAGGAAGACTGCATCTGGAGAACCTGCCAACTCCTCTGCATTTGTTATTCTTTGACTTGTCTGCAGTTCTTTAAGTTTTATATGAACTATATCAACATTGGCTCCAACTATCCTAAAAAGAGAAAGAATTCATTTTATACTTCATTGGATGAAAAAGGAGAGGAGACCCTGGAGCCAGATGAAGTGGAAATAGTGTTGGTAAAAAGCTTCTTCAGTCCTTGAAGGGACGATGTATTCTCTATTCATCACTTAGGACTTAAAGCAGGGTTCTCTGGGGTCATCTGAGGAGGAGTAGGAAAAGCTCTGTGCTCTAAAAACTTTTCCTCCACCGGCTCTCTCAGCAGAGAAACCCACATTTCTCATCATTGTTAAAGAGTCTGTACAGAAATCCAGACACCAAGTGGGATGAAGGAAGCATACCTCACAAGTCTGTGGGGCACCTGAGCTGTCACCTCGAACCTGCGGGTAGCATAAGACAAGGTCACTTTTTCAAGTGAGAGAGCTTGACAAACCTGTCAGATTTGTACATTTAAGAACCATATGGCCAAATCCAATGAACTCTTCCCTGGGTAGAGCCATTATTGAGTCAGCCTCTCAGCAAAGAGCAGGGTTCAGAGGGAGTAAGACAGGCAGTGTGTTGAGTCTGGAGACACCAAGGAGCACGGGTCTTCACCAGGCCCTGGGACAATGGGTCTCTAATGAGAGTCCTGACCCTCTACTCTTCTTTTTCCAAATTTCCTTGACTTTTCTTGCTCAATTTTTCCTTTGAGAGGAATTTTATATCCCTCTACAAAGATTAGTGTTTTCCTTCATTTTCTCCTCAGCTTTTGAAACAAAACATGAAATTAGTTGGGGTAGGTAGCCAACTGACATAAAAAATGGAATCTCATGGCAGCTAATTCACATCATTTCCGACTCCCTCTTCAGCTTCCAACTTCCTGCGTTCAGAACTGGAAAGAGACAGGTCAGTTATAAATATGAAGTCCCTGCAAGTTCCAAATATGCTCAGAATGAAATGACATTTTTCCCCCCTCACAAAAAAACATTTAATATAAAGAGCAAGCATGCAAGCATATCTTTTTCTATGTTAGTAAAGTAGACAGATGGCAAGGGGGTTGTGCTCAGAGAAAAACACAACGGAACAAGTTTCCTCAATTAGATTAGCTCATTCACAACCTTATAAGTTTGCTTATTTCCAGCCAGAGCATCTTCGTCTGTCCTATGAGCTAATATTTTTGTATTTAATTCTGCTTTCTCAATATCATATAGATAAGTGTAAAAATGGCTTTCCTTTAGGACCATTGATTACACTTGAAGTTTGGAAGAAAATGTTTTGGCTTTTTATTCTAAAAAGGTTTAGACATAAGAAAAATTATCTGGTGTTGACTAATCGTATATTTAAATTATACCTATAGAAGTCCACAAAGTTCAAACATTTTACATGCTGGCGATTATATTGCACATGAAACTCTTAATGTTCTTAATCATCACAGAACCCTTGCTGTTGGCTCAGAATGAGGCAGAGCAAAGTACAGAAATCAGTAACACCATCCTACACAGCTAGCTTTTTCTTCTTAATGGAGTTATCACCTAACAAAACAGTGGTTGTTTTTCTTTTCTCATTTGCTTTTATTTTAGTTTTTATTTGTGTGTGTGTGTGTGTGTGTGTGTGTGTGTGTGTTTCTCTCTCTTTTGATCACACACACACAAACTATTTCCCACAAACCATTACAACCTTCTGCCCAAACTGGCCTCATCATTTTCCTATGTGCATTTCTACTTACCTCATCAGAGGGCTTCTCAGTAACACCAAAATGTCAAAAATTCTGGGCTTAATTGTTTTAGTGTCATTCTTCACCTACTATTTGCACATTTATTTTTTAAAATTAAATCTTAAATAAGGGACAGAGGTTAGTGGTTAAAAATAGGGAGCTTCCACTCGAAAAGAAAAAAAAATGTGAAAGGGACTGAGGGAAATGTAAATGGAAAAGATTGGCTATAGCACCTAGGGATACGATCAATACAGTGATTTTTATGAGACTTCCCACAATGAACTAGACAGAAAGAAGGCAGGAGCATGGCCATAAGGAATCATTGGCAAGCTCAGCAGCCAATCTAAAGAGCAAAGCCTGTGCTTATGGTAATGGAGATGCATATGAGTCTCAACCTCCTTGTCTCCTTTGAAAGATATTCTGGAGCACTCCACCAGAGCAACGTGCTTACTGCCAGTTATTCATATTTTGAAGGAAAACCCTTGTGCTTCTTTCAATTAAGAAAAATTTTAACTGAGTCCAATAAAATAAGCCAATATCCATCCAATATCAGAGTGACGCTGGGCAAAGTACTTCATCTCTCAGCAACTCCCCTTTGTTGTCTTTAAAATGGTGATAACAATAGTACCCACTTCACAGGGTTGTTGAAAAATCAAAATTCTTGTAAAGAACTCAAAAGAGTGGCTGATGCACAGTAAGCTTTTAATAACCCTTGGCCAATAGTAGTGATCGTAGCAGCAGCCTCTGCCGCAGCAGTAGTAATAGTAACGGAAGCGTTAGGAGGAAGAGGAGGAGTGGTGGTAACAGTGTTAGTACTTGTTATAGTGCTAATATAGTCAATAGTGGCAGCAGCAGAAACAGCAACAGAGCTCTACGCTGTAAGTATGGCCAAACCTGTCCTAGGTCAAAAAACATCAGTCAAATTGTAATCACCATCTTCCCATAACACTATTATGTGCTCAAAAGATTTAATGCCTCATGAAGAGCCTAAAAGTAACCTGTTTCTATGCCTGGAAATTGGATGAAAAGTGGAGATGGTGTTGATACCATGCAATTATGGGTAAGTCCAAGAAAAGCCAGGGAACATCTTCTTTTAAACAATTAAGAAATACATCAAGGAATCTCCAAGCCTAGGAACAATGCCAGGGAGTCTGCATTCTGAGGGCCCTGGAAACAGCCTTGCCTGCCAGGAATTCTGCCGCTTAGCTCCAAGGTGTTGCTGTCCAGCTGCTGAGCCATCAAAGTAAGGAAGGCAATTGAGTCTCCAAGGCCATCAGGTGTCTCACGTTGTTTGGCTAAATATTTTAGACTTGAGATTTAATTTTTCTTTTCATGGAGGAAATAAATGGACACACAAAGCATAAAACAAACAAAATAAAGTGGAAAGCCTATAAAGCTGGCTTGCAAAATGGAATGATTTTACTGCCCACTAGTGGAAGTGTAGTTTGAGAGCTGGATGAAGAGAGCCAACTGTGACAAACGAACTGTTTGAGGCTCTGGGTCCTTTTCCATGTGCTACACTCTAGTATTAACGTAAACTATAAACATCCATGTTTTCAATGAATAGAAATATATTTGCAGTTAGGATATGAAATATGGCTTCTCTGAAAAGATATTTTCCTACAATAGTACAAGAGACTGGCAAGTAACAATTTTTTTTGCCTGTATTGTGACAGAAGCAATCGCATCTCTCAGAAAGAAGATTTCCGTAAGGAATCCCCACCAGCCTGACATTATCCCAGATCCTTGGCAAAGCTCAGGAAACAGTAAAGAATCGTTCTCATGTGTCTTCACAGATGAGTGTGGCTCTCGGAAACATGTCGACACTAAGTCAGAAAGCGCCTAGATACCTACTTAGATGTATTTTTTTAGAATCTTTTTCTCTCACTGACAACAACCACTTGGCAATAGATACTCCTATTCTACCTCCTAAATATCCCTCAAAATAACCAACGTTCATTCACATCCTCAGTTCACATTACTATTATTTATTGCTACAAGGAGTGCGGAAATTTCCTTTCTTGTCTGGGCTTTTTCAGCCTATTGTGAGGGTTCTGCTAACTGCTGTAACAAGTAAACCTCCAAATGACAGTGCCTTAATCACAGGCGTTTTATTTCTGACATTTTTGTTCAGTGGTGGCCTTCCTCACCAGGAATCAGCACCCATTCTCCTTTGTTCTTGTGGTTCTGCAATACTATCCAGTGAGGATCATCAGCTTTTCTCTAAAGTACCTAATAGTACACTAGCCGGTTTGATTTAGTGGATAGAACATTGGCCTATGGATTGAAGGGTCCCAGGTTCGATTCTGGCCAAGGGCACATGCCCAGGTTGTGGGCTCGATCCCCAGTAGGGGGTGTGCAGGAGGCAGCTGATCAATGATTCTCTCTCATCATTGATATTTCTATCTCTCCCTTCCTCTTTGAAATCAAGAAATATATATATTTTTAAATAAAATACCTAATACTAAATATGTTAAGCTTTGCCAGTCATATAGTCTCTGTCAAACCTGCTCATTGTAGCTAAAACCAGCCATAGATATACCCAAATGAGTGTGACTGTATCTCAATTAAACTTTATATATGAATACTGAAATTTTCATTTCCTAGAATTTTTACCTGGCATGACGTATTATTTTCCTTTTGACTTTTCCCTCCAATAATTTAAACATTTAAAAATCATTCTTAGTTCAAGGGCCATAGAAAAACAGGTGGCAGGCTAGATTTGGCCTGTAGGCCAAGTTTGGTGACTCCTGTATTAGTGTAAAAAAATATCAAATTTAAAATATTGTGTGCTGATCATTTAAACTACATAGAATTGTGTTGTGTTCCTTGGTTTTAGCAACTGGACATAAAGTGTTTCCCTCTTTGCTTTGATTTTTTTAACAGGCTCTGGGACTCTGGTGGTGTCACATCCCATTGCTGCCAGCACCCCCGAAGGGAGCAGCTACGGGGCAATAGGTATTTCCTACGAGTCCATTCATGGAAGAGCTTCCTAGTTCTCCAGCTGCTAATGACTGTGAGAGTGGGCAAGGCAGTCCTCACATAAGCCTGTATGGCCTTTCTAAGATGAATTGGTTGGATGATCTGGAAGATGCCTTCCAGTTCTAACTTCCTCCAGTTCTATTATTCTGTTTCTTGGATCTGCTAGCAACACTTGCGCAGAATTCCCTACAATGGTTTGCCATCAACCTCCCAAGGCCCCCATGGAGATTTTTTCATACCCAGCCTGACTAGGACTTGAAAGAAGTGTCAGAGTCTGATGTCAGGGAGCCCGACCTCAACTGATCAACTGTTTCATTCTCATGTTTCAGGGGAGTGAGGGCAGTCAGAAGACTAAGGCTGAGCTGCAGGTGAACATGGCTGAAGCCTCCCAGTCTTTCCTTTGGGCTAACTTCATAATCAAACCTGCTCAATGCCATTCAGTCATGCACCTGGCAACCCCAAGAGTTCATTAAGTGGCCTGAAGGGAACAATTCCCAGCCATGTCTTGTTGGAAGAGTGCTTTGACACGTCCATGCCCTTCCAAGATGCTTATTGGCCTATGAATGCTGCACCTCAAATGTCAGTATAGAGGGACTGGGATCGTGTGTCCCTGCCCTATTGTTCTGTAACTTGGAGAAGCATGTGGGCTCAGTGCAGGCAACTTATTTCTGGCTCTGCCAGAACAGGAGCTTTTTTCATTGTTTAGCCATCTGAACAGAAGAAATAAAGCGGAAGTAGGCTCGGCACATGTGTTCATCAAGCTGCACAAATTCCCATCTGCTCTCGGAAGTGTTGACAGAAACACAAGGATTACTCTTCCTGAGAATGTTGTTTACATTATGTAATCCTAGATGCGGCATGTGGGCGATTTCCGGGTACAAATACTTGATCCACAAGCCATGTAGAGCTGCTGGATATGAGTGCACTGACAAGTATATGTGGTAGATGCTATACATAACTATGTGCATGCATATATTTATATATTTATGTTCATATTTTAAATATGAAACATGAAATATAGCATATTATCTTTGCATCCAATAGTTAACAGAGCAGATGTCTTTATATCCTTAAAAATAGGATATAAAGAACGTTAAAAGTTCGTTGAGAGAAAGATCATGTGTTGTGGGTAAGATGTTAGTTTTTAGTAGTATGAGTCAGCACTGTGCTTTTCGCAGAGAAGAATGGGCAGCCTGGGTTCTTGGACTTTGGAAGGCAGATGAGTGTTTTCTGTTTCAGACGAGTCAAGCTCCAGTCCCGGCAGGCAGATGTCCTCCTCTGATGGGGGGCAGCCATACCAGTCAGACTCGGACAGCTCCGTGGAGGAAAGTGACTTCGACACCATGCCAGACATTGAGAGTGATAAGAACGTCATCCGGACCAAGGTACCTCTGTCTGGCTGTCCTCTCTGAAGGGCAGTTGATTACAACTTTAGCAATGCCTTTGCGTCCTTTATTTGTTTTCCTTCAGGAGGAAGTCATATTTCCCAAAGGGCTTTTTAGATAAACTATAACTACAGACTAGAAGCAATCCTCTAATTAGCACTGCTGTCTGGAGGGAGAAAGTGAGAACCTTAAAGAGAATCAGAACACCCTCAGGGTCTGAAGTGACAGCTGTGGACAATAAAGGAGGGAGGGATCCAATCCTATGTAAGAATAGATCCGCTAAAGGGTGTAGCTGGGAGAGAATTTCTGGTTTCTGTGCATATCATCTTCAGTAGTAAAGTGTGCTTCTTTCTGGTGTATACTTATTATATTGTATTTATCTGGGAAAGTGTATGAAGGTGAATTACATAGTTTCAGTCTTACAATTCAAGAACCACACTGTGGACCTCTTTGAAAACTGGGAAATCAATTATTGAGATATAAGAAGCATTTGATTCCCAATAGTTTTTCCACATCAGCCAATCCTTAATAGTCCAAGAAGAAATATTAGGATTTTTATTATGGTATTCTGGGATAAGCAAGATTAAAAGAAAAATCGTGTTAAACAAATTTAATTACCTAGTAAGGGATTGGACTGAAATTTGTAAAGCTCTCCTTTGTATCTTACAGAGAAATAATAATAATAATAATTTAAAAAAAGCAAGTACAGTTTTGCATTTTCTTTTTATTTGGCTTCCCAGATGTTTCTTTACCTGTCAGATCTGTCCAGGAAGGACCGGAGAATCATCAGCAAAAAATATAAGATTTATTTTTGGTGAGTAGATGACCAAGAAGGCCATAGTTATCGTCATTAAAATTTAAAGTTTTTTTTTAATAACTCTGTTACAGGTTTTAGTGTTTAATGAAGCACAGATATAGGTGGTTCAAGAATCCATGCCACATTCCATAGGAAAAATAAACTATAAAAGGCAAACAGCCCTAAATTAATAATACAAAGGAAAAAATAAGAATGGTAGTAGACTCTCATATGTACAGGGAGCATACCAAATTCTCTTCCAGAAGACTAATGCAACAGTAACATTAATGTCACTACCTTGCATGAGACATGCTAATCTGCAGCCATCTCCTCTTCTCACCAGGCCCTGCTCTTGGACGAACCAGGAATTTCAGGGACTGGATGCTAGAGCATCTCAGAGTAGCTAAAAATTACCCTAGGCCCCAAAACCCGAGGCTGACACTGTGACGGGTCTTCCAATTCCTTTCTCTTCCCTATTATTTTCCCCTTTAATTGGATACAGATATGAGAGGAAAACAAGGGACAGTGTAGGCCACATGGAATTTCATAGTGGAACCTTCATTTTGGAACTAAGAGGAATCTAAGAGAGCCACATCCCTTTGTGTGATCCATCTCCCATGACTTGCATTCTGACCATGTTTCCTCTAACAACATCCTTAAGCAATAGATTCTCATTAGTAATCTGGTTAAATCAGAAGCAAGTATTATTTACACTGCTTTAGAAATGTCTGGAGAAACAAGAACCACATTATCAGTTTGTAATTGCTTTTGTGAGTTGACTAAAGACTTATGGAGCAAAAGCATTCTTTTTAAAAAACTTGAACGAAGATTTCATTGTTGATTTGGAAATAGCTATTTCCATTTCTTTCTGCCTGCATAGGAACATCATCACTATCGCTGTGTTCTATGCACTACCTGTGATCCAGCTGGTCATCACCTACCAGACAGTAAGTGCTGCCCTGAACCCAGAACCCACACTCTCATATTGCAGGGAGAGAGCTTTGCTGTGACATACAGAGGAAGGTATAGCTTGGGATCAGTCCAAAAATTAATTTCCCACTTGGGTTTTAATTGGACTTCTCCAATGCTTCATCTTTGATCTTTAAATCTAATTCCCAATTGTTTTATCAGAGGGAGATTTGGGACCTCTTGTATTGTTTTGTCTACCAATCCAAAATTATTACCTTGCACTCATTCAATGATAGTATCTGTCAATTGTGCCTCTGATTTACCAGTCTGAACTCGACTGTGATGGGATAATGAGCAGAGTAAATAAGTTTCCAGATCAAAACAAAGATGCCTGATGTCTCATTTAGCCTGTGTCCTCTCACAAAGGGGAAATATATTTTGTAAAAGTATAAACAGCCTCATAAAACTAAAATAAATTAAAACAAAAAGAAAACAAAATAAATAAAAAAAAACAATTAAACATAATAATTAAAATAGCTTAAGAATCCCTAATACTCCTTCATAGAACCCAAGAGTCCAGGTCACTTGAGTGACCTTCTCTAGGATTTATTCTCTGTGAGAAAGTCCATTTAGATTAGCATGAGGCTGAAGGTGTTTCCAGTGCCGTGGTTCTCAAGCTTTGTTCTGCATTAAAAACATCTGGGTAACTCTTTAAAATCCCCGTGTCCAAGCTGTACTCCATAGCAATTAGGTCAGAGTCTCTTAGAGTGTAACTAGCCATCAATATTTATTAAATGCCCAGTGATTCCAGTGTACAGCCAACTTTGAGGACCAAAGTTCTAATAATATTTAGCCAATTTCATATTTACTGCATGTACTGCATTATGGGAACAAGTACTTTATGAGCTCTGAATACCACAGTTTATAAATATTCTATGAATCCTTTGGGGCCCTGTCAGAAGACATATCTGTGGTCTGGGAAGATTCTTAATGATAGAGATAGTGATAAACATGGAAAAGTGAACACCATATCCTCATGTCTACCTGCACTGCGGCTGTTTTCACAGAGGATGGGACAGCTTCATGTCCTCCCAGCATTCATTGAGAAAATAGGACATATCATGGCAGCCCTAATAGGCATGTCCCAATGCTAGCATCCTTTGATATTCCTTTTATCATGAGAACAAAGGAAACAAACTCAATTGAATTCCACTTTGAGGCCGCATAATGGGGAAGATAGAATATTTCAATTCAAAGCAAGATGGTAGCATCTAAAGGAAATGTGCCTGTGCTGAGAGAAGGTGGCAGATAATGACCCAGCCTGATGAGAAGGAGTGCTGGTTGCACTGCGAGTCACAGCCAGTCTATTATTGAGAGCAGTGCTGCTTTTTGTGATTTCAGGCTTGGCTCAGGGGCCTGAAAAAACTACATCTCCTCTTCTCTTGATTTTTCAGGTGGTAAATGTCACTGGAAACCAGGATATCTGTTATTACAACTTCCTCTGTGCTCACCCCTTGGGCGTCCTGAGGTAAGCCCAGTCCACCGGTTGCCCATGAGGCTTTTAGAAATGCCTTTCTATGTAATGCTGCGATCTCAGTTTTTTAAAAAAAAATACTAAAAACACCTGTGGAAAACTACCGCCATCATGGATAAAGAGGAATTTAAATCAAGAAGTAGAGACCAGACATACTTCTCTCCTTCCTATAGAAGGTGTCAGGAAATGTTCCTAAGAATAAGCTGCTGAGGCGAGGGCAGGGATGTTTTTGAAAACATCAGGTTCCTGGTGAGATGACACTTTTTCCTGGGCATGAGCTGCAAGTACATTAAACAACCTCGTGAGGAAGACAGTGTCTCTATCACCATCCTCCTTTTAGATGAAGATTGAAGAATTTGCTGAAGGTCCCTCAGCTGTCAGTGATGTAGGAACTTAAACATTTGCTGCCTCTGAGGCCATGCTGTAGCCTCCAGAAGTGGAAAGAGTATTAGCCTGGGAGTTGGAAGCCTAGCTTCTCTAGAACAAGTTTTCTGAATTAAAGCCACTGGCTGTGACCAGCTAACATCCTGAAATTCACACACATAATCAATGAGAATTTCCTTTCACAGTGTAGCTGAAACATTTGCCCATACAGCTCATCTTTGGAGCATCTCTCTTTCCCAGGATTCATTGCATACCAGTGCTTACAGGACCAGAGAGGACTGGGAGCATAATAGGGAAGCACATTGTGCATCCCTGAGAGGAAGCAGCCACATTTTACAGGCGTGGCATCCTAAAATGAAAGGTTAAAGATGATCTCTGGTGATTTTCCAGTTCTAGAATCTTATGAAAAGGTTAGGGGTGGAAAACACAAATGCTGAGTTCCCTCGCTAATTCGTGCATTCATTCTCAAAATCTCTGATTGCCTGACTCTCTCATGGTTTCTCTCTCATCCCTTTAGTGCCTTCAATAACATTCTCAGTAACCTGGGGCACGTGCTCCTGGGCTTCCTCTTCCTGCTGATAGTCCTGCGCCGGGACATTCTCCACCGAAGAGCCCTGGATGCCAAGGACATCTTTGCCAAGGTGAGCAAAGGGTGGGTGAATCAGAAGTGGGAGCCACAAAGGTTATGATCCAAAAAGGACCTATAAAAGGGGAAGAACATCTTATTGGTGGTGATTATGGTTTATGATGCTTGAGGCCAGGCTTGGGCTTCCAGATTCTGTGGCTTTGTTACTCACTGGTGTCTTTCTGTTGACCGTGCTCTCTCCTTTTCCAGGAATATGGGATTCCCAAACACTTTGGTCTCTTCTATGCTATGGGCATCGCATTGATGATGGAAGGAGTGCTCAGTGCTTGTTACCACATCTGCCCTAATTACTCCAACTTCCAATTTGGTAATTAGAATTTACATCAACTACATAGATTTAAGTTATAGGAGTCTTATCCTGGGACCCTCCCAAAAATGCCAAGGTCATACCCGCAAGAATTAAATACCATTTTACATGAGCTAAGGGCACCTCACTACAGGGCATGGTTTCCACATATTGTACCGATTTTTTTCTCTCTGATCATGTTTTAGACTAGAAAACTCCTAAGAGTGTTCTCGTGCCACATCTGCAGGGGAGCCGTGAGCTAATCATTAGGTGGCAAGTCAGGTAGAATTCACCAACTAGTGTCTAGAAAGGGCCTTCGGTATAACTTGGCCTAATTTAGCAGTTAGATTACTTTGGGATGGATGTCATAGAAAAGCCTATTCAAGTTGAGTGAAATAATAAGGACATTTATCAGCTCACCACCTGGAACTCCAAAGGCGGGAATGGCTACGTAGTAGCTCTGGTTCCACTTCTCACCTGTTGCTTTTATCCTCAGACTGTCAGGGAACTTATAGTGGCAAATACAGTCACAGCTGATTCTGGCTTCCTGTCTCCCCCCCACGATGTTGGGAGGACACAGCTTCAGGAGCCTTCATTTAAGAGAATGGAAACGTCTTTTCTAAAATCCCCCCCCAGATAACGTCCCCCCCACAGTTCAGTAGCTTAAACAGTCATGAGCCCAGTCCAGAATCATTCCCTATGTGCTAGTTAGCTCAGACGTGGGTTTCTACACTCATCACAGTGGCAAAGGTGAGATTACCTTTAGATCCATGGGACCTATCCCTGGAACCAGGGGTGGGGTTAGCCTTCTTGAAGCATACTGGCAGGACGGGTATGCATTTCTGAATTGAAATCAGGGCTATGAAGTTTGAATTAGCACTGAGCTGCTGTCAGGAAGCAGGGGGAAGAGGTGATGCTGGTAGTAGGCAATTAACAATGTCCTCTGTACTCAAGAATAAGGGTTTCGCCGAAACCCGTTTGGCTCAGTGGATAGAGCATCGGCCTGTGGACTGAAAGGTCCCAGGTTTGATCCCAGTCAAGGGCATGTACCTTGGTTGTGGGCACATCCCCAGTAGGGAGTGTGCAGGAAGCAGCTGATCAATGATTCTTTCTCATCAATGTTTCTAACTGTCTATCTCTCTCTCTTCCTCTCTGTAAAAAATCAATAAGATATATTTTTAAAAAAAATAAGGGTTTCTGAAACAGTCATTTTTATGTTTGTGCTCTAGCCTCTGTCTATTAACTTAGAACACAACAGAAATTCTGTCTTATTTTATTTATTTATTTTTGCTTAATCCTCACCCAATGATCTCCTTTCCAATGATTTTTAGAGGGAGTGGAAGCAAGGGGGGAGAGAGAAAGGAAGAGAACCATTGATGTGAGAGAGACACATCAATTGGTTGTCCCCTTGGCATGCCTCACCCAGGCCAGGATCATACCCGCAACGCAGGTACATGCCCTTGCCTGGCAATCAAACCAGGAATGTTCAGTCCAAAGTCCAAAGTTCTAACCACTGAGGAAACTGACCAGGGCTCTCTGTTACATTTTAATTTTTTTAAATTAGAAAACATTTTTAAGAGGGAAAACTATAGAGAACAATATCATTCACCACTCAGAATGAACAAATGCCAATAGTTAAAAAGATTTGACTTAAATCTACTTTTTAAGAAATAAAATATTGTGTAAAGTTCTTGGTTGAACTACTTTCCAAATTTATTCCTCTCTTTCCTTCCTCAGGGGCAACAACCATGTTTAATTTGGTATTTATTCTTCCAGTTTGTTTTCATAGTTTTACTACATTTATAGTAAATTGATATTAATTTACCACACTGTGTTCTGCAACCTTCTTTTTTCATCCAATAATATGTTTTCAAGATTTATAAATATTGAATCAAGGACAGCTAGTTCATTCATTGTTTTGAGGATTGTCATATTCTGTACTAAAAATATATCACATTTATCAATTCCTCTATTGAACAACCTTCAGATGTTACCAACATTTTGCTGTTACAGATAGTGCTACAGTGAACATCTTCATGTTCAGCTCTGTGTATAGGTGAAAGGGGTTCTCTGGGATACCTAAAAGTGGAATTTGGGGGTCACCTGCAATGGAAGATGTGCATCTTCCATTTTACCAAAAGCTGACATGTTTCTCTCCAGAGCATTAATTCCCACTCCTGCTAGCTGAGGGAGAGTTTCCATTTTCCCACATCATCCTGGTGTGTGTTATAGTCAAATATTTAAATTCTTATTAGATTATTTAGTAACATGGACTATTGCATTGTTGTTTTCATTTGCATTTCCATAACTCTCATGCAGCTAAGCCACATTTAATTTCTAGCTGATGGACATCCCTAGCCTATAAAGCTATGCAGGAGCAGCCATCAGTGTTGTTGTATTTCAGGTTGCTGAAAAGGGCCTCCTACATCCACCTAGGATTCATTTTATTGTCACTCACACTGCCTTAATTGTCACCATTAGGGCTTTTTCTGTTATTGTTGTTAAACATCAGCGTTTAAACACAAACACCCCTGTGAGCGGGAAGTGTCAATTATTTATCATACTAGAGGCCAAATGCATGAAGATTAGTGCAAGAATGGGTCTTCCTTCCCCTGGCTGCCAGCACCACCTTCGCTCCGTCCGGAGCCACCTTTCCGGCTTCCCACGCTGCCCAGAGACCCCGAGTAGCTGGGGTGGTGTGGAACGCCTGTGTCCCATCCTGCCACCAGCTGCTCAGGACCTGCATATGCAAATTAACTTACCATCTTTGTTGGGTTGATTTGCATACTCACTCCTGATTGGCTGGTGGGTGTTGCAAAGGTACAGTCAGTCAATTAGCATGTTTCTCTTTTATTAGTGTAGATCATCAGATAAGTGTCTTCTGTGAACTAGGCACAGCTTTGGAGGGATTCAGAAGTGGAATATATGGGGGTTGCCTAGAGAGTGTGCCTGGAAGGCAGACATATTGGAGGTCTCCACATAGTCTAAGGGCAACAGATACCCCAAGGCCTAAAGGGAGGGGGGTTTCCGAGGCTGAGGAGAAATGTCTGTTGCCTGCTGGATCCTGATGCTCTCGGCTCCTCCTCTGCACCTTCAGACACCTCCTTCATGTACATGATCGCTGGCCTCTGCATGTTGAAGCTCTACCAGACCCGCCACCCAGACATCAACGCCAGCGCCTACGCCGCCTACGCCTCCTTCGCCTTCGTCATCACACTCACGGTGCTCGGCGTGGTGCGTCCTTCCCCATGACTTCAGCCTTCCTTACAGAGCGAGCCCTCCCGGAAGGTTTTCTGTTGTTTGTTTTTGGGAGCTCAGGTGGACAGAATTGAATTAATCGTAATCGGTGGTTCATGGCACTCTCATCGTTGATCTGTTCATGGCATTTTACTTACTTATTCGGCTAGTTATTTCTATAATGTGAATGGCACCTGCAAAACTACCCCTCAAGTGTTTTAATATAAAGCTGGGATGTCACTCGGGTGAGACTGAAGTAGGGATGTGTAAGACTGGAGAGACTGACTTCAGAGATTGGAGACCACTTTCTAAGCATGCATGGACAAGTGTTACCTGTCTGCAGGCATTCGAAGAGCAGTAGCCCCCAACTTTAAACCTCTCACCCCTTCGCCACTGCTGTTGAGCTGCCTCTCCCCTTTCCATTTTTATTTGGCCAGCTAGCCATTCTTTTGCCTGCCCTGGGTGTAGTAAGACCCCTGTGAGATCAGTGAAGGGAATGAGGTGAGGAGGGCGGGGGAAGGCAGGGGGACAACGTCATGCACAGCTTGGTTTTTGACTCCTTATGCCAATTTGAGAGAGCTAATTTTAGAAGTTCTGTGGGGAAAACATCAGATGAAGGTAATATCCATCTTTTCTCCTAGGTGTTTGGAAAAAATGACATCTGGTTCTGGGTCATCTTCTCTGCGATCCATATACTGGCCTCTCTCGCCCTCAGCACCCAGATCTACTACATGGGTCGTTTCAAGATAGGTGAGTGCCCTTTTGCATAATACTACAAACACTGAGAAAACAGTTCTCCCTGATCCTGAACAGATGTGTTACCAGCCATCATGAATGCATGCTCTGAATTATGTATTGTGTTTAATAGCATATATTCTCTCCAAAACCTCCTCTCCTTTACTGGATTGCAGTAAACTACTGTCACTAGGTCTAGTCACCTGAGAAACTAAGCTTTCCACACCTCCAGCTGCAGGTCTCAAATGCTTTGCAATCCATCAAACTTTGAAAGCACATTTGCAGAACAGCATTTTTACCATACCACCAATTCTACCTGGGGATGCTTTTGTTTTGTTTTGTGGCATTTAAAAGGGCCATTTCTTGCCCTACCTGGTTTAACTCAGTGGATAGAGTGTCAGCCTGCGGACTCAAGGGTCCCAGAGTCAATTCTGGTCAAGGGCATGTACCTTGGTTACCGGCACATACCCAGTAGGGGTGTGCAGGAGGCAGCTGATTGATGTTTCTCTCTCAATGATGTTTCTAACTCTCTATCTTTCTCCCTTCCTCTCTGTAAAAAAATCAATATAATATATAAAAATAAATAAATAAAAGGGCCAGTTCTTTAACCATGATAAATGGTTATATAAAAGTATTCGTTTCAAATTCTGGGACTGGAACTTTCTGAGACCAACTTGCCAATGTTAGTGGAGGGATACCTCCTGGACTCCCTCTGACAATGTGAACATTGAACACTGAGTGTTCCACAGAAATCAGCTCGGCCTGCTGTTGGTCAGTCATCACACGTGGGAGCAGGTCCAAGTCATCTTGGAGCATTTAAATTTCACCTGCCATTTTAAGGTCCATGAAGTCAGACAAATATTCTTTGGTCTATGTCAAGAAAAAAAGAAAGAAATATATATATATATATGGAAGATTGCAAATAAAAGCTCATATATCATATATATAAGTTTTAAAAGTATAAAGCACACTAAAAAACAACAACTATTAAATTCGTGGAAGAAAAGGAAGACAAGAAAGATGACCAATAAACTGATAAATAGAATATGCCTTCATTACAACCTAGACGGTCCAGGTTCTAATTTAGAATTCGAGGTTCCTCAGAACATAGCTCTCCTGCAGAGCTGGTTCCCAGTCCCTTCCTCTTTTTTTTCCCATCTCTATCTCTGTCCTACATCTTAAGGGGTCTCACAGGACACCCTTGTTCTACATCCAAATGGCCACTCCTTGCCCATGGAAGTACATGCTCCAATGGTGCCCCCTGTTTCCCAGTAGATAGACCCGGAAACGGGGCAATGCAGACTCAGAGATCAGGGTCAAAGCCTTCTGGGAGAGGAGGCCTAGGATCCAGGAGTTCAGAATGTGGCCTTGGAGAAAGAGGAGGAATCCCCCCTGCCCTGCAGATTCTTCACTCAGTGAGGAATGAGGGCCTCTGAAATACAAGACCCCTCTTGCCCAGGTCTGAGTGATTCTACATAAGCAAGTGGCTTGTTTACGAGTAGAAGACCCAATAGAATGATTTCTTATCTTGGCAGTTTAGGCTTCCCTTTTGGCACCGGTAGGTTTTCCCTTGGTGCTGATGCAGCCAGTGCCTCCAGCTCCCCAGGGAAGCATCTTTAGCTGGTTGTGTAGAGCATTTGGTTTGGGGCACTGATTCCTTCCCATCCCCCAGACTCAAAGGTGAGTTAAGTCAAACAAAGTCAACTCGCAAGTGGAAAATAAGCTGAAGCTTCTGGGTTCTCTCAGAATTGGAAAAATAAAACTGAGTGCAGATACGGTGGTCCCGCACTCCCCTCTTTCCCAGGGAATACGTTCCAAGTCCCCCAGCGGATGCTTGAAACTGGGTCATACCAAACCTTATAAATATTGAGTTTTTTCCCCATGCATACATAACTATGATAAAGTTTAATTCCTAAATTAGGCATGATAAGAAGTCAACAATAATAACTAATAAAAAAAATATAACATTTATAACAATTTCTGTAACCAAAGTTATGTGAATGTGGTCTCTCTCTCTCTCTCAAAATATCTTACTGTACTCACCTTTTCACTTCAAGAAAGCGCTTTACGGCTTCTCTTTGGCTTGTCTGAATGGCAGCGTCAATATTCTTGCACTTTGGGGCCATTCTGAAGTAAAACAAGGGTGACTTGAACACAAGCACCGAAATGCCAGGACAGCCCAGGCAGTAACCAAGATGCTCCTGAGCTTCCAGTGGGTGCGCAGCGCGGGACACTGTGGAGGCGCCGAGTCAGATCCGGACAAGTCCTGGGCTTCACGAACTTCATCACGCTACTCGGAATAATGCACAATTTAAAACTTAACGACCTATTTACCTCTGGAATTTTTTATTTAATATTTTCTGACCCCAACCCAGCCAGGTAGCTTTGTTGGTTAGAGCCGTGGTTGGCAAACTGCAGCTTGTAAGCCACATGCGGCTCTTTAGCCCCTTGAATGTGGCTCTTCCACAAAATACCATGTTCTGGGCCAGTCTATTTTGAAGAAGTGGCATTACAAGTTTAAGTTTAAAAAATTTGGCTCTCAAAAGAAATTTCAATCATTGTACTGTTGATATTTGCCTCTGTTGACTAATGAGTTTGCCGACCACATCGTCCTGATACACCAGAGTTTCAGGTTCAATCCCCAGGCAGGGCCTGTAAAGAAGCAACCACTGGGGACATGAATAAATGGAACAACAAACTGATCTATAAATAAATAAAATAAATAAATAAATAAATAAATAAATAAATAAATAAATACAAATTTTAAAATACATTATTTTAAATACATTATTAAATAATTTAAAATACATTATTAAAATAACTCTTTCGGGGGGGTGGGGGGGATCTAAGATGGCTGCTCAGGTAGACACCTAACTGCAGCAGCACACAACAATTTAAACGGAATACAACTAAAATGTAGAGTGGACATTGCCCAGAGCTTCAGGTAGTCGACTGACTGAAAATTCTACAACAAGAAGGAAAGAGAAAACCAGAAGGAAAATCAGAGGAGCTGAAAAAAGCCTAAGGTACGGAGACATGCTGCGCGCCCGCACGCATGCGCGCGGAGAGGTCGCAGCTGGAGAGGAGGAGAAGGCTGGGTGCTGCCTGGCGTTCCCTAGCAGGAAGGAAATAAAACCCCCATAATGGGCTGAACCCCCGAACCGGCAGCGCTGAGCCCCAGTTATGGGCCAGACCCTGGGGACCCAGGCTCCGGCAGGGGGAGACAGGGCTGTGAGGCGGAATCCCAAGTGAGCAGCGAAAAGCAGGGCCCCAGAGTCGCGCACATTGCTCGCAGAGGACAGAATGTTGACTCTGATGCTGGATTGCCATAGTGGGAAGAAACAAAGCCTCCGGCAGTGCTGAGCCCCACTCCCAACGGCCCCAAACTCCAGTTCTGGGCCAATCCCTGGGGACCCAAGCTCAAGCAGAGGGAAACGGGGCTGTGAGGTGGAGTCCTGGGAGAGCAGCAAAAGGCCGAGCCCCCGGAGTTGCACACACTGCTCGGAGTCGCGCACATTGCTCGCAAGGGAAGGAATGTTGACTCTGGTGCAGGATTGCACTGGAGGGAAGGAAACAGGAGCCCCGGCCGGCTCAGGCAGGGGGAGACGGGGCTGTGTGGCGGAATCCCAGGGGAGCAGCGAAAAGTGGAGCCCCCGTAGTCGCGCACATTGCCGCAGAGGACAGAATGTTGACTCTGATGCTGTATTGCCCAGGCGGGAAGAAATAAAATTTCCGGCGGTGCTGAGCCCCGCTCCCGACTGTCCTGAACTCCAGCTCTAGGCCAATCCCTGGGGACCCAGGCTCAAGCAGAGGGAGACGGGGCTGTGAGGTGGAGTCCTGGGGGAGCGGCAAAAAGCAGAGCCCCTGGAGTCGCGCACATTGCATGCAGAGGACAGTCTGTTGACTCTGATGCTAGACTCCCCTAGCGGGAAGGAGAAAAAAAGCTCCAGACTGGAGGAACGCGACGAGGAGCAGGAGCCCCTGCCAGACACCGGCCAGCCAGGCGCCAGCAAGGAACCAGGCGACAGGGCCCTCAGGGAGGGGTGTGCCCCCAAGCCTTCGACCGCTGAGCGCAGGCAATGGAGCTGAGGCCGGGGGCTGCTTCCTGGGCGGCGGTGCTGATTCCGGCGGCAGGCTGAGGCAGTGCAGGAGCCTGCAGAGAACAGGGGGGTGCCGCAGGCCAGCCTGCTGAGCTTCCAGGACAGGGAGGAAGAAACCAAAGAGGTTCTCAATGTGAGGAAATCAAGGGAGAGCAAAAGATAGTAAAATTACTTAGGAAAGAACACAAAGAAGATCTTAAAAAATCAGAGACTAAGTCAGAGCTCAACTCAGCAGCCAACATTACAACATAAATGCGTTTAAAAAAAAAGGGACAATGTTGGAATGGCGGCGACCAGGCCTGGAATTGCCAGGCACAAGGCAGTGGCAGCCGGGCTTGGAGCAGCAACAGCCAGGCCCCAGAGAAGCAGCAGCCAGAACCAGAGCAGCAACAGCCAGGACTGGAGCAGCCAGACCTGGGGCAGTGGCAGCCAGGCCTGAGGCGGAGGCAGCCAAGCCCAGGGTGGCCAGTCCAGGAGCACCCAGACCTGGAGTGGCCGGGCCCGGAGAAGCTGGGCCCAGAGCAGCCAGGTCAGGAGCAGCCAGACCCAGAACAGCAGTAGCCAAGCCCGGAGCATCCAGGCTGGGAGTGGCCAGGCTCGGAGCAGCTGGGCCCGGGGCAGCCGGGCCCAGAGCAGCCGGGTTAGGTGTGGCCAGGCCTGGAGCAGCAGCTGCCAGGCTGGGAGTGGCCAGGCTCGGAGCAGCCGGGCCCGGGGCAGCCGGGCCCAGAGCAGCCGGGTTAGGTGTGGCCAGGCCCGGAGCAGCAGCAGCCAAGCCCGAAGCAACCAGGTCGGGAACGGCAGTGGCCAGACCTGGAGCAGCTGGTTGTGGAACGGACCAGAGCATCAGAGGCCAGGCCCAGAGCAGCCAGGCCCAGAACAGCTCGCTCCTCGCCTGCCCCCACCCCAAGGCTGCCTCTCAGACATGGCTGGAAACTTTTGCGGGAACTTGAGGGTCTGCTGAATCAAGTGATAAAGGCTTAGATCTGGATGTGTTGAGTTAGTATAGCGCTGGGGTATTGATCTGTGAGTGCCTTGTGTGGGGCCTGGATGAGGTTGGTTGACCTATTTGGAAGTGTCTTTTGTGTGAAGTGTATCTTTGGGCATGTGGAGGTATTATTGATATGAGAAAATGCTAAGTAACTGATTTACTATCTGAAAAGGGATTTACTATCGGGGAAAGGGAGGGAGGAAGAGACTGAACATAAACTGTGCACCTATGGATGAGGACAATGGGGGAGGGGAAGGGAGTGGAGGGTGGGAGGGGAACCTGGTGGAGGGGGGAAGAAATGAGGAACCTTTGTAATAATATGAACAATAAAGACTGATTTTTAAAAAATCATTGAAAAATAAAGAAAGAAAAAATAAAATAACCCGTTCGACTGCAGGTAACTGAAACTGCGGAAAACAAAACCACGAATAAGGGGGGACTGCTTATGTGTAATGACCGTGACTACATAGAGGAGTTTTTAATACATTCATACCACATGTGTATTGTATACTACCTTTGCCCCATACAATTTTGCAATGCTGAATTCGATTTTCTTTATGAAAGGAAGGAAGTGAATGCATGGTGCATGGCCAGGTAGCATATACCCGCCAGGGTCTCAACAGAAACAAGCTGCCACACAAAGACAGAGGAGGTTTGTTCGTGAGGGCCTCTTCTTGTGACAGGGCGGGTGGAGAGGAGTGGAGGGCGGCCCGCAGCCCCGGGCTGCAGCGGGAGGCTCTGCCGGTCCAAACGGACAATCGGACAGGCGGGAGGTGTTACCAAACAGGCAAAGGGAGCAGAGCGGGAGGAGGCCGCCCTGAAAAGAGCAGGGACCTTCGGGTGACAGACACAGGGAGGGCACCAGGGAAGTTAACCCCCTGAGGTCGCTCTCCTTCCGCTGCTCCTCCATCTCCTTCGGGGTCTCCATTGACCAAATCCATGCAGGAATCCCCCCCACACACACACACACACACATGTCCGCAGTCAGCTGCAGGCGGTGCGGGACAGAGCCGTGTGTGCGTAGAAAGCAGGTCTGAAGGGGCAGACAGAGTCAGCCAGTGTGTAGGTAAATGGAATAGTTTCCATTTGCTCACCCAGGAGTCTCCCCCACGTGGTTACAGACTTCCCAGAGCTGAAAGGAAAACTCTCATTTCACTGTGACGGCGACTGCATCCAGATTTAGTTCCCAGGCAGGAAGCTGAGTGAGTGGACAGAGGCACCTCTCTGCCCATGTCATAAGCTGCCTTTGCCTTCTCAAACTGCACGCTTCTTTCTCTGCGGCCCTGGGGCCACACTTGACAATAAACACGGACACAGGAAAGGCAGCGGGAGGGAGGCAGAGCGTTTCATTCGGGGACAGAGACCCGCAGACCTGCCTGCCCAGGTCGCTGCCAGGTCCCCAGAAAAGGACCACAGAGATTGCTCATGAGCAGGGTGGGCTGTGCATTGTAAGCGGGACACAAAAGGAGACAGAGAAAGAAATCTGATTCTCCCCTGGACAAATAGTTCATTTCTGAATGTCTGAGACAGGCAGGAAAAGTCTGTTCTTTACCATGAGCCAACGTGACTTTCCTAACCAGAAAATAACTTCCGAGTCATTCATTTAGAGAGAAAAAGAAAATAAGCAGCCGAAACCAGTTTGGCTCAGTGGATAGAGCATCGGCCTGCAGACTGACAGGTCCCGGGTTCAATTCCGATCAAAGGCTTGTACCTTGGTGGCGGGCACATCCCCAGTAAGGGGTGTGCAATAGGCAGCTGATCGATGTCTCTCTCTCATCGATATTTCTAATTCTCTCTCTCTCTCTCTTCCTCTCTGTAAAAAAATCAATAAAATATATATTTTTTAAAAAGAAAGAAAGAGCCGGGACCGGTTAGGCTCAGTGGATAGAGCGTCGGCCTGCGGACTGAAAGGTCCCGGGTTCGATTCCGGGCAAAGGGCATGTACCTTGGTTGCGGGCACATCCCCAGTAGGGGGTATGCAAGAGGCAGCTGATCGATGATTCTCTCTCATCGATGTTTCTAACTCTCTATCTCTCTCTTCCTCTTTGTGAAAAATCAATAAAATATATTTAAAAAAAAAAGAAAGAAAGAAAGAAAGAAAATAAGCAGTAGTTCACCTGTTTGGCAATCTTCTGACAGCTCTTTCTCTTTCCTGTGTCTCCTCTGCTTCCCACTGGTTCAGACGTGTCTGACACAGGTAATGTCCAGCAGCCCTTCGCAGGGTCCTACATTGTCTCCTTGACAAGCGTCCCTCCCTCCGTGTTTCCCGCCGGCCCCAGAGCACCTCACTCCCGGTGGGGTGGGGCAGGGTGGCGGGCGGGGGAGCCAGAGAGAAGCCCAGCCTGTGCACGCTTCTGGGCTGTCGCATGGACCTGTCCCTTCTCCCCTCCGTGTGTCTGGTGAAGGCTGGCTACAGTGACCCCAGGGGTAGCATTCGCAGGAGAGCTGGACCCACCCTCACTGGATGCTTGCCCAGCTTGCATGTGGTGTCTACAGTGTGGACAGCTCGGAGAAAGACAGCCCATCTGGGATCTGTCTCTGTTCCCATGGCCGCTAGAGCCCGCACCCTCACCGTTTCCTTCTTTCAGAGGGAATGCATTTTTTAAAACTCTTTTCCGCCTTGTTCTCCCCATCGTCACTACATTCCTTTGATTACTGTTCCAGTGCAGGTGTGGGCTTTCTGAGCATGTCCAGTCAAGCTCAGGACCCCTTGGTTCAATGCTTTCCTGGCTCATAACCACTCTGAGAAGCACAGATTAGAACGTTTGCAGCCCTTCTGGGGAGAGCAGGTGTTTTAAGGCGGGCCCCATCACCTCTGCTGTAAGAGAAACACCATTGGAGTAAACTGCAAACAAAGGGAAACTTAGCGGGAGGAGACCCTAAAAGAGTCGGCCAGCCACCCAGATTACTTGTGATTGTGGTTACACCTGTCCATCTTGCTTGCCCCTCTGCAGTAGCGCCCAGGGGTGTGGCACACCCTTCAGAAGAGCACAGGTGGTGAGGTGAGGGTGCCATTTTTAAAGCAAACCTTGATTGTGCACCTATCAGCGGCAAAGCACCATTTTTATGAGATGAAGGCGACATCGTCCCGACCCCAAAAGCTCGGGCCCTGTGGGAGTAGCTTGTATTATCCCTGACCAAGCCTTCTTACCGTGCTATTGTGTCCCCCGCAGATCTGGGGATTTTCCGGCGGGCCGCCATGGTGCTCTACACCGACTTCATCCATCAGTGCAGCCGGCCTCTGTACATGGTACGTGTGTGCTCCCGCACCCCATGGCTTTCTCCCAGAGAGTGGGGGGACAGCAGGAGGGGCAGGCTCAGGGCAGTGCCTCAGCCTCCCCAGTCCAGAGGGCCAGATGGTCCAGGTGGCTGAGGTCCAGGCAGGGGGAAGAAGCATGCTGTTCATTCTTCTCGTTCATAAAAAACAAGCTGGGAAGGTCTCACTTTTATAGATGAAAGAATTCTAGTATAGAAAGAAAAAATATGCATGTGGGTGTGCACAGCACTATTGAACAGTGATCCCTGCTGTGGGGTGTCCCTGTGAATAACCCTCCGAGGAGGTAAGATAATCACCAGGACAGCAGGCATAAGCCAGACTGTCTCAAGCAAACTGGGACCGATGGCCACTCCGGTAACTTTCCTTAGGAAGTTACACTGCCTCCATTATACAGGTGTTTGATTTTTATGCATTGGGCTTGTTTTGTTTTTTTACAATGAGCAAGGATATTGTTTCAAAATTGTGGATATTGCTTAGTGGTTGAAATACAACTTTTTAAAATTCTCCATTCTAGTTTTCGGTATATTATACGTTTCTGCACTGAGCACAGGAATCAGGGCCCTGGGCAGAGCTATGTCTTGGCTCACTGGCTACACACCCTCTCTGAGCCACTGCCCCGACCTTCGCAGATGCTCAGGGAACCCCTGTCGGCCCTGCCCAAATAGCATCGCTAGTCAATGGTTCACTTAGCACCCACTAGTGGTTTAAATCAGAGGGTTTTTACGAATAGGAATGTGGGACTCCCTCAGCCCGCTACAGCTTGTGGGGACCTGTGGGCACTAAGAATGGAGGGGCTGGGCTGAGGGCTTTCACTGTTCCCTTTCCTCCTTTCCAGGACAGAATGGTGTTGCTCGTCGTGGGGAATCTGATTAACTGGTCCTTGTAAGTAATCTCAGGAAAACACCTTTTTTCCTCTTTACTGATGTCTCTAACACTGGTTTAGCTTTCCTTGGTTGTCATTTTTATAAAGAAATCTGAAATTAAGGAGACCATAGGATTGAGCTTGCCCTAGAGACTTGAGAGAAAGGTATTTTTCTCCTCAAAGAATGCACTAACAAGCTCTTGTGTACCAATACTGGCCCCTCTTAGAGCATTGAGTTCAACGCATTGAGTTCATTTGCTCAACAAGACAAACATCGAATTAGTAGATAGATAGATAGATAGATAGATAGATAGATAGATAGATAGATAGTTGATAGATATTATGTCTATAGTTGCAAAAATGCAACGTAGTTTTAAATATTTTTGTAGAACTTTCCATAAAGGCTATCCAGCCATTTGTCTTAGTCTCTGCGTGTGTGTGTGTGTGTGTGTGTGTGTGTGTACACGTACATGTGTGTAAAAGTCTCTTTCCTATTTATTATCTCCCCCCACACCCAGGTCTTGTTTTTCCTACTCTACTTACATCATTCTTCCTCTACTTTCCCCTCATTATTGGCCCTTTTTCCTGCAAATGGCCTCAAAATAGAACTATACAATAGATGTATATTTTTGCTAGCTGTATCTATTTTATGCAACCTATTGAAATATTTTCAACTAAAAAAATGTGAATAAACCTGGCCGGATGGCTCAGGTGATTTGGAATATCACCCTGTACACCAAAAAGGCTTGTCAGGGCTCGTAGGAAGGAGGCAACCAACTGATCTCTCTCTCTCTCTCTCTCTCTCTCTCTCTCTCTCTCTCTCTTTCTCTCTCTCTCTCTCTCCCTCTCTCTTTCATTTCCTCTCTCTGTCTCTCTCTGTCTCTCTCTGTCTCTCTCTGTCTGTCTCTCTCTCTCTCTCTCTCTCTCTCTCTCTCTCCCTCTCTCTCATTTCCTCTCTCTCTCTCTCTTTCTCTCTCTCTCTCTCTCCCTCTCTCTCATTTCCTCTCTCTCTCTCTCTCTTAAATCAATAAAACATATCCTCAGCCCTAGCTGGTTTGGCTCAGTGGATAGAATGTTGGCCTGCAGACCAAAGAGTCCTGGATTTGATTCTAGCCAAGGACATGTACTTCAGTTGCAGGCTCTTCCCTGGCCCGCGACCTGGTCAGGGCACATGCAAGAGGCAACCAATCGATGTGTTTCTCTCACATCAATGTTTCTCTCTGTCTTTTCCTCTCTGTCCCACTCTCTCTAAAAATCAATGGAAATATATTACCAGGTGAAGATTAAAAAATATATAAGAATGAGTGAGATATTTTATGAATCCTTCAAAAATAAGTAGATTTCACTGCTTTTACTAGTAGTTCTTCACTGATGTGCACCTCTGGGTCAGTGACCTTTGATAGAAAGATAACTCTACTTCTGTTGCCCTTTAAGACACAAAAGGAATGAAAGAGGCATACCTTCAGGGGAAGCCAGAATCTTTTCAGGATAATTTGAATCTTATTGGGGCACCATATGCTTCTGGAAGAAACTCCCCACAGTGCTGCCACCAAGGGATGGCCTCAGGATAAAGTTTATACTTGTGCAGGGCCCCTGCTTTACCCCGGGATGAGTCGAGATGAATGATCCTTGGCAGTGGTCACCTTGGCAGTGGGGCTTTTGGGAATCACCCTTTTAGGGCAGACCCCACAGACCTGGTGACTATAAGATGGGGTAAGGAATTTTAAAACCATGGACAACAATCCAAAGTTGGTCATGTGTTTCAAGCCAATTATTGAGATAATCCTACTTCTAGTAATCTAGTCTAATGAAGTAATCTTCAGTGCAAAAGCAAGCACAGTACGTCTGGAGGTGTTCACTCATTCATTGTGGTGTGCTTTATAATAGTGAGAGACTGAAGGGCGAAGGGAAACCCTTCATTTCAACCAGAGAGGAAAGACAATTCTTTATGCTGCGTCCACCTATGGGAATTGTTAAAAATGAATGTGCTAAAGGAAATGTAATCTGTTAAAAGTTTATAATACGTTAAAGAGGGTGGGGTGTTTTGTTTTGTTTTTATTTCCCTCCTTGCAAAAATGGGAGTGGGAATGTGAAAAAGTCAAAATGTCACAAATCCACCTTCATGGCTGCAAAATAACCCCTCCCGTTTGCTCAGCGCCCTCTTCGGCCTGATCTACCGGCCCAGGGACTTTGCCTCCTACATGCTGGGCATCTTCATCGGCAACCTGTTGCTCTACCTGGCCTTCTACATCATCATGAAGGTAAGCGAGGCGCTGGGAGCCCAGCGCCCGGGCCCGCGGCTGGCGGTGCAGGCAGCCCCGCAGCCTCCGCTTCTCCCCGCAGCTCCGCAGCTCCGAGAAGGTCCTCCCCATCCCGCTCTTCTGCATCGTGGCCACCGCCGTGGTGTGGGCCGCTGCCCTGTATTTTTTCTTCCAGAATCTCAGCAGCTGGGAGGTAAGAGAAGGTTTTTTTTCCCCCAAGGTGTGGTCTCTCTTCATCTGTTTTCTGGTCATTTTGCTTCCCTCTCTCTGTGTGCTAGCTGCTGTTTATCAGTTTTTGGGTTTTTTTGTTTGTTTGGGTTTTTTTTGTTGTTGTTTTTTTGCACATGTGGGAGCCAATCTCTGATGCAGGAAAGGTTAGAGAGAGATCTTGTCATCAAGCCTTTCCTAGCTCCTATATAATATATGTGGCAGAGTCAGGCCCATTTGAAAACTTAACAAATGTGCCAGAAAGAAAACCACCACAACTGTTTATCGTTTTTATTGTATATCCTCTCAAACAAAAGCTTTCTCTAAAAACCTTATATCCACACACAAATGCTCAGTGAATGGCACATTGTCAACATTATCAGGGTAGCACTCATAGATGTGTAAGTCCTACAGACTCTGCAAATGTGGCCTTCCTATTGTGTTGTGTTATGACCCTTTTCTCAGTGAATGTTTAACATGTGCAAAGACGTTGGTGAATGTTTCTTCTCCCCCTTTCTCATCATAATCACCATCCATAAGCCCGTATCCATGTGCAGGGGTTTATAAGTCCATATCATAGACAAGGAAATCAGTGACATTTCTGAAGCCCAGAGCATGTAAGTCTCCACTTCCATTTCCGCAATCACCAAAATCAATTTTAGAACATTTTATCACTCCATAAAGAAACTCCCCATTTCTCCTGAACTCCTTAGCCCTAAGCAGCCACCAAACTATCTTTTGTCTCTATAGATCTGCCTGTTCTGGACACTTCTTAGAAGTGAAATCATATACTCTGTGGCTTTTGAACCTGACTTTCTTCATGTAGCACGTTTCCTAGATTCAGCCATGTGGTATAATAGCATGTATCAGTATTTTATGTCTTTTTATTGCTGAATAATATTCCATTGTATGGATACACTACATTTTTTCTAGTCATTCATCAGTGGATGGACATTTGGGTTGTTTCCAGTTTGGGGTTCTTATGAATGATGTTGTTCTGAAAATTCATGTGCAAGTTATTTTTGTGTGTGTGTGAACATATGTTTTGTTGGAAGCTAACTTTTTTTTCCTTTCACTTTTTTTTTATTAAGGTATTATATGTGTACATATCTTAACAATTCCCCCACACACACTCCCATACATGCCCTCCCTCCCCAGAGTTTTGCGCCCATTGGTTATGCTTATATGCCTGCATACAAGTCCTTCGGTTGATCTCTTATCTCCCCCATATGTCCCTACCCTCCCCACTGTAATTTGACTGTCTGTTTGTTGCTTTAATGTCTCTGTATCTATCTTTTTGTTCATCAGTTTATAATGTTCCTTATTTTTCATAAACGAGTGAGATCGTGTGGTGTGGAAGCTAACTTTTTGAGGCGGGCACCCAGGGGCACTTGTGTAGCTTTCCGGATGCTCAGCCCTCTGCACAGCTGAACTGTGGGAATGCCCGTCCACACCCGCCTCGCCTTCTTCCAGGGAACCCCAGCTGAGTCCCGGGAGAAGAACCGGGAATGTGTCCTGCTGGACTTCTTCGATGAGCATGACATCTGGCACTTCCTGTCTGCCATGGCCCTGTTTTTCTCATTCTTGGTGAGTTGACACCTTTGGTTAATTTCTTCTCTCTTTACATCTGTGTACTCTCTCTTTTTTCTCCTCTCCTCTTTCTTACACCCTCTTATCTATTCCCTTCTAATTTCCCTTTCCAATTCTGCATTGTAATTCAATGTACAGATAGTTTCATCTTTACATTGTACCTTCTGGGTAGGTAGTTATTTTAAGACACAGGGTGACAAAATGATTTTCCTTAAGCTTCACAACATTTGGTCATCAGAGCTCACATGCCCAGAATCCCCCAGGCTCTGCTTTTGGCATCCACTCCAATTTCCATAGCATTAGGCCATTCCTTATGCTATCCTCACATTCCTCCTTTCAGTCTCAGTGAACAGAAGTCATTTACAAATTCCTGGAGTAGCTCAGGATAGCATCCAGGCCTCTGTTCCCTTCTAATCTGTCAGTTCCAAATCTTTCATGTAGTCCCTTCATTTCTTAACCCAAACACCTTCCCAGAAGCCACGCGTATGATAACATCCCCGGAAGATAACACCCGGCATTCTTTCACATTAATTTTTACTTTCATAATTAAAAGCCCACGGTACCTGCACAGGTTCATGACAAACAGCAGGGGTCGGTCTCCAGGAGTCCGGATACTGCCCACTTTAACCAGTCTGGGCTGGCCTTATAGCCTCAATAGTGGAGCAGGGCTACCCCCTGGTGGCCAGTCTTAGAAGTTTACTCTGTATACTCTTACCTAAGGCTTCTATTTTTTAGTCACTTTCATTAGAGAGACCGAAGTGGAATGAAAGTAGAGGAGAGGATACACTTTATGCATAGTAACATTTTATGCAATAAGACTTCATTTCCTTTAGGTCTTGACCTAAATGGTCCCTTCAAAGTAATGACGTCCTCAGCCACCCTTTCTACATGTTTTTATCTCCCTTACTCCATACATACTTCCATGTTCTTGTCATAGTTTGACTTTTATCCTTAGTACATATTATCATCTAACATATTATACTTAGCACAGATTTCTGTCTAACATACTACATATGTTTTACTCATGTATTTGCTTCATGTCTATAGCCCTCTCTTTATATATATATATATATATATATATATATATATATATATATATATATATATTTATTGATTTTTCACAGAGAGGAAGAGAAAGGGATAGAGAGTTAGAAACATTGATGAGAGAGAATCATCGATCAGCTGCCTCTTGCACACCCCCCACTGGGGATGTGCACGCAACCAAGGTACATGCCCTTGACCAGAATTGAACCCAGGACCTTTCAGTCCGCAGGCCGACGCTCTATCCACTGAGCCAAACCAGTCCTGGCATGTAGCCCTCTCTTTAGTGTAAGCTCCAGGAGGGTAGGGATTTTTTTCTCTGTCATTGCAAGTTGTATTTCCAGCACTTAGAATAGCACGTGGTAGGCCTTGGTTAATTAATAAATGAGCTATGTAATTAAAACAAGTGCCTGTTCAGGGCATGGCATTGTAAAAAGCTGCAAAGACACAAAGACGAGTAGAGGCACGTGTTTCAATCCGCATGAGACTCAGAGAGAAAGTAACAACTTCCTGCGACTGTGACTGTGCATTCGTTTCACTTCTCCATCGCTCTCCTTTCAGGTTTTGTTAACCCTGGATGATGACCTGGATGTGGTTCGGAGGGACCAGATCCCTGTTTTCTGAGCTCCAGCATGCAGAGAGGAGAGAGGAAGCACTCGATCTTGGTGCTGTTTCACGAAAAATGCAGGGCCCGCAGCAAAGTAACCACTGCCAAACACTCCACTCACCCCCTGTGGAGTCAACTCTGAGTACACTCACACACAGAGGAGAGGAGCAGGGGAGAGTCAAACCTGCAAGGGTGGAGGCAGAAGGGAAGATGGGGCTATGGACAGAGGCGAGCCCTGAAGAGTCAAGAAGCCCCCATCCCTTTATGTCGCAACTCTGAACTAAACATGGACAACCGCTGCATCAAAGTTAACTCGCTCTCTTGGGGCCCCTCCCACCCTCACCTGGGGCTCATCAGCGATGGCTGAATGATGCTGCACCCTTTCCTCCAGCTGCCCCCATGCCCACCAGAAACTGGAGGTGGGCACCCTTTGCACTTCTGTACTGTCTGCTGCTCTAGACATCTCTGAGCACCAGCGCCTTGGCCAGGGTCCTGGGCTGAAGTTGGCTCCTTGGCTGATGGTGGCTCCTCAGAGTCTGGCAGAGGAGTGGACCTGATGCCCTATTCAACTGGGATAGATGTTTTATCAGCATCAGCTGGGCACCCCCTCAGAAGGACTGCTGTGTGTTCCCCCAGGTTCCTCACCTCCCCAGGGAGACTCTGGATTGGGCCTGTCACACACTCCCAACAGGTCGCTGGGACCAGAACTTGGGTGCTTACCTATTCCTGGTGTCTTCATTTCACTCCTGCATGTTGACCCCGGCGCTTAGGCTCCGCCTTCTCCAGAAGGGCCTGTTACCCCACAGACCAGCTCCAAGATGGAAGGGAAGTGAGAGAACTTTTCCAGTAGCAGGAAGAGCAGGAGAAATGACCGGCAGGGCTGAGGCGAGTGACATCAGGCAAACATGCCCCACCGTAAGGACTGGGGCTCCCGGAGAAACCTAGCCAGGGCAAAGGGGCATCCTCGCGCCTCCAGTTCAAACAGCGCGATTCTGTGCCCACGTCACCTTTGGGGAAGAAATGGGTGTTTCACCAGGGACCCTGCACTGACCCAGCCCCGAGCTGTCACTTTCTGCAGATCAGGACCTGCAGGCATGCTCTCTGGAGTTCTCTAGAAGCAACTCTCAGGGCCGCTGCATTTTACTCTAACTCTCTGGTTGCAAAGAGCGCAGGACATTAAGGATTGTCTTGGTCGCACCTGATTCTCATTGTTTCCTGGGAAGGTGTTGAGAGCTCAGCATCCCACTTCCCTCCCCACTGTCTGGCTGCTCTGCCCCTGAGAGTCCTACTCTGACCAGGCTCCTTGTTACCCGAGTGTGATGTACCCAGAAACTATGCACACCGATGTGCACACGTGGATATATCTGCCTGTGAAGTCACCTCTCACCTTTGCTTTCCTGGTCGTTCATTAGAGAAATGCATCAGCCATTTAAAAAATTTTAAAAAACAACTATTATCCTTTCTCTAAGATATCTGATAATGTTCAAAAACATTATGGAAGTTTGAATGGCAAACTTCCCCTGGTTTTAAAAACACAAAGATGCTTTTAGTGAAATATTTTGTGGTGTGTGTGTGTGTGTGTGTGTGTGTGTGTTTTTTTTCCTAAAATGCCCCCAATTTTGTAATTGGTCTTCTGTTACTCTTTATTCCTCAAAAACTGTTGGCATTCCACCCTGGAGACAAAAATCCTTGTCTCACTTACATGGTCGTGGTATGATCACATGAGCTAACACATACTGGTGAAAGTGTTCTATAAAATAAAAACTCATAAATATATTGTTGGCTTGCGTAGGCCATATGAAGGCCACCTATTAAATGATTGTGTTAGTCTAACATCTAAAACAAATTTTGAATCTGTTTATGGCTGATTTGAATTAATTTGTTTCTTTAAACGCGCTAATGATTTCAAACCCAGGAGAAAAAAAAGGATCCACTAAGGAAATGTGAACAAAGTCTGTTCAAGAAGCTCTGAGGCCTGAGGTGAACACATTGTGAGACACATTACCTGTTTGATAGCTTTTTGGGAAAATACGTCTGGGGACAAGGGGAGAGCCTTGCAGAGATGCATAAATTGTGCTGCTGTATTCTTGACCGTTTCCTGATGTCTGTCTTGTACTATAAACTCTCACACTGGGGTCAGTTTTGTTCTCTACAGCAGGACTACAAACCCAGGCCACGCCCACTCATATAAATATTAATCCTGCAGCTACTTGTGGCTCATTCTCCCTACAATGCCCATCTCATGGTTGGAGGGCACTGGAGGGGTGGGTAGTGGGTAGGAATGCGGTTCAGGGGCAACCAGAGTTTTTCAGAGCCGGTGGGCCCCTCCCCCTTAGCACAACGCCTGTGTTCATGGACTTCACTCTTGACAGGGGAAGGGAAGGCAACTCCGAAGGCCCAGGCCAACAGGAGGGTAATTGGAGAAAAACAGCCCCTGCGAGGCGGGTCCTGGCAGAGCAGGCCCGGGAGTCACAAGAGCAGTTCAGCTGGAGCAGGACTGCGATGGGGCGGCCAGGGGGCAGGACAGCGCAAGGGGAAGTAGCCTCTTCACACCTCAGGGGAACGCTGCCCAGGCCACGGGGCCACGCACCTGCCGTGCGGAAGGCTGCGGCTTAGCCCGGGTTATTTTAGCACCGGCGGGAGCCGGGGGGGGAAGCGGGATCCGGCTGAGGAAGGGACTTTCCGTGACCCAGCGTCACCCGCCAGCTCCCGGGGCAGAGATAGCTGCAGCTGCTGCCTTCAGCTCCAAACAGCCGCCGAATGCTCTGCGGGGCCGCGAGAAGGGATGCCCACGTGTTTCTCATTCCGGGAGTCAGTCTCTCCAGGCAAAGCCTGGGCCAAGGGAGAGAACAATAAACGTTCTTCATAGAAGGAACCGCAGTGTCAGAGCAGGATCCTTGCATCAGACTTTGGTCCAAATACATTGGCTGTGGGACCCCCAGTAAGTTGCTGGATTTCTCTGATTCCCACCTTCCCATGCAGGTGACACTCCTGAGGGTGACAAAGGTGGAGGTGTGCAGGGCACAGGAGCCGTGCCCACACAGAACGGCCTGAGCCAACACCACGGGCAGGCAGGGCCAGGGCAGATCTCTCCCCGCTGGGTCTTCCTCCTCCCGTGGCTCCTGACACCTACCTGTTCTGTTCTGTTCCCCTCCCTGCGGGTTCCTGGAGGCCCTCAGGGAGGCCCTCGGAGATACTGCCCAGAGCTATCCTCCCTCCCAGCCCCACCCCTCCTCGCCCCTTGTTGCTGCATTTCACTGCCTCTGGCCCTCAATACTTTTATTCCTACGCAGGTGAAAAGTTGCTACCACAGCTGGGGCCAAGCTGGAAGTGAAGCTGGATAAGATGCCACTCTTCACCGCGGCTGCTCCACCCAGACCGGCCTCCTCTCTCCAGCAGCTGTCACCGCCAGGGCAGGGAGCACCCTGTGCAACTGTTCCCCATTCTCCCCGCCCACCAGCCCATCACCAAAGGCCCGGTGAGCAGCTCCTGTGGAGCAGGGCTTCCGTCCGCACGGACACAGCAGATCCCAGAAGGAGGAAGCTGGGGGGGCCCCTCAGGTTTTGAAATGACCTTGCTCACCACAGTTCTGCCCGGTTTTTAATTTTTTTAAATATATTTTATTGTTTTTTTACAGAGAGGAAGGAAGAGGGATTGAGAGCTATTGTAGAAACATCGATGAGAGAGAAACATCCATCAGCTGCCTCCTGCACACCCGCTACTGGGGAAGTGCCTGCAACCAAGGGACATGCCCTTGACCCGAATCGAATCAGGGACCCATAAGTCTGCAGGCCCAGGCTCTATCCACTGAGCCAAACCGGTTTCAGCCAGTTTTTAATTTTGTTTTTAAACCTGTTTGGAGAAGATGTACCAGTGGGGCTCAGTTTTGACATCTCCTTGATGTCAAGGCACCTAACTTTAGGCCTTCCCACAGGCATTCAGATAGGCGTGGCAGGGTCTGGGTTAGCTTCCCCTCTGATTGTCTACAAGGCCACAGTGATAAGGAATGGCTGCTCTGGGCTCCAAGGAGGGTTGGAATTCCTCGTATGGCTTTCCTGAAGTGTGGTCTTTCTGTGCCCATTGAAATACAAAGAACACAAAGTGTTTCCCTTCATTCACACAGAATGGTCCTCTACCGCCCCAAATCTTAGGGAAATGGAGCTCCGCCCTCTTCCTAAATATCTCCAGATTCGATTTCATAATTACCCCTGAACTCTACATTTTAACAAATTCCTTGGTTCTAGTCTATTTTTTTTAATTGCCTTGAATTCCCTGTCATCTACAATGTCATTTCTCTGGAGATCAATTATAGCTGATCACCATATTTTAGCACAGAACAGCCTTGAAGTCATGTCACATTTTAGTCAAGTGCTAAAGTCTGGGTGCCCGTCTCCTATCCCAGCACTAAAGTTATAATTTAGGTAGCAAGATGTTTAAATAGTGAAAGGTTTTTATGTGAGGACAAGAGAAATCTGGCGTACAATCCCGTGATGCCTAGCTTCTGGGCCCTAATTCACTCTAACCCAACATTCTTCATGAATTTTAAATGAAAGATTATCCAAAATAATCAGAAGCTTTCTATTTTAAGATGCTATAACATTGCTATCTGAGAAAAAAAAAAGTTTATTTTCTTTTTATGATTTTTTCATAAAAATATAATTCGAGGTTATTTTTCCATTGATTTTTTTAGAGGGAGTGGAATATAGAGGGAAAGACAGAGAGAAACATCAATGTGAGAGAAACACATTTATTGGTTGCATCCAGACCAGTGCCAGGGAAGAGCCTGCAACCAAGGTATGTGCCATTGACCAGAATCAAACCCAGGACCCTTTGGTCGGGAGACTGAAGCTTTGTTCACTGAGTCAGACTAACTAGGGCCTTTTTATGATTTTTTTTAAAGTATATTTTATTGATTTTTTACAGAGAGGAAGAGAGAAGGATAGAGAGTTAGAGAAATCAATGAGAGAGAAACATCAATCAGCTACCTCCTGCATACCTCCTGCTGGTGATGTCCCTGCAACCAAGGTACATGCCCTTGACAGGAATCAAACCTGGGACCTTTCAATCCACAGGCCAACGCTCTATCCACTAAGCAAAACCGTTTAGGACATGATTTTTATTACATTGCCTATCTGAGCCTCTGCAAGGTTCAGTACCTGGTTCTAAGTAGGTCCCTTCAAGGAAGAGAACAAATCAGTCTTAAGGTTCACTCGCTGCTTTCTTAAGATGGGGCACCTTGTAAAGCACCCTACTCTTTAGGGAGTCTATTTCCTCTTTATCCTCTATTTCCTTGCTACTTCTCTGTTCAGTTATGTAGAATCAGGAATATTGTTTCAGTCAATAATAAAGAAATATCTGAGCAGGTCCAGCAATGAACAAAACACAGTTTCTGCCATCATGGGGTCTACGGTCCAAAAAGGAAGATGTGCCCTAGCTGCTGTGGCTCAGTTGCTTGAGCATCATCCCATGCACCAAGAGGTGGCTGGTTCGATTCCAGATCTGGGCACATCCCTCAGGTTGCAAGCTCAATCCCCAGTAAGGGGCAAGTAGGAGGCAACGGATTGATGGTTCTCTCTCATCTGTTTCTGTTTCTCTCTCTCCCTCTGCCTTTCTCTCTCTCTCTCTGAAAATCAATTTTAAAAATATTCAAAAGGGAAGATGTACATGAAACAAATAATTATAATTTATTAATTACAAGTGGGCAAAAAGCTCCAAGAAGAGAATGGCACCATCTCCCTAATTCTTAGGAATCACAACAATCCCCCCTGCTGAAGGACACGCTTGGCACCGGGGAGCTAGGTCTGCCCTTTTAGTGGAATCTTACTATAGAAGCTTTTGCCCTCAAATCCCATCTCTAACCCCTAAAAGATTACAGCTGGCAGAAATGATCACTAAAACAGTTGACATCTGTCATCGGGCTGTCTGCCAAAGATTATACAAACATGACCATATTTAATCCTGAAAACACCTCCTCCATGAAGTCGGTATTATTCCTATTTCCCAGATGGAGAAAGTGAAACTTAGGGAAAGTCACTGTTCCCTAGATGAAGCAAATAGTGCAGAAACCTGGGTTAGTAGTCAAAAAATAGTAGTTTAAGTATAACAAGACCAGAGAGAAGAAAGACAGATTGTGGTGCAATGATGATTCAACTTTTATTTGTGCATGTATCTATATCTGTAAAGCACACAGCCTACAATTACGTAACTATTGAACATATTAACAAGAAGAGAAAGTTTTCCAAAACCCAGAAGATATGTGTTCGTTATATAAACCTGAGTAACAGTGAAGCCTACTGTGCTTTTAGGAAAGCCAACCAATAAAACGACAGCATTGGAACATTTTGGCTCTCTAAGCGGGAACAGCTGGGTTTGTATAAGGACTGCTGCTCCCATTTCTAAGCTTGTAAAGCTAAGACCAAAGACCTTTATGTAAATTCGATGATTGCACTTGGCAAAGGGCTATAGACCGAGGGACTCATTTTAGATGAAAATATATGTTATATACGATGTCAGGTGACCACGGGGAGCCTGTGAGTTCCTAAACAAAATTAACAGTGGAGAGAAAACACAGGAATGTATGTGTGTGTTTTCATTCCTAAAAAACATTAGGAGACAAAAACACTGTCAAGATTTAAAAAAATCCTCCAAAAGCTGCTTCCGAAACTAATCCGTGCTGGCTCAGTAGATCAGGCAGAATCTTATGCCTCCCATTGGTGGCTGACCCATTTTTGTTTTTCAGGGCTGGGCCCACCCTCCCCTCTTGTAAAGGAGTGGTTCCATCTGCCAAACGAAGGCAGAGGAAATAGCTTGCATGGAACTGTGAAAGGATAGGTCTTCCTTTGGGGTACAATGATAATGGCGCTAAGTGTTTCTAAATACGTCCATAAGTAAGGCAAAAAAAGCAATGTGATGGTTTGAAACGCTAAAATACTAACCAATTTTCCTCTCCTATACTAAGCTGTCTCTAAGGCTTTTTTTTTTTTTTTTTTTAATATTTGTGAATTTGCACATTCACCATTCAGCAACATTTTAAAAAGTGGGATTTAACCTAGTTGAGTCATGAGTTCCCAGAAAACTTCCCTGAGGCAGTCAGTTCTCCACCACTACAATCTGGCTTCAGCCTTTTTCTAAACCACAGATCTGAATGTGATTAAACCACCTAAGAAAATACCACCAAGCAAGAAGTGCACAGCACAACCACAGCTAAAAGCTGGGTTCTAGCCAGGCCAGTGTGGCTCAGTGGTTGAGCATTGACTTATAAACTAGGAGGACACAGTTCAATTCCCTGCCAGGGCACATGCCTGATCCCCAGTAGGCGTGTGAAGGAGGCAGCAGATCAATGATTCTCTCTCATCCTTGATGTTTCAATCTTTCCCTCCCTCTCCCTTCCTCTCTGAAATCAATAAATATATATTTTTGTCTGCTAGCTTTCCCTTGATATAATGTCTGTGAGATTCGTGTGTGTGTGTACAAGTAGCTTCATTTTATGAATAGGACATTTCATTTATCCATCCTCCTATTGATGTTTGCTTTGTTCCAGTTTGAGTCTACTGTAAAGAAAGTTTCTACGAACATATCTTTTTTTAAAAAAAATATATATATTTTATTGATTTTTCACAGAGAGGAAGAGAGAGGGATAGAGAGTTAGAAACATCGATGAGAGAGAATCATCTATCAGTTGCCTCTTGCACACCCCCTACTGGGGATGTGCCTGCAGCCAAGGTACCGTATTTTTCGGACCATAAGACGCACCGGACCATAAGACGCACCAGTTTTTAGAGAAGGGAAATGAAGAAAAAAAGATTCTGAAACAAATAGTGTCCTAAAATATTTTATGTGCATTAAAACCCAACATCACAGTCATAAACACATGTAATCAACCCTGTAAAGTAAACAGCAGCATTTAGAACCATTTTAGAGCCGGGCAAGCACACAGAGACCACACAGAGCTTTTTTTTTTTAAAGTATATGTGTAGGCTATATTTGGACCATAAGACGCAGGGACTTTTTCCCCCCACTTCTGGGGGGGAAAAAGTGCGTCTTATGGTCCAAAAAATACGGTACATGCCCTTGACCGGAATCGAACCCGGGACCTTTCAGTCCTCAGGCCGACGCTCTATCCACTGAGCCAAACCGGTCCTGGCCGAACATATCTTTTGGTGAACTTATACAAACATTATTTTCCGGGGTAGAGAAAATAAGTCTTTAGTTTTAAAAGAAACTGCCAACAATCTTCCAAAGTTTCCATTCTCACCGATGAGAGTGTCAGTTATTCCACATCTTTGCCAACACTTGGCACTTGTCAGTTCTTTCCATTTTAGCCTTTCTGGGTGAGAGAGGAACGGTATCTCATTTCATTTCATTTTGCAGCTCTCTGACTGCTGATGTTGAGTCCCTTTTCTAGGCTTCTTGGCCATTTATGTAAAGAATGTTTTCAAGTTTGCCAACTTTTAAAAAATCAACTTAGGCTTTTTCTTTTTGATACATTTCATCTTTGCCAGTCTCTGACTTGAAGAGAAATACTTAAATTTACTAAAGTCTAATATAACAATCTTTTCTTTTATGGTTATGCTCAAATAATGTTCCCTATGGTTTTTTTCTTGAACACTAGTTCTCAAATTGTTTGGTCTCAGGATCCATGAACAGTCCTAAATATTATTGAGAACCTCAAAGATGTTTTTGTTTATATGTAAATTATGTCTATCAATATTTACCATGTTAGAAATAAAAATAGAAAATTTAAAATACTCATTTAAAGATAGCAACAAACTCACTACATAATACAAATATTTTACTTTATAAAATTTTCATTATTTTTCAAAAGAAAACAAAAAATTGTGAGGAGAGTAGCAGTGTTTTGCATTTTTGTACACCTACTTGATATAGGGCTTAATAGAAGATAGCTGGATTCTCAGGTCAGTTTCTGCCTTTTCTCTGCTGCAGTATGCATTTTGCTTACTGCAGCAGAGAAAGGTATATGAAAAAAAGCTAGTCTTAAAGAAATATGTAGTTGGAAAAGTTAATAGCCTTTCCAGATAATTGTAGCTATTCTTTCTTGATAACACAGCAAAATTCAACAATGGTAGTTTCCTGAAGTTGCAATGTGGAATTTGTGAACTCTTCATCTTTTGCCATGTTAACCAATTAGTGCATCTTATAGTTTATGGATTTTAGTATCTCTTCAAATATGATTATTCTAACATCTTTTTGTTCTAGTTGTTGCTGTGGGGCTGATGATCTGCCACTCACTCCTACATCCTACCTTACAGTGAAAATCCGTTGCATAGCTTTTTATGGAGATATGTACGGTAATTAAAATAACTTCCCCTCAAACATCTAAATAAACTGGAAAGCCAGCAAACTTTACATAGCTGTTATAACTTGCATTCATCTTAAGGAGATTGAATTTATGCATGGTGGTCCCATTTCTATGGGTTGTACAACTTTTAGGGCATATTTGGATCCCCATGTAATAAAAATATATAATATATCCACGACTTCTGTATGAGAGGCAGTGTGCAATAGTAGAAAAAAACACTAAATACTGAATAGTCAGAATACTGAATTTTAATTTTAACTCCTAGAAGCTGAGACAAGAATATTGTATTAGTTTCCTACAGCCCATGGTGGAGTAAATGATCCCTAAGGTCATTTTACCTGTTTCAATTTTGGGATATATTTTATACATTCATAAGACAAAAACTTAAGGTGTAAATGAAATAAACACCTGCATATCCACTAACCAATTCAATTGAACATACCAATGTCCTTAATACTATCTCCTTTCCTCCTAAGAAGTATCCATTATCCTGAACTTTTAGTTTATAATTTCCCTAATTTATACATTTAAAAAATTTTTAAATATATTTTATTGATTTTTTTATAGAGAGGGAGAGTCAGAAACATCGATGAGAAACATCAATCAGCTGCCTCCTGCACACCCCTCATTGGGGATGTGCCCGCAACCAAGGTACGTGCCCTTGACCAGAATCAAACCTGGGACCTGTCTGCAGACCAACTCTCTACGCACTGAGCCAAACCAGTTTCGGCCCTAATTTATATTCTTATCACATCTGTAGGCTATCCTTACACAATAGTTTGACTTATAGGCATTCACAATTTATGTAGCTTTATCCTGTACAAGTCCTCTGCAACATTTTCCCCACCTCAAACTTCATGCTGGTGAGATGGGACTAAATTGATGTGGCTGTAATGAAAGCTAATTCTTGCCCCAAAGTGCTTGCTTCGGTTTCCTCCACTATAATGAGAATATAAATGGAATAATCTCTCAATATTTTCCCAGATCTGAAATTTTAATTTTATCTTTTACAATAGCATAGAGGTGTATAGTTTGCTCTAAAGATATAGTGCTAATCATAATTATGATATATTTGAAGTTGATTCTTTGATCAGGAACATAATCCCCAGGGGAAATGTCATGGTGTCATTTTCAGATACTTTGGCAAAATTTGAAGGTTATTTGAACATCATACTTTAGTTTGCAAGAGAAGTTGTTTTAATACCAGGCTTGAAGTGGCACATGGAATGATCAGAAAAGAGAGATTCACAATGCAAAAATGCAAAGTTTATTTTCTTAAATAAAATACTATATTTATATCTATACAAATAATTATTACAACCATTAAAATGTTACATTTACCAATAAAAATTTCAAAACTTTAAACAAGAGCATGGTTCAGAATATTCACACCCTAATACAATGCATTTGTAAAAAGATGTCAAAATAAACAGGACCTATTCTTATTTACAACTGTAGGACAATTCTGGTCATATTATACATATCTGCTCTGGTCTCCATTACAAAACAAGTTAGCTCCCATTAGAATTATAAACCAGGTGATTTACAGTAATAGGACACAGTGCGCAGCAGGCATTGCTGGCATGGAAATAGATACAATTATTACACTTTTGAAAGCACTACAGTTGGGTTTGTTTGTTTTCTGGTAACTGCCCTACAGTAAGCTTCTTGCCCAGTGTTTCTATAAATAATTTGTGAAGGTAATTATGTTCTCAGATTTATATAAATGGCCTGCTAAAAGTGGAAGCAAATCTTTTCTTCACAGTAACACAACTGCAGCATTTTAAGCAACACTGTCTGGTCCCTTTCTTCTTGGAAGATCAACCGTTCAACTCCCTTCATAGGTTACCAATATAATCAAGTCCAGTGCCTCAATGACCTCATAGATGAAAAATTGATTTGAGTCAGGGGCTGTGGAACAGACTAAAGTATTTGAACATCATACTTCAGTTTGCAAGAGGGGATTGAAATGGAGTAAACATTAATTTCCTAAGACATAGTATTATATATAACCAAACACATAACTGAGCCCCCCAAAATATTTTTTAAAAGGTTAAATTGCAAACAAAGAATTATCTTCTATTTCTCATGAAATCTCTAATGATTATGCAGTCATCCAAGAAAAACACCATTTGGATATTATGTCCAATATTTTTAACACAAGTTGGCTCATGTTTATGTAGCATCTAAATACATACATGATACAGAGAAAGATTACAGTTGATGGGGTTTGTGCAAATCTAGAAATAAGGATGTTGGATGACCATCACATACAAGCTCTGAGTTTAAAAGAAGTGTTGCTTCAACCTAGTAAGTTTTTTACAGGATTGAAATCAAAGATGGCTCAGAGTATAAGGCAATAGTGAGAAACATCAGATGTACTTGTCTTCCTGGTGCTGGACTAGTTGATTTATACCATCCTGGCTAGTCCTTTGTTTTAACAGAGGAGTGGGTGAATAACATGTTCCAATGGCTGGTCTTGGGACCAGAGGCACAGTTTCAGGTAAAGTGCAGTACCAGGGAAGAGGCATGTAAGCAGAACTAGAAATTATGTCCAAAAAGGTCCTCAACACTTCTTACCAGCAAATCTGGACTGCCTCACTCCTCATTTGATGTCTCCCTCAGACTCTGGTAGAAACACCCTTGGGCTCACACAGGAAGTGTAGAACGCAGGACAAATCATGGTTCATTAAATAAGGAACAGAGCTAAACTATATGGCACATTCAATATTTTAAATCAATTTTTATTTTCTTTTGTTTCAAAAATTCTTATTGTCACTTAGTACAGTGGGAGACGTGGTGGTTCCCCAAACCAGGAACTGGGAATCACTAATTTGGGAGAATGACTTCCTGTCACACACTGACCCAATAGATGGTGTGCCCAATAAATGTTTCAAGGCAAAGGAGTAATCATGCTAAGGAAATAACATTAGACTTGGAGCAGATGGAAGAAATTAAGAGCCTAGGTACCTATGTATCAAAGGAAGGGTACAGCTAAGAAGATCTATATCTGTAAGTCTTGATCCTTTCTCAAATTTTTAGGACTTTACTCCCATTAAAATGTCTTCCCATTTTTTAAATTTATTTATTTATTTTTTTGGAGTATAACTTTCAGCCTCTCCAGGAAATGGCTGGTGTTAGAAGGCAAGAACAAGGCAAATGAATTATCTTTAAAATAATTTTAAATAATTTTGTATTTTAAAAGACTGATTTTAAAAGATGACCTTTATTGAAATTCACCCTGACATGTGACTGAAATTGCTGCAAAAAACATTCCCTCCTCATTATTTTCTCTCCACAATTCTAATATATAAATTTTATAAAGCATGTCATTCTGGAATTCTCAGTCCTTACTTAGATAAGAGGTGCCGTTTCTGGTTTCCCAAAGGGTCTTACAATAAAAACAAAAATAAATTCCCTAAAGAAGTATAAAACATCCCAAAACAACCTGTTTGTACCAAAAAAGAAAAAAAATACATCAAATTTAATTTATCCATGATTGACATATTAAAAATTACACGATAAAAAATCTGAAATTTTTCACCTCATTAGAAGTTACTGTGTGAAAAGTTTAGAGGAATCAACCACTTTCTGGAACTGATTCCATTTGATGCGCAACACTAAAAGAGAAACTAATTTAATCAATGATTCTCAATTACACCTCATACATAAGTTTGTGTACTTCCAGAAATTAAAAAAATTACTTGTGGAAATGGTTTTACATTCTATAGTCATATACTAGAAACCAAGAATAACATTAAATTTACTATAACCAAAATTGGCTATGGTTCTCTGCAAATCCTTTGTCAAATATTACATCCAGAGATGGATATTAAAATAAATTCTGCCTCAAAATCATGTAGCTCTAATGATCAAATACTTAATACTGCTGATAAATCTCATACACTTGTGCTTTTAAATCAAATAAGATTACTATGCTCTGAACACTTTCAGAATTGAGTTCATATAAAAAATGGCCTCTTATGTATATATGCACATTTCTGTAAGATAATTAGAGCTACATGTAAGCAGGAGCCAAATTACTTGCAGATGGTCACATCCTTTCTCCGGTGGTCAAATAAGCCTTACTTAGGAATAAAGACTCATTCGGGATCAAGGTGTTACATGCCTGGAATGAAAGCTCTGAGAAATGTAAATGCTACCCCTGAACTGAGCTGAGCAAAAAATACCATCAATGCCAACAGAGAAGTATCTGAAAGTTCCGAGTTTTGAGGCCATTCCATCGCAGAGTTCAAATTGAGTTTCTCCTTAGCTTGTTACCTTAGTTCCAATTACATCTAAGAGTCCCCAGTTCTTCAGAACTCGCTAGCCGCTGTGTTCGCACGGGTGCGTGCTTGCATGTGTGTGTGTGTGTAATAGAGGTGGGGGGGAGAGGAGAATAATAAATAATCAAACACACTGAAAACTGTCTTTGTAACTGGCAGCCTGGACCTTTCAAGTACAAAGAAAAACTTGAATGCTAAAGCTTAAAACTCAGTTAAGATGAAAAAAAAAAAAGTCATAAATCTCACATTTTTGTCTCAATTAACAGTTTTAACTGATGAGTTTATCTGTGGCTTTGCTGAATAACTTATTCATGAAGCTCTCCTGTTCTTCCCATGACCATTTTGAAGGGAGAAAATACAAAAGCTTTTCTCATTTACAGTATTTTTGCCCCCAGGAGGCTGCTTCAGTTAGCAGCAGGAGTGGATGGGAAAGTTTGGTGAGAATAGTTGAAGAGGCACAGATGACCCTTTTGCTGAGTCTTTAGAAGAGGTATTCACTGGAGTCACTGCTCTAACCAAGCCCTAGGAGGCTTTTTTTAGGAGAAAAATAAAAAATAAAAAAAATGCTGGTTCTTGGATTCACTTTTTTAACAGAGAAGACAGAACAATTTATATGCATCTCTCCCACTCCATCCAGTTTTGGCAGAATATAACAACAAAAAGTAGTGGGTTTGAGAATATGAGCATATATCATTGTTGATTTAGTTTAAGTTTTCAAATTCAATATGTGAGTATATACATATATATATTTAGATTATTAACTTCAGTGGGGCTTCTTAAGCCCTCTACATCAAGTTTTTGTATACTTCAGCAGGTCTTGGGCCTCAATTTCCCAATTTCAGATGGCAGGCCTATTTTTAAACAGCAAGTTTATACTTTAAATTCTGGGCGTACACACACACACACACACAACATATAAGGATAGTTTCTGAAGCACCATTTAACATCTGCCATCAGGAAAAATAATGAACAAATTCATCTTCTTATAATTCTACTATGAAGGATAATAATGCAATATACAATGCCATATTTTAAATAAAAATATCAGTAAATGAATATAAGGACAGACTTAAGACTTTGCAAAGAAATATCTAAAAAGTAGGGTTCAGATAACTCTAGATTCCAAAGACACTATTTACTGATCAGTCCATACCAATTAAACAAACGTAAAAGAATTTACTTTAAAATCAATAAATAGAATGAAGAGAGAATATGAAAACAAAACTCAACTTATGAAACAATTTTTAACTGAACACATACAAAACTCCACAACTGCTCTTATCCTTAAGGACTAATGTAAAATGCAAGCACAACATGGAAAATATCTATGTACTTTTCTTTTTAACTTTCTATCTTTAAGGATCTTGGCACATTAAAGGGTAGCATGGCTCCCTAATTTGAAGAACAGGACATGAAATTCAGATAACTAAGTAATTGTTATACTACTAATTAAGAAAGAAGCCTCTACCTAAATCAAATCTTGGGAATAAAGGCTGATTAAACAACTCAATTATTTGCTTGACTTTAACCATGGATATACATTCTGTATTAATTCAATACATGCCATGGGTAAGAAACTGTTCTAGATCCTGACATCAACCAGCATTTGGTTATGAGTCATTGTGTTTTCTGGGACTATCTGCATTTTTTTTTTTTTTTTAGAACAACTCAACTATTTCAACTAGTTTACAAATTTTCAACAATAAAGTTCAAAATTGAGGTCATTCCTCCTACTCAACACACCCCAAAATGATCTCCCCCAACTTCCAGCTGATTAATATTTAGGGAATATAACATTACAAATCAAACTTGAAAATGTAAATCTGCTTGGAAAATTTAAAAATCACATCATGCAATTAAAAATGAAAGGTAATTGTTTTTGACAACCCAAGTATTCGCATCATCTGACACAGCTTCCCTACATTCAGAAGAAAACTGCAAAGTGATTATACAAACACAAAAACATATACGCAATTCTCTCTCCATGTGCATGTATGTGTGCATGCACATACAAATACATTTGTAATCTCACCTGTGACATTTACACTTAGTCTATCAGAATTTAAACAGCTGAACTACAGTCATGACCTAAAATATGGCTTATGTTGTGGGCAGGTCGGTTTGAGGACTGCTTGGAAGTGTCAGAGGCAGAGGAGTTTGCGATTGTAAGCAAAGGTGACATTGCTGAGCCATCAGGAAGAGCTGTAGCTATTTCTGGAAACAAAGATGTCATATTAAAATTGGATAAGTGAGAGTTGGGCATGTGCATTGGTGGCATATCAGGGAGAAGAGGAAAACTTGGTTGAGCAAAACCAACAGGTCTTGGAGGAGATAAAATTGATCCAAATCGGTTATTTAAACTCCCACTGTTTACCTTCTCTGTGCTAGGATTTGAGAACATCTGATTTGAAAAATAAGTGAGCGGAATATCATTGGACAGTGTAGGGTGAGCAGGAGAGTACGAGGGATAGAAGGAAGGTAGAGTATTTTGGGGATCTACAGGGATGAGTGCTGGAGTTCTAGTGGCACTAGGCTGAGTAACCTGTGGAATGAAAGAAGTATTAGCATTTATTGGTGGATTCATGCCACCCTCGGGAATAAAAGGAAAACCAAAATTTTGTGATAGCGTATGCTGGTCAGGTGCTGAATTATCATTAGGTACTTGAGGGCTATCAGGCATGAAACGAACAATACTTCCTCTCTTCTCTGTAGTGGGTTGCTGGCGTCCAAGAATCATACTGCCACTAGCAGAGAGAGGAAGATGGGGAAGACTCGGATCAAAGACATTACTATGCCTTTGATTTCCAGAACGATTCCTTTCAGGTTGACGAATTTTGGAACCACTGCTGTCTTGCAAGGGATGCCTTGATCGCTGGGGAACTGAAGAATTAGTTTGACGTACAGGAGGCCCTTGATCAGAATTTCCATGAGACACAGATGGATGTGGCAAAGCTGGCCTCGCAACCCCATGCATGTTGGTTGTGACTGGAGGATTCATGTGGCCCTTGGTCCCATGACTGTCAGTGATCCTCATGGGATTGGACTTCTGCACAGAAACATTGGGACTTGTATTTCGACCTTGAATATCTCCTGAGGAAGAACTCGAAAAAGGAATATTCAAGGTGCTGTTCCTGGTGTTAATCGCACCTAGGGGCATGTCACAACTTTCCCTATTCTGATTCTCACTCTCTCTTCTAATATGGACACTTTCATGAGTTGGGGGACAATTATATTCAACTGCAGGGGATGGCCCACACTGTGCATTCCTCTGATGTTCTGAGAGTGATCTCTGACTCCCAATGATCTGATCACCAAGGTGAGGGGCAAGCAAGCTCTGCATGAAACTTTGATGACATGTGTTTTCACTGTCCCTTGGTGGGATAGCATTTCCTGCTGGGATGCTATGAACTGGTGGATAAGGTAATCTCTTTTGGCGGTCAATTGGTGGAGGACCAGGGTTTTGACTAATTCGAAAAGCCTGAGGCTGCATACTCCTCAATGATGACACAGAGTTACCTATTTCATTATTTCTTGAAGACTGTACTTCAAAATTACTCTGGGGCTGTTGAATGGCTCCAGTTGGTTTAAATGTCTGACAGTCAGACAGCCGGATATCTGGGGCAACAGTATGGTCCACACGACCCTGCATATTATGAAGGCCCAAATTCTTATTTCTGGGTACATCAAGATAACTTCTCATTTCAAGCTGATCTGAAACTCTAGAACCCTGAATCGATATACCCATTCTCTGCTCTGAATTAGAAGATGTCTTTCCAATCAGTGCCTCGGCAGAATAACTTGAAACTCTATTTCTCTCTGGTCTGTGTGGAGTACAGGTCATGTCTGAAGGTCTAGTCACAATACTTGGTTGGGACACCATCTGCTGCTCTATGCCTCTTGATGTCAAGAGCCTCTGCATTGGATTATGCCCAGTTACATGTTCAGAAGAAACCCCTGAGCCTTGCTGTCTGCCTCCAACCTCCTGTTGCTGGTGCATAATATCTTGATTGAGATGGTTTTGGGGATGGTTAGGGTGGTTCCGGCTAGTTGAAGGGTTTTCACAACTCTTTTCCGACTGGGAGCTTCCGAAGTGTTGCTGCATCTGTTGCTGTATCTGCTGATGGTGGGGATGTGGCTGACCACTCTTGGATCGGGATTGGTCAGTCCCATGGTGCTTAGGTTGTAAGGAAAGCTGGGAGGCCTGAGTGCCCTGAACAAGATTCCTCTTTTTGTGCATATGAACTTCCTGTTGCAGAGTTCTCTGTTGGTGGACATTATGGGGCTGAGAGTGGACAGAGCTCTCTGCATGAGGTATGTGATGCTGCAGTTGATATAAGTGATGCCTTTCCCTTAACTGCCCTGCTTGCTGCTGCTGCTGCTGCTGCTGCTGTTGCTGCTGCTGCTGCTGTTGCTGCTGCTGCTGCTGTTGCTGCTGCTGCTTTAAGTAGAGATGGTTACTATGCAGGTGAGAAACCCCTTGAGCTGGAACATGCTGTTGCAGGACCTGCAGATGTTGACTGGCTTGGGTTTGCTGCTGCTCAGCAACCGAAGGCTGAGAACTGCACTGAACTTCAGTTTGCCTCAATGCAGGAGCCACAAAGTTGTTACTAGGTGGAAATAATCGCGTAAGGCCATCTCCATGTGCTGGGTTGCTAATAGGCACAACTGAGTTTGAAGAGTTGGGAGGGATCTGACTAACCATCATTTGAGTATGATCAGAAATGCTGTCTGGAGTTCGGCTAACCAGGGACATACCTTCAAGCCTGAGGGGGGCTGGCTGACAATGCTTTTGACGTTTTGCTGAGGACAGTAGAAGGTCATCTTGGACAGCACGTTTAGCGGAGTCTTTACGGCTTTCATGACTTGGCTTTAAGAGTGGCTCTTGAATCTGTGAAGTTGGTACAGTACCAGTCATAGTGCTTAGTTGTTCTTGAGAATATTCAGTCATCAGAGATGGTCCAGGAGGCTGACTGCCATAGGAACTAGATGAAACAGTCAGATTAACTGTAGCAGAAACAGTTGTTGACTCTGAAGTCTGAGACAATCCAGCACAGCTGACGAGAGAATGGCTGATGCTGCTCTGATGGATAAGATTATTCACACTTAAACTGGTAATGCTTGGTGGCTGAGAATTCGAAACCTGCAAAGAGGCATTTGATGTTTTAATCCCTACTGAACAACTTGGTTTTTCATGGGGCCTATCCACAGTTGCTTCAATTGAATCCTGAGAATTAAATTCATTTGATGTTGCTTCTGCCTGACCTAGGCTATTCTCTTTAGAGACCTGTGTTTTGAAAGGCTGGTCTCCCTCTAAAGATGATGCTTCAGAAGGCTTTGAAGTAACTTCCCTTGTATCAGCCTGGGTACCAGCTTTTCCTTTCTCAAGGTTCTCCTGGTCAAAAATAGCTCTTGCTGCAAGAGCGACTATATCAGTTTGCTCTACAAAGGTACAGCTGTCACACGTATTAGTTGTTACATTGCTGGTGACATCTTCTCTAGTTGTTTCAGGAAGCATGGATGCAACTGAGAAACTACGACTACTACCCGAGCTGGTTGACATGGGAGAGTCAGCCTGCCGACTGGTAAGCAAAGAGCCATGAATAATCTCCTGATCAGGGATACAGGAATGATGCTGTCCTGGGTCTCTATCATCACTGTTCATCAGCAACAGCTCCTGTTTGGGATGCAAATCAATATTTGAATCAATTATTTTAGAACTTTCTGAAGAAAAGTCAGGATGGTCCACCTGGACTGAAAGAGATGATTTCTGAGGGTCTTTGTCTTTAGCAAGACCAGATAGCAATGCAGTTAAACCTTGCTCCTTTAAGAGACCTGTAGTTTGCATTCTATCTGATGAATCTTGCTCAACTCCGCAAGGCTCAGCAATGATTTCTACCTCAGTAATACAATCAGTACTTGTAATGCTTGTGGTAGATGATGAAACCGAAACCTGAGAAACCAAAACAGGGGGATCATTTGGAGATGGAATGAACACGTTGGCTGAAGTACCAAATTTGGGAGCATCTGACAATGCCAAACTAATTGGTGGCTTATCCTGAGATGTCTCTTGCACTACGGGGACAGAATCTTTGGATTTTGCTGAGGCCACTGCAAAATGCTCACTTGTTATAGATTCTTGGCAGGGTGAGTTAGACCCTTCTGCTGACTTAGATTTGGGTACAGACTCAGGTATCACTGATTCTGAATTTGGAACATCCAAAGAATGTGAACCAGAAACATTCACAGTACTTTTTGTCTGGGACACAGTGACAGATGGCACCACAAGAGGGGGGCTTTCCAGCAGTCCATCATTACATGGTGGTTCTGCTGAGCCTTCAGTGCTGGGACAATCCACCTGGCCCACATCGCTGACTGGATTCAGGGGGCATGCTGACTTGTTAGCTGCTAAGTGTTTCTTGACACCTGGCTTCTTATTCAACCTTTTTGACTTCACGTTAGGCAAACAAGCTACAGTGTTCACTGAGGGGGTAGTCACAAGACTATAAGTGCTGGGTAGTGTGGCTGAAGTATCTGTTGTCATGGGCGATACTACTGTTGCTGTTAATGAAGCACTGTTAGCTGGGGTGGTCTGATTATTTGCAATAGTTTGAGGATTGGCAGGCTGGCCAACAGACAATTGTACACAGCTTTGCCCAGCCATCTGTGATATGCTTTGATTGAGGCTGGCCAAAGCGCCGAATGTATTCAGGGCAACGTTGGTATTTGGATCTTCGCTGGTGGTGGGTTGAATAATTTGCATAGGGTTTTGGTTTGTAGTTCCTGATGAAGACATCACAGGCTGCAAAGCAAAGAGCTGTCCATTTAAAGAAATGGTTTGAGGCTGTTGTTGGTTCGACACGGTAACAGAAAAAGTTTGTGTTGAATTAGATGTTGATAAAGATGAAGGTCTTGGTAATATGTGGACAAGATGCTTTCCACCAAAAGTTTGTGGGGTCGACACATTTTGCACTGAATTAGATCCTATTATAGCATTGGCTCCATTGACAGGGAGTCGAACAGAACCAGGAGGTTGAGCTGAGAGGAGTGGCAAAGGATTCTGATTAGCTGCCTGTATGATTACTATCTGTTGACCTACAGTTGGGTTGGGAACCTCTGCCCTCATCACTGTTGGGCATGGAGTGGTGCTGGGTGGCTGAAGAATGATAACGTTTTGATTAGCTGGAGCTGCTTTAACAGCTGTCCCCACTGGCTGAGCCATCTGAATCACTTGCATTGCTGAATTCAATGGGAGGATACTTGGGGGGGTCTGAGATTTAACTTGCGACTGGGCAATAACTGGCTGCATAGGTAACGGTGGACAAGAAGGCAAGGTTACAACTACTTGCTCAACTGGCTGCCCATCTGCTGGTAAGGAATTATTCGAATTGATGCCTGTAGCCATATGTCTACTGTGCTTGATTGTGGTGGGACTAGTACCAGACTCATTTAATACTGGAGTCACAGCAGAAGAAGGTGTCTGGCTTAAGGGCTGAATAGTGTTTCCTGCCAGTTGCAAAGTAGTCCATGTTGTCTGCGTGTTTCCAGATGAGGAAATTCGAGTAAGGCTATTAATGTTTTTCAAATCTGAAGCACTAACAGCTGAAGAAGGCAAAGAACAAGAAAGAGTCCAACCATTATCCAAAGGATTTGCAGAAGGACTGCTCACAGGAGCGGTGGTCTTCCCTCCTTCAGGGACAGATGGGGCCACCACTGCGGTTACGCTTGTGGAGTCTGCACCCTTGCTAATGCTCACTGGACCAGAATCACCTGCAGATGTGGGAGGCTGGGAGCAGACTGTGGTGGTAACTGAAACAACAAAGGTGGTTTGAAAATCACTTCTCAAATCCTGTGTGCTCGGGCAGAACTTGCCTCCAGGGTTCACTTTAGTGGTAGTTGCTGAGGAGCTGGAGGGGACGCTTGTGGCACAAGGGACTATTTTCTTCAATAATTTCGGATTCTCTTTCCCGTTCTTATTTTCAGAAGAATTTTGATCATTTAGACTTGTGTGCAAGGACCGATGTTGGCAAGGTTCAGGTCCTACAGGAACAGCAACCAGTGAGCCCCTGGTGGCACCAAGCACATGTGAATCGCTTTTGGAGGTGGCAAGCTTGAGAATATTTTGAGCAGGAATGGTAGCCGGAAGACAAAGAGGAACAGGCTGGTTGGCAGCCAATGCAGAAACTGTGGTCTGATGCCATGGCTTGTTTTCAGAAGGGTAAACTCCAGAAATAGACACAGGAGTCACAAGATTGCAAGTCCTCTGCACTGGCACCACATTGGCGGTTTGCTTTTGTAAATTATGGCCAACATTAAAGGTTATTCCCTGAACAGCTGCTCCCTGGTTGTTGCCACCAGGCTGACTCCCATTGGAATAAACAATAATATTTTTCTGAATCTGGTCACTGGGAATAACAACAGAGACCTTTGAGTTTTTAAGATTTCCTTTCCAGTGGATTGTGGGATCATCATATAAGCATATGTCATTTGCTTTCAGTAATTCAATATATCGGCCATTTTCTTTTTGAATTTCTTCCAATTGTTTACGTAGCTTTTTAATTTCTTCAGCTACAATATTAAAAATATAAATAAAACAATTACCTGTAAACATCAATATTTACAATAACTTAAGAAAGAATTGTGTACTAAAACTAGTGAAATCTAATTCTAGCATTCTAAATACCTCAACTGAGAATCTTCAGCTATTTCCTAACACAAGTTCTTTCTTCTTTTTAGAATGGTATCTCAAACTTCTATTCCATCTTTTTAAAAGTATATATCTTTAAAGGTAAACAACTCAAAGGTAAAAAAAAAATTACTCAAAAGCCTGGCTGGTGATGCTCAGTGGTTGAGTGTCAACCTATGAACCAGACGGTCTTAGCACTATTCCAAGTCAGGGCACAGGCCTGGGTTGCAGGCTTGATACCCAGTAAGGAGTATGCAAGAGGCAGCTGATCAATGATTCTCACTCATGATGTTTCTCTCTCTCCCTCTCCCTTCCTCTCTGAAATAAAAGCAATAATAATTTTTTTAAAAATTACTCATAATGTAGAAATCTTAAAACCTTCAATTCAAAAATTCTCAATAGGGCAACTACAAAGGTAAAACAAGGAAGACATACTGGTATCATAGTAACTTGCTAGGAAAATAACAGTGAAGATCAATATCACAGCCTACAACAGCTAAATTACTTATGGTGGTAATAGTTTTTTTTTTTTTAAATGGCATTAAACTCATTTCTAATCTACCCTTTGAAACAACAGAGCACAAGTAGAACATGTAAGAAATAAAGTGGTAAAACATGGAGGAAAGCGTCAACAATGGAACTTGCATTTTCCTTGGCAGGGACAACGTATGTTACCCTACTGAGTAATGGAGATGCTACCTTCCTGTTCCTTTCCAAGGAAAACAACCTAACCCTTGGGTCCTACTAACGGGGAATGTAGGCTGCTGCTATTTATGCTCTGTGATCCCGGACATCCCCATTTGTTTTGCCAGAGGGGTAGATACTCTCCCCATTCTCTCTCAAAGGCAGCCCACCCTTAAGGCCAATGCCCTATGAGGTAGCCTGAAATGAACAGTTCTGCCCTGACAAGGATGAGCTGAGACTAGAAAATTATTTCCTTAGATCTTTACATTAAAAGACACAGGAAAAAGCTGTCAATGTGCCATGTACATTAGAAATTTTAAAATTATTATTATAGACCAAATAATAATGGTTGTTCTCTCTTATTGCACACTTACTATATGCCTGGGACTTTTCTTTCACTGTTTCATTTAATAACAATAACAACAATCATAACAGATAACTTTTATCAAGCATTTTCTTGAAGTCCCAAACTTCAAGTGCTTTATCAGAATTATCTCTTTTCCTCTTCATAACAACCATGAGATGGGAACTACCTATTGTCTTCATCATTCTCAGATGTAAAAAACAGACTCAGAGTAGTTATATAATTTACCTAAAGTTAACCAGATAGATGCTATAATTATCCTCATTTCAAGATAAGGAAACTATGAGACTTCCTGGAGAGATTAAGTAACTGACCATAGGTACTGAGTGATAAATGAAATGAGGACACAAACCCAGGTAGCCTGATTTCCAAGACCATTGTTCTAGATTGTCATGTGGACCATGAGTATGTGGAGAAAACTATTGGGAGATGAAGAGTAAGCAGATGCACAAAAAAAGCACCAAAGAAAGGATGATAACGGAGATGACAAGCAGTCACACTGAAGCTGCCTCCTTTGCTGCTATGACCCCTGGCCTGTTCAGCTTTTCTGGGGCAACTTATATTTTTTTCAATAGTTTCCCTTTTTCTTAAGGTAACTTGACTGCCTCAGCCCCTGGGCTGTGAAATCAAAGAAGCTCTCACTAGAAAAGCCTACAAATCATTTTATAGGGTGCCTCAAAATGGATACCAAACATATATATCTAGCTATCTGACAAGCATCATTACCAGGGCCTGGGCCATAAAAGACAACTGAGCTACTTGAGGGGATAAGTTGCTATCTAACTGAAATTCTGAAGGCTAACCTTCAAGTATGCTCTCCAATATCTTTCCCGTTTCTTATAAACAGCCCAGCATTGCTCCACCTCCATAAATTCTGCCTGTTTCTGTCCTTTTAATGTGACCTTCTGAGGTGTCACAGGAAATTCTCTCTCTGCTCTTGTCAGTGGCCTACCACTCGGACCTTTATACTTGCCTGCGACATTATTCTTTTCAGCTGTTATAAGGAAACCCATTCTCCAGTTCAAGTGGAAAAAGAGATTCACTTGATAACATAGAAAGACTCCTTTCTATCTAGATATCAAATATTATTAAATGATTAGGCAGTCTGATGCGCACATTACATGTAATAAAAACAATCATGAACTAGGGTTTGGCCTTTGAGCAAATTCACAGTTAAGTCTTAGCACAGATATTATCTTTATCTTGTTTTTAAGTTATACTGAGCAGGATCCCTCTACATCCTCCGATAAGTTGCTCCTCACTGAAAGATTCAACTAAAATAAAAAAGATTCAGCATTACTTATATCATGAGCTAAGCAAACATGAAAAATAGACACAAGTCCAAAATCAAAGTTATATATACCTGCAAGATTTAGAATTGCTCACTAAGATGAGTTTATCTGCAACATTATTCTCCCAGATCCACTTAACACATGGTCTTAATAATGTCTGTGGGTAAAAAGCCTTCTGCATCCTAATATAAGTTGCACTGGATGCAAAGGTCTAAACATTGGAGGAAAAAACAAAAAGAAAAAATATTTACCTTGTTCATTATTTCCTCCATTTAGCAGGAATTCATCATTTTGCCTTTTCAATTCTGTTATATATTTAAAAGCTTGGTCCAGGATCATATTCTTGCTCTGCCAAAGAAAATTAACAATTTAAAAGTTTTTCATTTTAAGACCTTGCCAAAGAAACTTAAAGTGTTGGTTTTATTACATACTAGAGGCCCAGTGTATGGATTCATGCACTGGTGTAGTCCCTCAGCCTGGCCTGTGGGGATTGGGCTGAAACCAGCTCTCTGACATTGCCTGAGGGATTCCAGATTGCGAGAGGGCACAGGCCTGGCCGAGGAACCCCACTGGTGCGCATCAGGGCTGGGAGGGACTGCAAGAGGTTGGCAGATTGAGGGAAGAATCTAGGGAGGGCTTCAGGGTGTGTCTGGCCCATCTCACCCAGTCCCAATTGGCCAGACCCCAGCAGCAAACTAACCTACTTGTCAGAGTGTTTACCCCCTGCTGATCAATGTGCATGATAGCAACTGGTCGAATGGTCAGACACTTAGGATATTAGGCTTTTATTATATAGCATATGTGATATGTAACTTTAAATTTTTTTAAAATGAACCAATCTTCAAAAGCTTCTACTGCTTATCTTTCATTTGCTAAGTATTGGCTGGTCCGAGTGCAGTGGTGTCTTACAACTAACTGATCACAGCCAGTTACAAATTTCATTTGCTAAGTATTTACTGAGCATCAACTATGTGTCAAGCTCTGTCCCAGGCACTAGGGATAAAATAAACAAAACAGAAAAAGTCACTGACTTTGAAAAATTTTATACATATACTAGAGGCCCGGTGCACGAATTCGTGCACTAGTGGGTCCCTCAACCTGGTCTGTGGGATCGAACCAAAGCCAGTTCTCTGACGTGCCAATGGGTCCCAAAGTGACAGAAGGCACAACCAGGCCAAGGGACCCCACCGGTGCACGATCTGACCGGGGAGGGAGGTGGGAGGTTTGCCAGCCAGGGAGGGACCATTGGTGGGCTCCAGGGCATGTCCAGCCTATCTTCCTCAGTCCCAATCAGCCAGACTCCAGCAGCAAGCTAACCTATCAGTCCATGTGCACATTATTAAATAACTCCAGTACTTTATCAGACAATTGTTTTTATGCAGGAATCAGTAATTTAGTGTTTTGGTTCAGCAAGTTACAATTCTGAGTTCCTTAGACTTAGTCCCCTCAAAAAAAAAACAAAAAACAAAGTAACCCAGGAAACACTTTAGAGAGAGAAAACTAATACTATCCTTTCTTAACTCAAAAGTTGAGACAGCCCTAGCCAGTTTTGCTCAGTGGTAACAGCATCGGCCCTCAGACTAAAGGGTCGCAGGTTCGATTCCAGTTAAGGGCACATATCTTGGTTTCAGGCTCATCCCCAGCATGCACTGCAACATGTTTTAACTGTTACAGTGTAAGGGCAAAAGACAAAGAGAGAATATTGAAAGCAGCAAGAGAAAACCAGTTACCGTGTTTCCCCGAAAATAAGACATCCTTCGAAAATAAGACCTACTTACAGTGAAATATAAGGCATTTCCCCGAAAATGAGGCCCCCCCAGGCTAAACATGAGAGATTTGGTCCACTGATTCTGAAAAAAATGGAGTCACAAGAAATTCACCAGAAAATTCAGAAATTGGATTGTTAATGATGATGTTCCAGAAGATGATGACATGATTGTAGTTGAATAAATGAGTAAATTCTTGATACTGTAGGATTCACAGTTTGTCTGGTTTGTGTTGACAACTACCGTACTACAGTACAGTATTCAGGTAATAAATTTCCTTTATTTTCTTTCTCTTTTTTTAAATATATTTTTATTGTTCATATTATTACAAATGTTCCTTTCTCCCCCACCCCCCCATTGCTCTCCTCCACCAGGTTCCCACCCCACCCTCTGCCCTTTCCCCACCCCCCATTGTCCTCATCCATAGGTGCACAGTTTATGTTCAGTCTATTCCCAAATCCCCCTCTCCCCTTTTCCCCGAGAATCGTCAGTTCACTCCCCTTCCATACCTCTGATTTTATTATATTCAACAGTTAATACTGTTCATCAGATTTTTTTTTTAATTTCCTTGGTTTTTAGATTCACTTGTTGATAGTTACGTATTTGTTGTTCATAATTTTTATCTTTATTTACTTTCTCTTCCGAAAGAACCCCCTTCAGCAATTCATATAATTCTGGTTTGGTGGTGATGAACTCCTTTAGCTTTTTTTTTAGTAATGAAGCTCTTTATTTGGCCTTCAATTCTGAGTGATAGCTTTGCTGGGTAGATTATCTTTGGCTGTAGGTTCTTACTATTCATCACCTTGAATATTTCTTGCCATTCCTGTCTGGCCTGCATGGTTTCTGTTGAGAAATCAGCTGACAATCGTATAGGTGCTCCTTTATAGGTAACTACCTGCTTTGCTCTTGCTGCTTTTAATATTCTCTTTGTCTTTTGCTCTTGGAATTTTAATTATGATTTGTCTTGGTGTGGTCCTCTTTGGATTCCTTTTGTTTGGGGTTCTGTGTGCTTCCTGGACTTGTAAGTCTATTTCTTTCACCAGGTGGGGGAAGTTTTCTGTCACTATTTCTTTCAGTATGTTTTCGATATCTTGCTCTCTCTCATCTTCTGGGACCCCCATAATTCTGATGTTGGTTCGCTTGAAGTTGTCCCAGAGGTTTCTTATATTATCTTCAATTTTCTGGATTCTCTTGCCTTCTAGCTTCTGCAGAGGAGTGTCTTCTGGCTCTTTATGTTCCAAATCTTTGACTTGACTCTTCCATTCTGTTTTTAGGACTCTGTATAATATTTTTTATTTCAGTCAATGTATTCTTTATTTCTTGTTGATCCCTTATCATTTCTTGTTGATTCCTTATTAATTCTAGTTGATCCCTTTTCATATCCTCATAGGTCTTATCCATCTTTTCTAGGAAATTCTTGAAAAACCTTATAAGCGTAGATTTGAACTCTATATCCAGTCACTTTTTGTCCTCCATTTCTTTCGTTTGTGATCTATTGTTGTCTCGACATTTTTGCAGCTTCCCTGATTGGGCGGGGTTTCAGGGTGGAGCCTTCAGCCTTGGCTTTTGTCAGCCCCGCCCTATGAGGTTCCTGAGTCTCAGTAATCCCCAGGGTCCTTCAGTACTCGTTGCAAGCATCTCTGAGAGAAAGGTGCCCTTGATTTTCGTCTGCTACCAAACAGTCTAGTCCACATGTGTCAAACACAAGGCCCGTGGGCCAAATCCGTCCCGCCAGGCCTTGCAACGTGGCCCGCACCTCGCTGTCATCACTGCACTCCGCTGCGTTTCCATCACAATGACAGTTTATGACTGTTCAGTAAACCATTCGGCCCGCGATTTAGGCTGGATTTGAGATTTTGGTCCCTTCTCTGATTGAGTTCGACACCCCTAGTCTAGTCTCTCCCCCAATGAGCCCGGAACTGGGGTTCAGTTCAGTTGGAAGTGGAGTTGGAGGTGGCGTTCAGAGAAGTCTGGAGCCCCAGTCTCCTTCCCACCAGGGCAATCCCACGGCACAGCCAACTGTCCCTTCTCTGCGCGCAATGTGCGCGCCTCTGGGACCTCCTTTTGCCTTACAGCCCAGCTCCCTATGGATGAGCCTGGGTCCCCGGGGTCTGGCCTAGAACTGGGGTTCAGAGCAGTCGGAACTGGGGCCCAGCACAGTTGGAGCTTTTATCTCCTTCCCGCTAGGGAATGCCAGCCAGGCACTCAGCCTCCCTCCTCTCCAGCTCTGTCCTCTCCACGCTCCGCGTGTCTCCGTACCTTAGGCTTTTACAGCTCCTCCGCTCTTCCTTCTGGTTTTCTCCTTGCTTCTCGTTGTAGAATTTCCAGTCAGTCGACTTTCCTGTAGTTCTGGGTAATGTCCATTTTATATTTTAGTTGTATTTTATTGAAATTGTTGTGTGTGGCTGCGGCTAGGTGTTTACCTATGCAGCCATCTTGGATTTTCCCAATTTCCTTTATTTTCATTTAACAATAAATGTGTTCCATATTCTTCTTCATGGAAAAATAAGACATCCCCTGAAAATAAGACCTAGTGCATCTTTGGGAGCAAAAATTAATATAAGACACTGTCTTATTTTCGGGGAAACAGGGTAGTTACCTACAAAGGAGTACTCATTCGACTGTCAGCTGATTCCTCAACAGAAACTATGCAGGCCAGAAGGTAGTGGCACAAAATATTCAAAGTGATGAACAGCAAGAACTGACAACCAAGATTACTCTACTCATTTAGAATTGAAGGTCAGATAAAGCTTAACAGACAAGAAAAAGCTAAAGGAATTCATCACCACCAAACCAGGATTATATGAAATGCTGAAGGGTATTCTTTAAGAAAAGGAAGAAGAAGAGAAAGGTAAAGATAAAAATTATGTACAACAAAGTGACAAAAAATACATATCTATCAACAAGTTAATCTAAAAATCAAGTGAATAAAAAGTCTGATGAATAAAATAAACTGCTGAATATAATAGAATCAGGGGCACAGAAAGAGAGTAGACTGACAATTCTCACAGGGAAGGGGGTGTGAGGGATGCAGGAAGAGAATGGACAAAGATATTACATCTATGGATGAGGACAGTGGCGGGGGTAAGGGCATGAGGTGTGAGGGGGAATTGGGTGGAGAGGGCTATGGGAGGAAAAGAGGAACATCTGTAATAATCTGAACAATAAAGATTTATTTTTTAAAATAGGCTAACATAAATGATGATATCCTATTACAATGGAATCCTATATAATAAAAGGATAATATGCAAATTGACCAAACAGCAGAATGACCAGATGCAATGACGAGCACTGACCACCAGGGGGCAGATGCTCTACGCAGGAGCTGCCCCCTGGTGGTCAGTGTACTCCCACAGGGGAGTGCCGCTCAGCCAGAAGCCAGGGGAGTGCAACAGCGGTAGCTTCTCCCTGAAGCCACACTAAGGAGCAGCGAGCCCAGCTTCTGGCTGAGCAGTGCTCACACTGGGAACTCCCATGGGGAGCTGGCCTAAGGGGCAACCAGGCCAGCAGGGGAGGGCATTTGGGGGCAACCAGGCCTGTAGGGAGGACAGTTGGGATACCAAGGCTGCAGGGGAGGACTGTTGGGGGCAACCTGGCCAGCAGGGCAAGGCAGTTAGGGGCGACCAGCTGGCAAGGGAGGGCAGTTCAGGCAATCAGGCTGGCAGGGGAGCAGTTAGGCATCGATCAGTCTGGTTAGGGAGAGGCTAGGGGTTGATCAGGCTGGCAGGCAGAAGCAGTTAGGGGCAATCAGGCAGGCAGGCAGGCGAGTGGTTGGGATCCAGCAGTCCTGGATTGTGAGAGGGATCCCAGGTTGGCGAGGGTACAGGCTGGGCTGAAGGACACCACCACCCCCTGCACAAATTTTGTGCACCAGCCCTCTAGTACTATATAACCAGTAAAATGTTACAACACATTAGGAAAGGTATGTATTACTAAGTCTACTTTGTACCACTGAGTGAAAATACAAAGCAGTTTTGTGAAACTATTCAGACATAGTCACAAAGCAATGTCTAAAGAGATATGTAACAAGTTTTAGCAATGATTATAACTTGAGCATAGAATGTCAATTTATTTATTTAACTTAATTTTTAAGATTTTTTTATTGTTGACAATATTCAATTTATTTTTTAATCTTTTTATGCCTTCCATGTTGTTTCCATTTTTATTGTTTTGATTTCAGTGAGCAGGCTTTATCCTCATTATCAGAAGAAACAAAAAACTTAAGGAAAATTGTCAGCTTAAATAAGCCGAGATTTTAGTGGAGGTTGATATGGTGTGGAAAACAAAATAAAGAAGAGATTCTTAGAAGATTCTAGTTAAGAATTTAAGATAGTAAAGAACATGATTGGAGAAAATTAAAAAAAATGCTTAGTAAATACAGTTGTATACATATACTAGTACATGTAATCATGGGACTGAATAATTCAAGATTTTAAAGATCTAGAAATTTAAAAAAAAGAAATTATATGGTTCATTCGATCATGTAAAAACTGTACTAGAAGACGGTTCAGAGTGTGGGAAGAATTAAACATAGCCATACAGAAACTTAAGAGCATGAAAAATTATGAGACAATTATTAACTCCAAAAAACTATTCATGACAGTGAACAAGAATAACCATTTAAACAATGGGGGATTATCTGTTCACAGTTATGAATAAAAATGAGACTTGCCGAGACCGGTTTGGCTCAGTGGATAGAGCATCGGCCTGTGGACTCAAGGGTCCCAGGTTCGATTCCAGTCAAGGGCATGTACTTGATTGCAGACACATCCCCAGTGTTTCTAACTCTCTATCTCTCTCCCTTCCTCTCTGTAAAACAATTAATAAAATATATTTTAATAAATAAAAATGAGAAGACTTCTTACCTGCTTCAGTGCAGGGGAACATGGGATCAGTTCTCCTATTCTGTTAATCCCAGCATTGATTTTCTTCTTCCTATGCCTCTCCACTAGAGAAGGGGGGAAATCCTTTTATCAACATACAGAAAATTTGCTTCTAGTAAAGAAATTTTAGGCTAAGAAAATCTTATCTAATAGTATCTACTAACTATAGTAAGATTTCTAAGAATGTCAGATTTTAAGTCTAGTGTTATGAAAATTGGTATAGCCAATACTTTTATTAACTTTAAAAATGAGATCTATAATTACTAAATTCAAATTACAAACACATTGCTAATATTACATTACTATTAGGCAATTATATTGTAGTTCAAGTATTACTAGAGATTTTAACAACCAAATTTCAAGAACCCACTAATAACCTAAGATACTAGAAAACTGCCTCTTTATAGAAGATGGGCAAATGAGACTTTTCTAAAAAGATTAGGATGACTAGAGAACATTTGTAGAATAGAAACAGCTATTAGTTACATCTTAAAATAGACAAGAAAATGGAGTCTGGGTTGTTTACTTTGGCCACACAGAAATTTTCCCATCCAAAAAATTGGGTATCTGATGTCTCAAGGAACTGGGAAATGTTCCGGGTTTATGTGCTACAACTTTAAAAGTTGAATAGAAGGATTAAGAAGACACAAGTGCCCTAGCTGATTTGGCTCAGTGGATAGAACGTTGGCCTGCGTACTGAAGGGTCCCAGGTCCAATTCCAGTCAAGGGCACATGCCCAGGTTACGGGCTAGTTACCCAGTAGGGGGCTTGCAAGAGACAGTCAATCAATGATTCTCATCATTAGTGTTTCTCTCTCGCTCCCTCTCCCTTCCTTTCTGAAATCAATAAAAATATATTTAAAAAAGAGAGGACACAAGACATTATCTAAATAATTACTTTAAGTTCTATAAGACACTGTTAGTAGAAACATTGGTCTTGGCTATTTTCTGTGAGAAAATTTTCTAAAATCTTCCTGTCTAATAAGATTCCAGTGCTTATAAAAGGATGATCTTTCAAATTATACAATAGCATAGGTAGGTCTTGCTTTGCAAGAGATATTCTTTTTGCTTCAGAATCTAGCAGTAAGAACATCCTTTTCAATTATATCTAATCATTCTGAATAAATTACTATCAGAACATATTTATAGCACCATGTGACAGTTGACACCAATAAAACATTTAGGTCAAACATGTCGCCCTAACTGGTTTGGCTCAGTGGATAGAGCATCGGCCTGTGGACTCAAGGGTCCCAGGTTCGATTCCGGTCAAGGGCATGTACCTTGGTTGTGGGGCACATCCCCAGTATGGATTGTGCAGGAGGCAGCTGATTGATGTTTCTCTCTCATCGATGTTTCTAGCTCTCTATCCCTCTCCCTTCCTCTCTATAAAAAAAAAAAATCAATATTTTAAAAAGCATGTCAAACTCGACCCACAGGCCACATGTGGCCTCCAACGAATATTTTTGTGGCCTAGACAATATAAAGGTATGTAAGAGATGTTTTAATAAAAATTTCATAACATAATTTCTATAATATCCTGTTATAATTAATATCGAACTATGACATTCACTAATGACTGATTACTATAATGGTGTGGCATTTGTTTCCCTTTTGCACATGCATACCATTTCTCTTCACTAATACTAGCGGTAAATATTTTAAATATATTTTATTGATTTTTCACAGAGAGGAAGAGAGAGGGATAGAGAGTTAGAAACATCGATGAGAGAGAATCATTGATCAGCTGCCTCTTGCACACCCCCTACTGGGGATATGCCCGCAACCAAGGTACATGTCCTTGCCCGGAATCAAACCCGGGACCTTTCAGTCCGCAAGCCGACGCTCTATCCACTGAGCCAAACCAGTCCCGGCAGCAGTAAATATTTTAGCAGCTGACTGCCATGTCATTAGTCTTGTACTAACTTGTTTGGTGTGGGCAACAGGAAATATTTCACTTTTGGAAAACAAGAAAAATAGGTTTATTTGTGTTATGCTTACTAATTTGTGCAGTTATTCAGTGTCTGGTAAGTTAATATTCAATAAAAAATATTAATTTTTATTAAAATGTTCTATTATTTTATGTTGATTTCAGGCTTTTGTATTCAGCATGTCTCTATTGAAATAAACCTATGTTTCTATAAAAATTGAAGCTTTTGTTTTTTTGCAGCCCACATCAACTTAAACCTTATTTGGCCCGTGTTAGCCTTTGAGTTTGACATGCCTGATATATATGAAAGAGCTTAAACTCATATGGAAAACACACACACACACACACACCCCGCAAAGCAATAAGTATAGTTCACCTTTCTTCTGAATTTTCTAACAATAGTATCTGTTGTTATCTAGGAGCAGATTTTTTAATGTGTGGAGGTAAAAACAACATTAGACTCTTTACCTATGGTGATAAAGGGGAATTAAAGGCAGTCAACTCCCTTCTGGGGAACAGCAATATTCCACCTGGGGTCAACACTTCTCTCCATAGATAAAATTTCTCCCAGAGTTCTTTACTTAGGGAAAGGAAGGTATCAATTATAATATAGATAACAGAAATTAATTTCTATTTTTTTTAGATTGATTTTAGTGAAGTCTCTGATGGAAAATAAATGTTATAAAATGTATCAAATTGTAAATGTATGTGCAATTACTTCTATACATGTTTATCTGGCTTTGGCCAATAATTTTGATGTTTGAAATAAAGTTAAATATTTTCTACACTTCTTCCTATAATTTAGGACTTCACAACTTAAGACTGTTCGCATTTTACGAACCTTTAAGATCTACAGCCTGCTACACACCTCTTTCCTATTCCTCTAGGCAGCCAGCTCCCTGTGGAATTTCTGCAAAGATACATACTCTACTTTCTATTATATTTAGAAAAAGTACATCTGGAATCACTCAAAATACTAAAATCACACAGTGAATGAAATCACTTAACACACTACTCCAGTGTTAAATTAAATGAGAAGATGATAAGCAAGCCATTTCATGAGCTTCAAGGGTATTCAGTCAATTAAAAATAAGAAAGACCTTTCTAAAATGATTCTATACATATAGCATAAAAGCTTATAATCAACTATAGTATAATTTCACTTTAAATACAAAAATGCTAACAAATAAATTTAAATTGCTGTTTCTACCTGCATTATGTGTCTCCCGATTTTTCTTTCTGAAACAAAAAGAAGCGATAAAAGGAACATGAAAACAATAGAAAACCATTTTTACCACTTTACACTTTGAGACCATAAAAATTAATTTTATGAATTTGTATTTGTTGCATTAATAAGAATTTAAATAAAACTTATATAAGTTCATATATATAATGATATATAATCTTAATATATGTTGTGGTATGTAAACTTAACTGCAGATACATCAATATAAATTTAGAATCCACAATTTCTGAAAGTAACTACAATTCTCTATACTTACACACCCACAAGACATTGCTCAGAAAGCAAATCAACAAAAACTAGTTGAAAATGTAATAAAGGAACTAGACAACTCTCAAAGTAATGTGCCAAGTAGGTGACTTCTTTTTTTTTTTTTTTTTTTTCAGAGTAGAAGGGAGGGAAGTGGAGAGAAAGAGAGAAACATTGATTGGTTGCTTCCCACACCCACCCGACTGAGGGTGGGTATGTAACCTGCAACCCAGGTATGTGCCCTTGACAGGGAATTGAACCCTGAGACCCTTCGGTGGTCAAGCCGATGCTCTATTCACTGAGTAATGCCGGCCAGGGCAAAAATAGGTGACTTCTGATGTTTGCCTGGCACCCAGCTGAGGTGGAGGTGGGTGTGTAAAGGAGATGAGCAACAGCAGGGAGGAACCTGGAAATCCTCAGGTGTAGAGGGCCCCTTGGGAATGCACATGGATGACCTTTAAATTAATGTCAGCTGAGTCCAAGGTGACTGGCAAGGCCGTCCCCGGCAACAGCCTCCCAAAAGAGATAGTTATCAGTACCGATTTCTTAACTTTATCCACGAGCTTGGAATGAGGAAGGAATAGGACCTTGACTTACCCAGGTCTTGATATGCTAAATCCCAGGAATGAGGGAATGAACAGGACCTGGGCACACCCAAAACTTCTTTGACCTTAAACCCCCTCTGGAAATCAATAAATGTGCTGTGTTGTCTGTGGTGGGTGTTGACTGACCCTCCACCAGAGTGACAGCATCCACCTGGCACCCAGCTTTTGGATCTATTTCTGCCTCTTGTCTCTTTCTTTCTTTTTCTTTTTTTTAATTTTAATCCCCAGCTCCTCCACTCAGGAACCTGTCCTTCTCCCTTTCTGTGTGGGACATAGAAAAAGGAGAAGCACCCCACTGCACTCAGGAAGGTAATATGGCAACCTCCAGCACCCAAGCACTGACAAGTGGCATTTCAACCATCTTTTGCAATTATGTACCTTAAGTTATCCAAACCCTTAAATTTTATTAAAACCTAACCTATTAAAAATATTGATTTTTCCCTTTCAGGTATTATCATTCAATACATTAACATTTTTCTAACAGATGTTGAGTAAAAAAAGAGAATAAGTGATTTCAATATTAATGGAAGCAGCCTGGCCAGTGGAGGGAGGTGCGGCGGGAGGGGGGTGTCCAAACGGGGGCATGCAGGAGGCAGCTGATCAATGATTCTCTCATCATTGATGTTTCTATCTCTCTCTCTTCCTCTCCCTTACTCTCTGAAATCAATAAAAATATTTTTAAATATTAATGGAAACATTGGCCATGTAATCCTAAGCAGAAACACTGGCCAAAATGATAGAAATCCAGAAGGGGGGTTATAAAAAGAGCCAAAAATAATATTGTACTGATATGCATATTGGCATAATGGTTTCTAATGTCACAAAATGTCTATTCAAACTGACTTCAGCCTGTGTGAGCTTAGGATCTACAAAGACTAATCCCGTTTGGAGTAAAAACTTTCAGAAGAAACTAAACGCTTAGAACAGATTTGGTATTACATTTGGTGCACCGCTGGCAGAATAAGAACAGGTAAATGTTAACTATGTACCTTTTTCTATAAAGCGATTTCTATCTATCTACACATATTTTGAAAGAGTAATGGTTTTCTAGGCACCCAAATGAAAGTTTCCCTAAAAATTACCTATTTAATAAAGTAGGGACTAATTCTGCTTATCTTCTAAAATGATATTATTTTTGAACTGTGGCTACTTACCTGTGCTGCTTTTTTGTAGGAGTCTCATTTTCTGTCATTTCTGGCATGGTTACAGTGATAGGGACCTATAAGGCATGGAAAGACACACCAGAAGGTTTAAAATCATTCTAGTATCAGGAAAATTAATAGCAATTTGGTTCAAATACCAAATGCTAAAAAAATACAAGTGATATCATGAAAAAAGCACTGGGGATAGAAAAATGTATAAGAAAAAAGGACAAAAACATTATATCTAGCAGATGGAAAACAAGATGGATGTCAAATATGAGGTATAGCAAAAAAGGAGAGAGAAAGACCATATGCGCTTGGAAATCAAGGAAAGTTAATCAAGAGTGTGGATTTAAGCAAGACCTAGAAAGACAGGTAAAAAAACATACCTGAGTTGGGAAAGTATGTTCTTTGTTCATGATAGTGTTTGTGATACAAAATTTAACCTAGAACAATGGGCCCTCTCTCTGAACACAGAACAAACAAAAGTGACAAGCAGACAAACATGTAATATTCTATACATGGAAGCATTCATTCATTCATTCACTCATTTGCTAGGCTTCTTTCATTTCAAACTGAAAAAAGTCTTAAGTTACCATTTTGAGAGTCAATAAACTCTTGAGCATGAAAATTCTATTTAAAATATCATAATAGTAAAGAATGTATGTACTATAAGAAATATACACATGTGCCAAAAAAAAAAAAAAAGCCTGAAAGCAAATACAATGAAATATTAATCATAGTTATGTAAGGCCAGCAATAATAGAGATGATTTCTTTCTCTTTTCTAATTTTCAAATAATTCTGTAATGAAACTAAAATGCTTTTAAATCTCAGGGATTGACAATCTTTCAAAAGAGGTTTGTCAAGTTGGACTACCTGTTCTGGTGCGCTGGAGGACGTGCGGGTGTGGTTCCCCATTTTTCTCTGTCAGAGGAAGGAAGAAGGCAGCAAGTATGGAATCAGAAGCCAGCACAACTGTAAAACCTGATTCTGCCATTTCCTAGCTGTGAGGTCCTGGGCAAGTTGTATTATCTCTTGGAACCTCACATCTCATCTTCAAAATGGGTCATAATCACAGTATCTAGATTACTAAGGTATTTCAAGAAAGGAAGGAAAGAATGCAAGGAGAGCACAACAGCAAGAACCCGAGCAGTAAGAAGTCAATAAATGCTAGCTATCAATATTAATGAGGTATTTTAGGTTAATGCTTTAACCTGGGAAGGAAGTGAAGGGTTCTGGGAAATAGTAGAAGTGAATGCAGAGGTGATGACAGGAAGTGCTGTCAGAAGCAGCCTAAGGAGAAATGTGTGCTTAAGACCCATTTTCAGCAGCTTATTTTACCTTCTCCTTAACACTTGGGAAGTAACATATCTGCTTAAAAGCAACACACTCACATTAGATGACCATTTAATGATAATGTGGGACATGTGAGTAAATAAATCATCACTATCTTACCCAAAGGCTTGCAGAATTTCTTCACTTTTGATTCCTGGCTTCCAACGCCTCCCGTTTATGATCCAAATCTATCATCTTCGGCCAGAAGATGGCCTATAAGTTATGTTTTCTTCTTACTACACAAGAGAAAAATCAATGCATGTTTATAGCAACATGTAAGACAAGAACTGGTGATCTATGGCATGCAGGTAGATTTTCACTTGCAAGGCAATAAATGTAGTTGCTTTCAAAAGTCACTTTCCTAAGGCTTACCCATGCTCCACCCCACAAAGATAACAGTACTGCAGCTATGGGATGGTTGGTCTCCAAGTCACTTTCTCCTTTCTCTTAAGCATGCTCACTATCCCTCAGGTTCTCACTGTCCTCCATCTAACTCTTACACTAAGACCTGTCCTTAATTCTAAAATTATCTTTCCTTTAATTTCCTCCTCCCCAGCTTCACTTCTCTCCTGTCAAGAGTGATTGAAACTTACTCAAGGACCTTTCATAAGGCTATCCTAGGAAGACAGCACTCAGACCTGTGCACTAAAACTAAAATTAATTTTAGGCTATAATAAAGAATTTAAAGCACTTATTTGAGCAAAAAGAGCTGTAGCCCAGGTGACAGATTTAGGTAGCACCCTAAATTGTGTTCCACCAAGTTAAGCGTGTTGTTTTTTAAATATGATTTTATTGATTTCAGAGAGAGGGGATGAGAGAGGGAGAGAGAGATAGAAACATTGATGAGAGAGAAACTGATTGGCTACCTCCTGCAAGCCAACTACTGGGGATCAAACCTGTAACCCCGGCATGCGCTCTGACCGGGAATCAAACCTGGGGCTTCTTGGTGTATAGGACACGGCTCAACCAACAGGGCAACACCAGCTGGGTGAGGCAGATTTTTTATAGCGGTAGTTCATATCAGGGTCCCAATTAGGTCCATTTATAAAGTGAAGTATCAAAATTGTGCGGTCCTGATTAGACAGGGCAGGTCTCAATCCATTGATAGAAAGAGGAAACCAGGGTAGAAAGAGAAATGGGAGAGTTCAGTCTGAGGTTCTTCCCAATATACAGAGTACACAAGAGACCTCTCTGAGCAAACAGCTGCTAGTCTCTTATTATTCATAAAATCTGGGCCCTAAGGTAGACCATGGGGAGTCAATCTCAGAAGATAAAGCCCTTCTTGGGGTTCACATTAAATAATCTTTCCTCTTATGAAACACATCTCTAAAAACATAGATTTGGGGGCTTCATCCCAGACATATAAGCACTGAGTAGAGGCCAGGAATCTGTTTATTCAACAAGGTCGCTAGAGGTGATTTTTCTTTTTCTTTTCCTTTCTTCTCCTCCCCGCCCCTTCCTTCACATCCTCCTCCTTCTTCATCTTTTTATTTCGAACAAAAATGTTTGAGAAAGGAGAAACCAAGATGGCGGCTTAAGTAAACAGTTGAACTGCTGCCTCACACAACAATTTCAAAACTACAACTAAAAAGCAAAATGAACATCATCCAGAACCACAGGAAGGCTGGCTGAATGGAAATTCTACAAGGAAAAGGAAAGAGAAAAGCACACTGAGACTCAGAGGTACTGCAGAAATAAAGGCAGAGGTATGGAAGCACGCACACAGAGAGGGCTGGCAACTGAGTATGCGGCTGTCTTTTTCAAGCAGGAGGGAGACACAAGCTCCTGATTTCACTGAACTCCAGTTCCGGGCAAGACTCTGGGGACCCAGACTTATACAGGGAGAAACTGGAGTATCTGGCAGTGGGCAGATCTCAAGAGTGGCTTTCTCTCAGAGGTGGTTGCAGCGACTACCAAGGGACACTGAAAACCAGGGGCCTCTTAGGATAGGGCTGATGGGAAGCCATTGCTATTTGCTCCAGCCTGAGACTCCGCCCCACCCTATCTGTGGATAGAGGCTTTTGCATATGAATGGCCTGGTCCTTTGACCTAACAAGCTGCAGCTGAGTCAGTGAGACCCAGAACATCCAAAAGAAGGCCCAAGGCCTGGCAGCATCTTGCATTGCTGCACAGCTGGGCTTCATCTGAGCACCTCCAAAACCCAAACAAAGAAGAGGAATCTGCAGATATTTCCATAGTTCTTGCTGGGTGACCTCAGGCAGAGGCTAAATTTACACCTCCTTTGATATTCAAGAGCCAGTGTACCCAGGGGTCAGAGTAGGCCCATCCAGATTATAATTCCTCAGATCCATAGGGACATACTCAGGGGGCAGACTCAGTGAGCATCAAAGCCCCACAGAAGCAAGTCTTGTGTCATAAGGGTGTCTCCAGCACAGTAGTTCACAACTGATCCTCATAGCCAATTGGCCTGGAGGTCAATTCCTCCCAGTAATACCAACAACAATCAATGCTTAACTACAACAAGACTGTGCACACAGCCCACAAAGGGATGCACCAAGAGTGTACATCTCAGGTAACTGGGGAGGCTGAGCCACTGGGCCCTATAGGACACTTAGCACACAAAGCCACTCTATCAACTCAGGGAAGCAGCCAAAATGCAGAGACAAAGAAACAGGTCACAACGGGAAGAAATGGAGGAAAGCAAACTACTAGATAGAGAGTTTAAAACAACGGTTATAAGGTTTTCCAAGAATTTCCTAGAAAAGGCCAATAAATTTAGGGAGAATCTCAAGGAAATGAAAAAGGACCAACTAGAAATTAAGCATACACTGACTGAAATGAAAAATAATATACAGAGATCCAACAGCAGACTAGAGGATCGCAAGAATCAAGTCAAAGATTTGAAATATAAAGAAGCAAAAATCACTAAACCAGAAAAGCAAAAAGAAAAAAAGAATCCAAAAATATGAAGATAGTGTAAGGAGCCTCTGGGACAACTTCAAGCTTACCAACATCCGAAATTATGAAGGTGCCAGAAGAAGAGAGAGAGCCAGATACTGAAAACCTATTGGAAGAAATAATGACAGAAAACTCCCCCCAACTGGTGAAAGAAATAGACTTACAAGTCCAGGAAGTGCACAGAACCTCAAACAAAAGGAATCCAAAGAGGACCACACCAAGACACATCATAATTAAAATGCCAAGAGCAAAAGACAGAGAATATTAAAAACAGCAAGAGAAAAACAGTTAATTAACTACAAGGGAACATCCATACGATTGTCAGCTAATTTCTCAACAGAAACTATGCAGGCTAGACGGTTGTTGCAAAAAAATATTCAAAATGATGAATAGCAAGAAACTACAACCAAGATTACTCTACCCAGCAAAGCTATCACTCAGAATTGATGATCAGATAAAGAGCTTCACAGATAAGAAAAAAGCGAAAGGAGTTCATCACCACCAAACCAGTATTATATGAAATGCTGAAAGGTATTCTTTAAGAAGAGGAAGAAAAAGGTAAAGATGAAAATTATGAACAATAAATACATATCTATCAACAAGTGAATCTAAAAATCAAGTGAATAAAAAAATCTGATGAACGGAATAATCTGGTTAACATAATAGAATCAGGGGTATACAAAGGGAGTGGATTGATAATCCTCGAGGTAAAAAGGGTGTGTGTGGGCGGGGGGGGGGGGGGGGGGAAGGGGGGGGCGTGGGAAGAGACTGGACAAAAATCATACATCAATGGATGAAGACAGTGGGGGAGTGAGGTAAGGGCAGAAAGTGGGGTGGGAACCGGGTGGAGGGGAGCTATGGAGGGGAGGGTGGGGAACAACTATAATAATCTGAACAATAGTTTTGTGTGTTTTTTTAATGTTTGAGAAAGCTAGGTCTACTTCAGGGCAATGCTTCCTAAACATTCTGGATAAGAATTATCAGAAGGTAATAATTAAAAATACAAATAAATTCTCAGCCCATCCTAGACCCACTGAACCAGTCTGTAAGCAAGGAATTCCAATTTCTAAGAGAGAGAGGAATCTGAAATTTAGTAAGTGTCCCAAATGACTCTTATCAGGAAAATTTGTAAACAGGCATATATCTTTACTTGGTGAAATTTCAGGCATCTGACTAATATCCTATTGTAAAAGGTATTATTTGGGATGTGGCCTGACAGTTGACTACATAAATTTATCTATAAACTACCGTGTTTCCCCAAAAATAAAACATCCTCCAAAAATAAGACCTAGTTCATGGAAAGATAAGACATCCCCTGAAAATAAGACCTAGTGCAACTTTGGGAGAAAAAATTAATATAAGACATTGTCTTATTTTCGGGGAAACAGGGTAGTAAAGTCAGATTTGCCTCATACTCATGAATCAACATTTGGTCATTAGTATCAAGTCCCAGCTGTTCTTCTGTAGCACTTTTGAAAGTTTTCAGATTCATGCCACAATTAAGAAACATGAAGTACAAGTTCTAATTTTCTAAACACCTAGGATCTTAAAGTAAATGACACTAGAGGTCTATCACATAAGTAAACACATTCATTGCACTGTGAAAGCCAGCAGTTCAGTTGAAAATTAAAAACATCCAGTTTACTACACATCGCTATAAATATGCACCTCAAACCACACTTTAACCAATTCAATTACATCTAATTCAATGCAAAGTTATTTCCATGTGCAAATCCTTCTGATATTAACATTGCATTCCTGACATTAAAAATAACATTTATTGAAATAAGGAAGTATATAATATTGCCACAAACCCTTGTCCACTTGTTAATCTTCTAATAAGGAAGTGACACTTTTTATACCATATATATATATATATATATATATATATATATATATATATATATATATATATCTACACTGAGTGGCCAGATTACTATAATCTCTGAACGCATAGTAATCTGGCCACTTAGTGTATATCCTAAATAATAAAAGACTAATATGCAAATTGTCCCCTCAACCAGGAGTTAGACCAGCAGGCAGGCCAGCCAACCACCCATGCATGAATTCATGCACCAGGCCACACACACACACACACACACACACACACACACACACACACACACACTAGAAGACCGGTGCATGAAATTCGTGCGGGGGGTGGGGAGGGGTGTCCCTCAGCCCAGCCTGCAACCTCTCCAATCCGGGACCCTTGAGGAATGTCCTACAGGGATCGGGCCTACCGAATGCTTGCCTGCCTGCCTTCCTGATTGCCCCTAACCACTTCTGCCTGCCAGCCTGATCACCCCCTAACCAC